TCCTGCGTAAATTCAGCCTCGTTGCTCCCACGGCATTCGTTGACATTCTTGTCGTGGTTCCGGTGACCGTGGGGCAGACACGAGGCACGCTCCTCGGACGCCCCCTTGGGCTGACCCACGGCAGCCACGGCTCCGGCACAGCCCGGCTCCCCTGTGGGCACCGGGAGGCGCCCGGGCACCCAGGCTTCGGCTCGTCTGCCTTTCCCTTCACCCGCGTGAGTGAGGGCGCCGCATCGCCCCTCCCGGGCGTCTGCAGATGTTTAGATTCTCACTTGCCTTTGAAAATGCAATCGGCTCCTATGAAATAAAACGACCCCCCTCACGCACCCCTGGGCCTGGCCCGACGCAGCCCGAAGTCAGGGGCGCTCCGCTCCGGAACCTGTGGGCCGATCGGAGGGGAAACAGGCGGAAAGCACAGGACTGCTCAGTGCGGCTCCGCGCGCTCGCTCCTCCGAGAGGGGCTGTGACAGGTCTGTTCACCGCCTGTGGTCTCCGCCTCGAGGAACGCGCAGTGCGGGCCTGGCGAGGGGAAGGCCTGGCACTGCCCTCCCGCGGGTGCGGGGCTGCGAGGCACGGGCTCCGCGTTACAGAAGCCGAGAACCACCCGCGCAGCTTCCTACTGGCTGCTAGGCGGTCGCTGCAAGGGAACCTTTATGGACTCAGCTCCCAGGAGAGGGCTCTTCCCCGACCAGGGTCCGCACCTGTCACAGGAGGCGGGCCACGTGTTGGGGGTGGGGAGGGGGGAGCAGGGAGGAACAGCCCAGCCCTGGCCGGTTTGGCTCACTGGATAGAGCGTCAGTCCGTGGACTGAAGGGTCCCGGGTTCGATTCCGGTCAAGGGCACATGCCTGGTTGTGGGCTCGATCCCCAGTGTGGGGCGTGCAGGAGGCAGCCGATCCATGATTCTGTAGTCATTGATGTTTCTCTCTCTCCTTCCCTTCCTCTCTGAAATCAACAGAAATACATTCAAAAATAAAAGAGGGACAGCCCAGCCTCAGGACCAGTCACTCAGCACCACCGTCTGCCCCTCCCACCCAGAGCCCAACGTCGCAGAGAAAGTGAGAGGAGGGCTGGACAGTGGTGGTTGCCAGTCCTCCCGCCTCCCAGCCCTGGATCCCAGCTCCAGTCCTCCCGCCTCCCAGCCCTGGATCCCAGCCCCAGTCCTCCCGCCTCCCGGCCCTGGATCCCAGCCCCAGTCCTCCTTCCTCCCGGCCCTGGATCCCAGCCCCAGTCCTCCCGCCTCCCGGCCCTGGATCCCAGCCCCAGTCCTCCTTCCTCCCGGCCCTGGATCCCAGCCCCAGTCCTCCCGCCTCCCGGCCCTGGATCCCAGCCCCAGTCCTCCCGCCTCCCTGCCCTGGATCCCAGCCCCAGTCCTCCCGCCTCCCGGCCCTGGATCCCAGCCCCAGTCCTCCTTCCTCCCGGCCCTGGATCCCAGCCCCAGTCCTCCCCGCCTCCCGGCCCTGGATCCCAGCCCCAGTCCTCCCGCCTCCCAGCCCTGGATCCCAGTGCGCTGCGCAGCCAGCGTTGGATCTAAGGTGAAGCGACAGACCCTGAACGGCAGCTGGGCCCTCGGCAGCCCTGCACCATCAGACAGGCTGCGGGTGGGCGGGTGGGGCTGAGCGTGGGCCACCACAACACGCGACACGGTGAAAGCTGCTTCCCGCCCCACAGCCTCCCTGACTGGGACCCCGCACCGTAGCTCCTCGCCCAAACTGAGGAGACAGATTGCGTTCTGTGGCAAAGAAGCAAAATAAAATCAAAATATTACATATCACTCTCCACTGTTTATTTGCACACAATGTCTGGAATGGAACAGAAATGACAAGACATGCGAAGAAGTAGACAAACAGCCTATAACAAAAAGAAAACAATCACAAGATGTAGAACCCATGTGACCCAGTAACTGAAATTAGTCAACGCGCAATGTAAGAAAAATATTAGGACTATGTGGAAGAATTTACAGATAAAGATGAAAGAAAGAATTGATAAAGAAATGAGGTGTTTTGGAAGAGAAATGGGAACTCTAAAAATCTCAAAAGAAATTAAAAAACTGAAAACTATAATATCACAATATCTGAAGTTAAAAATGCATTGGCTAAGCTTCTAGGCACTGAAAAAGAAAATTTCGGCCCCAGTGTGGGGTGTGTAGAAGGCAGCTGATCCATGATTCTCTCTCACCATTGATGTTTCTCTCTCCCCATCTCCTTTCCTCTATGAAATCAATATATATATATATATATATATATATATATATATATATATATATTTTTTTTTTTAAAGACTTGCTATGAGCTATAGTAATCGAGGGAACGTAACTTGCAGACCAGTGGAACTGAGTGACGTTAGACCCGCTGTTGCTCAGAGAATTGATTTTTGACAAAAGCACAAGGAAAACGCCACGCGGGAAGGGGAGACTCTAAACGCTGGGTCCTCTGGGGGATTCACGTGGAGCTAACTAACATCACACAGGGTTAACCTGAGGCGGATCAAAGACCCAGGCACAGTCACAGCTTCCGCAGTGCAACACGGGAAAAGGCCTGGAGACTTGGGACACGGAGAGTGCTAGCCGGAGGCGAAAAATAAATCAGGTCATTTTGATTTTTCTCAAAAGCAAAATCTCTGCCCACCCACGGACACCATTCGCTCCCACTTCCCACAGGCGGCGTCCCAGGCTGAGCGGCCTTACCACCCTCCCTTCCGACAGCTGACAGCCGCACAAAACGGTACACCGGTCCCGGGCGCTGGCCTGCCGTCTGGGACGAGCCCCTGCTCTCTGCCTGGCCCCGTGCAGCCACCTCGGGTCTGCAGGCCCCTGCAGGAGGCAGCCTCTCCTGGGCCCAGGCTCGGATCCAGAGGGAGATGAGGGCCTGGCCGACCGGGGCCAGGCTGCGTGACCGGGGTGATACATTGACCTTGGGCCCCGCGGCTGGGATGTCAGTTCCACTCCAGCTGAGAGGTGAGAACCATCGCCCCAAATCTCACTTTCCCAGCACGGGGTGGGCACAGAGGCGGGCTCCGGCGGCCTTACTATTCCTGGCTGTAAGCTAAGCAGCTGCCCATTAAAATTCCATTAGTTTCAAAGCTTGAGCTGCAGTTGATATTTCTAATTATTGGGAATTAAAATTGCCCCTGTAATTTAAGGATAATTGCAGGCGATGCCAGCTGGCGCCCCGGGCCGCACTCCTCCCAGCAGAACATGGAAGGTCTCTGAACAGGAGAGGCGGGCGTCGGGGAGCGAGGGGAGGGGGTTGGTGCACAGCTGGAATCTCAATGTCAGCGTCATGGCTCCGGGGCCTGAGCCTGGGACGAGGAGGGCGGGCACCACGGTGCGGGACTGCGGACACAGACAGTGTGACATGCTGGGGCGTGGAAGGAGGAGCGGCCGGGCCAGGGAGGGTGGGGTGGGGGTGGGGATGGGCGCCCAGGTCCCCCACTCAGGTGGAGCCAGTCCCGCCCCTGCCCGCCTTGGCTCCCAGCTGGCAGGGCCCCCGAGGAAGGATCGTCCTGTATCGTCTGCGACCACCTGAGCCACCTGGGCGGCACCATCAGACGGGAACGAGGAACCCGCGCTGAGGCCGGCCTGGTGCCCAGGAGGCCGTGGGACGAGGCCACCGAGAAGCTCATGGCCACTCTCACAGCCTCAGTGAACCAGACCCACTCGGCCTGTCCCTCCTGCTGCTCACCATCCACCATAACACCTGCAGCCCCTCCCCCCACGGCCTCCCACCCACCTCACTCGGCTGCCGGCTGCTGCTGAGCACAAGTGAGAAAGTGCCAAGTAAGCCCATCACGGCCGCAGCTCTAGGACCACAAGGACTTTTAAGGGGAAAATCTGCCGCAGAACTGACCCCAATGTCAACTTCTGGGGGCCACTGGGGCCTGGCCACCCCGATGGGCCACACGCACAGCCAGGCCGGCCAGCAGGCCCAGTGTTGGTCAAACGATGAGCCCTGTGGGGGCGCCTTGTGGAGGCGGGCAGGCCCCTGAGCTGGTCAGCTGGGCCTTCCCCACTGTGCAGCGGTGCTGGGGCCACAGGCACCCCTTCCCGACGATGGGCTCAGTGATGCCATGTGGCGGCTGGACTGGCCTTGGTGGGAACATGCACGCCACCGAGACGGGCGAGTCCCTAACCCAGGGCCCGGCCACCACCCTGGGCTGGGGATGGCTCCCAGACTCGCCTCTGCTTCAGCCTGAGCAGCACGGTTTGTGTCCAGGGTTTGTGTCCATGCGTGGGGCTGGCGAAGGGGTCCTGCCGCCCAGCTGGCCTCTGTCCTCTGCACCCCTGGTGACCTCCACATCCCTGGTGACCTCTGCTTGGCTGGGTGACCTCCGCAACCCCTGGTGATCTCTGCACCCCTCGTGACCTCCACACCCCTAGTGACCTCTGCACCCCTGTGTGACCCCTGCACCCCTGGTGACCTCCACATCCCTGGTGACCTCCACATCCCTGGTGACCTCCGCACCCCTAGTGACCCCTGCACCCCTGGGTGACCTCTGCACTCCTAGGTGACCTCTGCCTGGCTGGTGATCTCTGTAGCCCTGGGTGACTGCCTGGCTGGCTAGGGCCATAGGAGTGTCCAATGAGCAGCGGCGTTGCCCCGGTGACCACGGCAGCCTCCTGGCCCTCTCTGCCTGTCCCCAGCAGTCGGCCCAGCGCCGTCAGAGCGGGCTCCTTCAGACCAGAAGTCACACCATGCCGCCCGCCACTAGCCCACCCTCCCTGCCACCTCAGAGCCTGCTGCCTGGGCAGCAGCGTGCCAGCCCCGGGCAGGAGGCACTCCTGTACCAGCCTCCTTTGCAGCCAGTGCCCGGAGCCCAAGGAGTCAAGGAGCTTCTAGAAAGGTCGCCACTGGCTGGGGCAGAGGCACTGAGGCCAGCTGCCCTCCAGGCCCCAGCGGCGGAGGCTCCTGGCACAGCCCTGCCCGCCTCTGCCCCCCAGCCCCCCTGCCCCCTCCGGGCGGAGTCCAGCCCCTCCCCGTGGCCCACCTTCCCTGCCCGTGATCACATCCCACCACGTGTTTACGTCCAGTCACGTTTGTCTGCTCCCCGACGCCAGGCTGTCTCGGGCTCCATCTGCCCAGAGTGAGCGGAAGAGTTCCCTTTATTTGTTCCCACCGAGGGGCGGTCCCAGCCCACGTCCTGGGCAGGAGAGAAAGGCCCTGCGCCCTCCTCCCTCAGTGTCCGCGGGGGTTTGGGGCAGACGGGGGGCCCTCCGTGTCCATGGGCATTTGGGGCAGACGGGGGGCCCTCAGTGTCCATGGGCATTTGGGGCAGACGGGGGGCCCTCAGTGTCCGCGGGCATTTGGGGCAGACGGGGGGCCCTCCGTGTCCATGGGCATTTGGGGCAGACGGGGGGCCCTCAGTGTCCATGGGCATTTGGGGCAGACGGGGGGCCCTCAGTGTCCATGGGCATTTGGGGCAGACGGGGGGCCCTCAGTGTCCGCGGGCATTTGGGGCAGACGGGGGGCCCTCCGTGTCCGCGGGCATTTGGGGCAGACGGGGGGCCCTCCGTGTCCGCGGGCATTTGGGGCAGACGGGGGGCCCTCCGTGTCCATGGGCATTTGGGGCAGACGGGGGGCCCTCAGTGTCCGCGGGCATTTGGGGCAGACGGGGGGCCCTCAGTGTCCGCGGGCATTTGGGGCAGACGGGGGGCCCTCAGTGTCCGCGGGCATTTGGGGCAGACGGGGGGCCCTCAGTGTCCGCGGGCATTTGGGGCAGACGGGGGGCCCTCAGTGTCCGTGGGTTTGGGGCAGGCGGGGCCCTCAGTGTCCGCGGGCATTTGGGGCAGGCGGGGGGCCCTCAGTGTCCGCGGGCATTTGGGGCAGGCGGGGGGCCCTCAGTGTCCGCGGGTTTGGGGCAGGCGGGGCCCTCAGTGTCCGAGGGCATTGGGGGCAGATGGGGCCGTCGGTGTCCGTGGGCATTTGGGGGCAGGAGGGGGTTGGGGGGGAGAGCGCTGTCCGGGGGAGGCTGCCCTGGAGCAGATCTGCCCGACCTGCTTCCGTTGGCTTCTCTGGCCCAGACCAGCCGGGAAGGCGGCTGTGCCCACCTCGGGCAGGAGACACACACGTCGCATCCCGCGTTCCAGGTGTCGTCGGCGGGACCACGGTGGAGCGTGGCGCCAGCACGTTCCCGCTGGGGGACCCCGGCCTGTGCCCAGGGCGCTCAGTGCCGAGGCGGCCGCGGCCGGCCTGTGGTCGGGGCGGGAGGGGCTGCGGGCGCCTAGCCGCTGGCCTTGGCCACGAGCTTCTCCAGCAGGCTCATCATGCGCTCCTGCAGCTGCAGGCCCTGCACCTGGAGCAGGTGCTGCTGGTCCAGCACGCGGCGCACCTCGCGGCTCGTGTCCTCCAGGGCGCGGCTCAGCCGCCGCTGCTCCTCCAGCATCGCCTCCAGCAGCCGCAGCTTCCGCTTGCGGAACGGGCCGCCCGGCGCCTTGCGCTTCTTCACCGGCCGCTCCTCCGACCTGCGGGCGGCACAGCGTGGTGAGCGCGGCCAGGGAGCGGCACGGCCCGACCCTCCCGGGGACCCGCCGGGCCAAGGGGAGACCGAGGCCTCAGGGCGCTCAGTGTCCAGGACGGTGAACGGGCCACGGGGCCACGGGCACTGCCGTCCACAGGGACCCAACGGCCGGGTCACAGGACACCCAGGTCCTGAGTCTGGGAGGGCAGGGAACACCCTGCCAGAGGACACCCCCAAATGCACTGAGCTGGGGGGCTGGTGGCACAGGCCCGGGGGTGGGGCTCAGTGTGGAGAGGCCACCGGGGAGAGAGGAGGAAGGCTGGGTGGGCGGGGTGCTGGGCGGTGTGGCTCTCCCACGGAGCCAGAGACCACCAGTCCTGCTGGCCTTGGGCAGATGGGGAAACTGAGGCCGCGGGAGAGAGGGCCTGGGTCATGGGCCCCTTTATGTCCCGGGGGGAGGCAGGCGCCTGGGGGGGTGGCAGGAGGGCAGGCGCCTGGGGGTGGGGCACGGAGGAACCCCTGGTGGGCAGGGGTAAAGGCAGCACAGGCTGGGCGCTCTCTGCTGAGGGGTGGGGCACCTCTGGTTGAACCGACCCCCACTGTGGGCAGGGAGCTGCCCAATCCCACCAGACCCTCAGGCCTGCCCACCCCCAAGCTTCTGAGTAGAACAGCGACCCAGCCAACCTCAGGGGCGGAGGGTGGAGGGCGGAGCTCTGGGTCCCGAGTCCCAGCCCGGGAGCAACCCCTGGGGCAGCTGGCGTCTGGGAACAGGGCTCAGTCCACAGGGACTTCCTGCCGACTCGCCTGGCTGTGGGCAAAGGCGTTTTTGTCTGGGGTCTTTGCTGAGAAATCCCCGCCAGGAAGGGGCACAGATGAACGGAACAAGCGCTCCAACCCCAGGGGTGTCAGAATCGAAGTCCCCTGAGATGCCACCCTCACCCCCGAATGGCAGACTCGAACACTGGGGCTCGGGAGGGTCAGGGCCGTGGCTCTAATCCAGACTTCCTGTCCTTGTTTCCAACTGGCCAACTCCTATTTACCCTTGAAAGCCCACCCCAAATGTCCCCTCTGCTCTCCCGCCCCCACACCACGGGGGTGAGTCTCCTGCGTGGCAGGCTGTGACAGCCCACTGGCCGGTCACGTGGCAGGAAGCACGTGACAGACAGCAGAGGGGGTGGGCGTCCCCACGCAGCCAGGTTACGAGGACACTGGAGGCTCAGCCCACCCCTCTCCTGATGTGAAGGGGACCCCAGGGCAGGGCCCGCTTGGGGGTCAGGGGGACCCAGAAGCAGAGGCTGAGGGGTAGGCAGGGCGGGCGCACAGATGGGGGCAGTTGGTGCTCCTCCATGGGCCGGGCCCTGCGCCCGAGTGTGTCCTCCCCTCTGACACTCGCAGCCACCCTCCGAGAAGCCACTGATCCACCCGTTTACAGAGGACACGGAGGCCCAGAGAGGTCACGAACTTTCCACACAGCTCAAAGCGACGCAGCCGGGGACACCCAGCCTGTGCCAGGACCGCCACGTGGCGCAGGGACCGCTGCCTCCCTGCGGAGCCTCCCTCCGAGGCCGCCCTGTCCCTAGAGGCGCTCATGGCCGCCTCCCTCTACAGCCCGCCAGCAAGAGAACACGTCCTGCTCTCTCTCCACTGGCCAACTCCTATTCACCCTTGAAAACCCAGCCCCAATGTCCCCTGGCCGCTCACAGCCCTCCTGTGGTGGGGGCCGGAGGAGGGCACGCACACTACCTGCGCTTAAGGGACAGTAAGCTGGAGGAGCTGTCGGAGCCATCGTCCTGGAAGCGGCCTTCGTAGGAGCACCGGTTATACGGTAAGTACAGAGGGGTGGACTTAGCCGACGGCGACAGGGACTCCTCGGTCTGGGACGTGGAGGGCCCCGGCTGCTGGCCGTCCGGCAGTTTGCCATCACAGGACTCGGGGGCCTTGGCCAGAATCCTATCAATGGCTAGGTAATAGGGCCAGTCGGGCGGGACGGACTCGCTATCTGTCATGCATTTTAATTTCCTGCAACGAGACACACAAGAGCCAAGTGTGAGAAACAGACCTGCTCCCGCCCGGCCCGCCCGGCCCCTGGCGGAGGCAGCACAGCTCCGGGACCCGGGGGGCACAGGGCTCGGGCGGCAGCCACTCTTGGCTCGACAGGCCTCCCCAGAAAGATGGGCCAGGCTTCAGGGCCAAGGTGACACTGGGCTTGGAAAGAAGCTGGACTCGGGACCTACGCAGCCTTGGACGCTAAAAGCCGCAGCGTGAAGGAGGCGGGGCCACTCCATCGTCCCTCGCCTCGCTGCGCGGCGGTGGCTGAGCTCCCCGCAGTGAACAGGCACTGCCCAGCGAGTCAGCACCTACAGGCCGTGACGCGACCGACGGGGAGCACATCAGAGGACGGGACGTGGTGGCACACGAACATCAAATACCGCAACGAAGGAGCGTGTGTTTCTGAAGAGGCCGCCTCGGGGAGCGAGACCCACAGGAGCTAAGGGCACAGGCCTCGGCATCCAGCTGATCTGAGATGTGTCTCGAGCTACCACTTTGCTGTGTGACCTTGGGCAGGTTCATTAACCTCTCTGAGCCTCCATGTTCACGTCAGTAAAATGGGGATGATCAACGCGATCTCCTCACACGGCCGTAGGGAAGGTTTAGTCGGACGATGCCCGGTGCCCGGCGAACGGGGGCTGAGCAGATACCACGTTGGCGGAAGGTGCCAGGAGGCAGCAGGGCTGGGCCGGGCAGGCCCCTGCTCACACTGCCCAACATCCCTCGTCCCCACTCAGACCTCGGGCCAAGAGGCTACACAGCCCAGCTCTGCCCACCAGGAGCCCGAGCCCCCACAGGCCCAGCGTCCTGCCCTCCCTGCAGACAGGCCCTGGCCCGGGCCATCCCCAGAGGTGAGGGCTGGGGAGGTGGGCCCACTAGAGAGCTGCAGCCGAGGCCAGGCCAGAAAGAAGCCCCAAGGCAGACCCAGTACCTCCTGCGGCCCACGGCTCCCTGGCCAGCCTCGGCCTGTGCCCCCGTCCCTGCCCCGTGCTGCTCCGTGCGGGAGACCTTGCAGCTGGAGTGCCCTGTGGCCGGGCTCCCGTCTCCCCCATGGGGCTCCCCACCGGGGTGCGGCCACGGGTGGCTGGAAATAGCCTGGCCATCTGAACGAGTCGCCCCAGTCCACAGCACAACCAGACGACGAGGGGCCGTGGCTCAGGGCGGTGAGCAGAGGCTGCCTTAGCAGAACACAGCCCCAGCCAAATGCCACAGACAGATCACACGTGGCAGAGCGTGGCTGCTGTCTTCCCAGCCACGGGACCACCGTCCATCCCCTGGAGGCCCGGCAGACACTGGGCGCAGGGCGAAGGCACACCCCCAGCCTCCACCCGGGCTCCCCTCCAGCCCCTCCAGGGACCCCCTCGAGCCAGCGCACTCCTTGGAGAAAAAGGAAAGGCTGCCCCCCAGCACGGGAGGCCCCTGAACTCCAACAAGCCACACTGCGAGGAACCCTCCTCAGGCTTCCTTAGCCTGAGCCTCAATATGCAAAGAGCGACTGTGAGCAAATAAGGGGCAGCCTCTGCTGGGTGGCGACAGGAGCTGAGAGGCGCCGCACCGAGGATGCGCCACAACCCGTGCGGCGCTGCGCATGCCCCAGCCTCCGCGCCCACCCCTGCCAGGTGCCCGCTCTGCTGCACCTCCTCTCCGGCCGCCTGGCCCGCGTCCTCCGCCTCCAGGAGCGAACCGAATCCCTCCCCTGGGACTCTGAGGCTTTCAGGATAAATAATGAATCACCGCAGACCCCGATGGGAGCCCGAGCGCTAGCCATCAGACGCGAGGCTGGTCAGCAGCCCCCACCGGGGAGGGCCCGGACAGCTCAGCCCTGGCCCCGCGCAGCCGGGACTCCTCGCTGCTTCACTGACTCCCTGCCTTCTGACCCCGCAGCTCGTTTCTGCTCGGGGCCTGGCTGCCTGGCTGGGGTTAGAAAGGGCCTTTGACCCGGGCCAGACCCAGGCCCTGCTCCTCCACAGGCCACAGGACGTTAAATTAATGCAGCTGGAAACAGCCTTTCGGGGGGCAAGGGCCCGAGGAGACTGCACACACCTCCAACCTCCTCGCCTATAGGGGATGATCCCCCCCCCCCATTGCTGCTCCTTGCCCGGGGCTGCCACCAGGACCAGGAGGCAGCAGGGCTGGGACCAGCGGGCCCACCCAGGACAGCCCCTCACGTCCAGGGCACTGCCAGGCTCGGGGGCAGCCCAGGCCCAGCCCTGCACAGGCGCCCACAGGACCCCATGCACTTGGCGCTGCCCCCATGGCTCCCAGCTCCTGCTTGACCTTCATGTCAGCAAGACCCTGGCCCATTTGCGACCTTCCAACAGCCAGTGACCTTCACCCTGACCATGACCCTCTCCACACTGTGCCCCCTGCAGACAGGCCTGGGCGGCATGAACCCCAAGGTGCTGGGCCCGCGGGCCACGCTCAGCTCCCTCCTGCACAACGCCTCTGCCTCCCCCGGAGCCCGTCTGTGCCCCACCCGCAGTTCCCCCAAGGCTGCCGGGGGGGGGGGGGCACCGTGGAACGGGTCTCCTTCTTCCTTCACAAATGAGGCCCCTCCCACGAGTGGGCCCCCATGGGCTCAGGGCTCCCTGACCCTGAGGTCGCAGTGGGCGCAGTGGATGCTGCAAACGGCTGAGCAGCAGGACAGGCAGGACTCAGACAGGGAGCTGAGCCTCTTTCTTGCCTTGGGCCTCAGCTTCCCTGTTTAGCAGCATCCCAACACCTGCTGTGGCGCCCAGCCTGCGCTGGGGGCTGCAGGCTCCTGGCTGGGGTGGGTGCGGGCCAGGGGCAGCTGCCTGCGGGCCGTGGGGCAGGGCAGAGGTGCCCTTGGGGCGGCCCGGCAGAGGCCCCAGGAGCTGAAATCTGCCCCAGCCCTGCCCTCACTGGGCCTCATTTCCCATCTCCCCAGCAGTGTGCGCCCCGTCCCATCTCACCACCATGAGGGCCCCACCTGCTTGTTGCCAGCAGCAGCCCCCACCAGGGCGGGCCAGGCGAGGGCGGGCGGCCGGGCGGTGGTGCTCGCAGCAGTGGTGGCGGTGCCTCGCGTGCAGTGCAGGCCTGGCGGGGCAGAGCCTACCTGTACTGGAAGGTCATGTTGGTGATCTTGATCTTGATCTCCTCGCCCAGCCGGCGCTCGCCCGTCATGGCCAGCAGCTTGCAGGCCATCTTCTCGTACACCTTGGCGTTGCGCTTGGTCTGCTTCAGCTCCTCGAAGAACTCCTCCCAGACGAGCATGAGGCCGCGCATCTCGGCGTCGGTCCAGTTCCGGGCCCGCCGGTGCTTCTCCGTCTGAGGGGACACCAGGTAGCCGGGCACCTCGGCCGCGGCCATGCCGGAGGCGCCTGTGGGTGAGCGAGCGGCTCAGGGCGGCCGGGGCCGGCGCCGTGGACAGAGCCCCACTCTGGGAAGGCAGCTCCACGCTCAAAATGGGGCCTACATCTGACAGGCAGGAATTTAGTTAAAAGCTTTTAAACGGGAAACGTCATTTTGATGTCACGTTTCCATAGCAACAGAGCAACTGCATCAGCTACAACAACAGAAACCTTTTAACTGAAAGCACAGGAATCAGGGCCGCCGTGACGGGCCATCAATATTGCAGCGGGCGGGCCAGGCCCGACACCGGCGGCCCAGGGTCCCGGCCCTGCCTCCGCCCCAGCCCGGCCACCAGGCCTCAAAAGCCAAGGCCACACGGGCCCAGGCGCCTGCGCTGGGCGACCTGGCTCCTGAGAGGTGGGGCCCAGGCCGCAGCCCCCACCTCAGCCTGGCCCCGGCCCACGCAGGCCACAGCCCAGAGAGCCCAGGGTGGGGATGGGACCAGACATGGAGATGGGGCAGGGAGGGAGATGGGGACTGAGGGCACAGACGGAGGGGTGGGGGCAGAGACGGGCACGAAGGAGGAGTGGGCACAGGAGCAGACACCCTCAGGGACATGCCAGGGCTCCTCTCCCAAGGCCCACGCACGGCGCCCCGGCAACATGCTCACGCCTTACAGTGGGGAATGTACATGTGTGAACCCAGGCCAGGTAGGAGCGGCTCCGGCCCCGAGCACGCCCAGCCCTGCCCCTCTGCGTGCCCATCTCCCTCCCTGCGGGGGGCTGCTGGCCGGCCTGGGTGACAGGGGTGGGCTGAGGCGCCAGGACCGTTCTTGAGGCCGGAGAGGAGCTGGGTGCCGGTGTGGGTGTCCTTCCTGCCCTGGGCTGCCCCACTACGGCCCCGGCCATGCTGCCCTAGCACCAGACCTGCCCTTCCTCCTGGCGGGTGGGTGCTCCTGCGTCCTCAGGCCCCACAGGAAAGGGCCGGCAAAGGCTCGCTGAGTAAGTGAACGAATGAAGGGACCAACCTTAAGTCATCCCCTGGCCCAGGAACCTAGACGTTACTGACGTTGCTCTTACTGGCAAACTCCTATTCATCCTTCAAAACCCTGCTCTGATACCACATTCTCTCTGAAGTGTTCCTACTCCACTGCGGTCCTCCTGCCCTTCCCCTCCTGGGACTGTAGCCACCGAGCCAGCTGCTGTGTTCCCTCCCTCCCGGCTGCGTGGCCCGGGTTAGACCCCACAGAGAAACATGGAGGAGCCGGGGCACCCCGAGTGCTGGGCGCCGTCCGCCACGTGGCACCGTGTGCTTTTTGCTTGGACCCTCCCCGCACGCCTGTGAGGGAGGCTGGCACCGTTAACGCCCACTTTACAGAGGAAAAGCCTGAGGCCAAAAAGGTGAGGTCACCTGTGGGCCAGGGGCCGGGCCGGGCTTTGACACCAGCAGGCGAGCCCGGGGCTGGGTGTGGCCCGAGGGCTGGCAGGCTCCCTGTGAAGGACACCGTCCCTCCTCCGCACCCACCAAGTAGCCAATGCTAACCACCGTGGCCTGGCCCAGGCTCGTCATCGCCTCTCCTGGCGGCCTCCATGCTGACCTCGGACAGGGGGCTGCTGCTGGCTGGGTCCGTGGCCTCACCCTCCTTTGGGCCTGTCAGGACTTGGCAGAGGCCTGATGTCCCGAGGGCCAGGGGACACAGAGCCTGACCTCCGGCGCGGCTGGGTGGGGAGGGCACCGTGAGACAGTGAGGCTGTATCGCGGGGAGCTGACTGAAGGTGGGCTTAAGAGCCGGGCTCAGGGACTTGGGTGCCCGGGGGCAGCCATGGGCCACAGGCAGGGGAGCTGTGAGGACAGCAGGGAGAGGGCGCCACCTAGAGGCGACGCAATGTTGAGAGAAGCCAGTGGTCCATGCCATGAGCCAGGGCACCTGCTGGGCAGGCCCTGCTGGCTGCGAGGAGCCCCGCGCCGCCCCAGCCACCCGCCTGGCACTGCAGGGCTCTGGCGGTGGCCTGAGCTCAGGGAGGTGCCCAGGATGGGGCAGCAGCTGGGGTGCCCGCCTCCCTCAGTCACCGCTGGAATGACAGTGGACAGGGTGGCAAGGGTGGGATCTCAGAGCCGGCTCCTGGGTCAGGCCTGGCCCTGTCGTCAGCTCCCGGCGGGAGCCCTGCTCTCTGGGCCTCAGGGGTCACTGAGGTCAAGGGGACACCACCATCTGGCCCTGTCGCACCCCCAGGAAGGCTCACGGCTGCCACCCTCCTCTGGGCCTTGGCACTGGGCACCGACTCAGGAGTGTTAGCAGTGCGTGACTAGGAAGCCCACTCCCTCCAGGAAGTCCTGCCCCTCAGGCGAAGGATGTGAGCTTCTCTGGCCCTGGTGCTGGCCTCAGCCGCCAGACACCCTCCCCACCAGGCCAAGGCCCGTGGACGCCTCACCTCGCTGCTCAGCACGTGGGCGCGGGGCTTCGGGAGGGCAGAGGCTGGGGCTGCCTGGCGGGGGCCGGCAGGTGGCTGTCAGGACATGCTGCCACCCCAGGGCCCCTGGCTGGGGATACCACCGGGACTGCCGCCGCTCCCAATGCCTCCGGGGCAGCCGCTGGCCCACAGCGGCACTCCCGGGCTCAGGGCCTGGCACCGGGTGACCCCAGCGGGCGTGTCGGGACTCGGGGGCGAGGCTGGAGCCCGGCTGTCCCTCTGCAGGTGTCAGTGACACCAGCGAGCCCCCAAAGACAAGGAGCTGGGCCTGTCCTCTGCTGAGGGCCTCCGTACCTGGGCACAGCTGCATGGCCTGCGGGGAGCCTCAGGCTCTGCGGGAGGGGGAGGCAGAGGGCGGGGGCCAGGCGTCCAGCTGCACCTGCAGGAGAAGAGGGGTCAGGGGGCAGGGCCAGGGAGGCTGCGTGCGGGCGAGGCCCGTCTCCCTGAGACTGGCGCTGGGGTCTGTGTGTAGCTCGGCACCTATGGCCGCCCGGGAGCCCAGGGCGGGGCCGTGCAGAGGCCGGAGGCCATGGGCACCCAGGGCCGTGCCTGGTCTCCTGAGTCTCGGGGGCTCCACCCAGTGGCGAGCTCTGTGCTCCCAGGCCCTCAGCAGAGTCTAGGTTTCCAGAAGCAAAGGCCTCGCACAACTGGGTTTGAGTTGCTTTAATTCAGGTGTACAGGTTTGCAGTTGCCAAACAACATCCATCTCGTGTCCGCCCTCCCCTCCCCTTTCAGAAGTAGATCGGTCCGGGCCAGGCTCCGGGACGCGCCCATCACAGCCCTGCTGACCCCCAGTGCTGGCTTGAACCCCCAATGGCCGCTCTACTGCAGCCCCACCGAGCTCGAGCTACACCCCTGCAACGGCCAGCAGCGGCTGGGGGCTGCCAGGGGCTGCAGCGGGGGCTGGGGGCTGCCAGGGGCTGCAGCGGGGGCTGGGGGTCGCCAGGGGCTGCAGCGGGGGCTGGGGGTCGCCAGGGGCTGCAGTGGCTGCCCAGGGCAGGCTGCTCCCAGCAGCACTTGGGGTAAGGAGTAGCTTCCGCTCATTAGAAAGCAACAGGCTGGCGAGAGTGAGGCCTGGACTCTCCCAGGCCACCTTCCCTTGTCACCGCCATCTGAGCAGGCCCCTCCCTGCCGTGCACAGGCCACACGTGAGCCCAGGCCGCCCTGGGACAATGCGGTGCTCCTGGTCCCGCAGAGCCAGCCCCGGGCTCTCCAGGCTCTGCCCAGCACCCCCGTCTCCTGGACAGAACATCGCCCAGGCAGCAGCCTGTTTTGGTTTTGGGCCCTCACCACAGAGGGAGGAACAAAAGCCCCATGAGGACACCTGCAAGGAAGCAGCCGTGCAGAGAGGAAGCGGGTGCCACTCCCCCAAATCCCGGAGCTCCAAGCCGACCAGCCGCAGCCGAGCTGCGACTGCTCCTGTGGCTCAGAGTGCGACTCGCGGACTGACAGCCATGGCCCCGGGAGCTCAAAAGCCAGCCCAGCAGCGAGGCCTGCACGGCTGCGGCCGCCTCCGGGGGATCCGAGGAGTTTCAGCACCGGCTCCGGCCGGAAGGGGCTCAGCTGCCAGAAGCGCAGCGTGAAGGCACTCGGGGCGGGGTGGTGGTGGGGGTGGGGGAGTGGAGTGGGCACGGACACGCTGCAGGGTGGTGCACACAGGCCCACCTGGTCTCGTCCACGTTTCCACCCCCAACACACACCTGACAGTGACCTCGACACCCCGGTGTGACTGTGCGCAGACTTCAGAGCGCAGTTGACAAGGGGGACTCCGCTCAGCGGGTTTAATGAGCCAGGACCCGCCAGCCTCAGGCGTCCATCGCGCAGGCAGCGCAGCCAGGAGGCAGGTCTAAGGCAGGTCGGCTTCTAGGGGAGCTGTTCCCGGAGGCCTTGTGCCTGGAGATACACACGTGAGCACAGACGCGTGTGCACACGCTCACCTGGCACAGCCATGACCCTCACCTGGCACAGCCATGACGCTCACCTGGCACAGCCATGACGCGCACCTGGGCCAGCTGCTCCAGCCACGAGAGCGGCTGCCCAGGCCACGCTGTGACTGAGGCTGGCTACGCCCGGTGGGCCCATGGCGTGAGCCCTGCGGGGATGGTCCCCAATCCTAGTCACCTCGTTCTTTCCGACAAATGCAAACACCCCAGCAGGCGTTTTAGGGGAGACGCCAGGATGAGAAATGGGAGCCCAGGTGAGCGAGGGAGGAGGGTGGCTCTCTCCTGAGGGGCCTGCTTAGGCGTCTGCCCACCCCGGCGTGCCCACCTCAGCCAGGCTCCACTGAGGCTGCCGGGAACGTGCAGGCTGCTCTGAGGGGCCCACAGCCCTCCGTGCGAGCCACGGGCAGACCCTGGCCCCAGCTGCCCGCCCCCCCCCCCCCCCCACTGGCCTGTGCATGGTGGTGAGATGACAGGTCTCACGCAGGTTAGGGTCACTAACCAAGCGGCTCCACCTCTGCCCACACCTGAAAGTTTCAAAGTGACCTCCCCTTATGTGAAATACCTCAAACCCTGACTGCACTTGAGCTTATGAGCAAGCGGCCAGCCCACCTCTGGGGACGGAGGAGGCAGAGTGCCTGGGGACGGGGGTTTGAAAGGACTCGGGACTCCTTGGGCACGGCCCCCCCTCTCCAGCCCCATCGGCACTGATGTTCTGATCACGCTGGGCTTGAAAACAGTAAGCAGTCCAGGGGCCTGGGCCTGGGGAGAGGCGACCGTCCGAGGGGCCACAGACTGACCAATGACTGCCTGCCTACCTCACCCCTGCCTTTCTAGGCAGAGCCCATCACCCAGGCACGGACCTGGCGCTCCGGGGCTGCCAGGAGGCCCGGCACAGGGTGAGGAGGTGCTGGGGTCTTTCTCAGGAAGGCCCGCCCCTGGAGTGGGCAAGATGAGCCTCCGCTGGGGAGGACGGAGGGCCTGACAGCCGTCTGCACCTGACGCTCACCACGCTCTGCCTAACGTAGCTGCGTGGAAACGGGGGGGGGGGGGGGGGTGCCGTGAAAGAGCCCCGTGCTGAGGGGCAGGTGCCAAGGCCAGCAGCAGCCGGACAGTGACATGGGAGGGGCAGGCCTGTCGCGTACACGGGGCTGTGGCGAGCGGCGCAAACTTACACGGCATAGAAAGGTACCTTAAAATTAATCTCTTTACTGATAGAATTAAACTTTAAGTCCTGAGAAGAAAACAGAGAAAGGGAAGCGTGGCGCCGGCCCGCGTGCTCCGCCACCCACCGCACACGCCTGCCGGGAGCAGGACACAGCCCAGGCCCCTGGCTCCTGGTGCCGCCTGGCTGGACGTCAGACGTGAGAGCAGCGGCAGCCTGGCCGCCCGGACTGTGATGACGTCGGGGAGGAAGGTGCACATCGTGAACCGGCATTAATCAGCTCCACGGCAGGGCCAGCCACGCAGCCACGCAGCCACGCCTGCTCTCCGCCAGGGCGCAGGCTCAGCCCCACATCGGCCGCAGCACCCCCTGCGGTGGCCCCACTGCAGGGTGCCTGCTGGGCAGACCCCGCCGAACCCGCCGCCGTGGTGCCCCCGCAGTGCTCAGCACGTGGCGACCTTGTGAACGTTCCGCAAACATGCCAGCAGCCGCTGGTACGGGTTTCCTGGCGCCGCCACCACCTCAAACACAGACTGGAAGGCCCGGCGGTCCAGCTCCTCCTCTACCTGGTGTCTGTAAAAGTCCGTGGCCACCAGGCAGAAGAGGTTGACGTCCACGTGCTCCAGCTTGCCCATCCTGCTGACGACGTGGGGCAGGCTGCGGGGGAGTTAAGGAGCAAGTGCAAGCACGGACCCGACCGACGTGGATCTGACTGCCCAGAGGTTCCTGGAGCCCACGGACCAGGGCAGGACAGCGGATCTGGGCCACGCCCGCAGCGCCTCCCACCTCCGACAGCTCCCAGGCGGGTTGCCGCTCTGCTGCCTCCATCCAGCTGGAAAGCAGCTCTGCCCAGCAGGGGGGGACGGGCAGAGCTGGGAGGAAGCCGGAGCCCCAGCAGCGCAGTGGGCGCTCCCCTCGGAGCACTTACCTGGCCTGGCTCCCCATGCGGTGCTGGCAGGGCCACTCCTGCTAGCCCTGCTCCCACGGAGTGAGGAGGCCAGGCCGCCCTGCCCGCCCTGCCTGCCCTGCCCGCCCTCCCGGCTCCCTGCAGAGGGAACGCCCCTTTGGCAGCCAGCGCTTGTGGGTGGGGCTGGAGCTCCACTGAGCCTCCCCGGGGAGGACGCAGCACAGCGACAGGACAATGAGAACCAGCACAGCACGGCCCCGCTGCACAGACAGGTGCAGGCGCGGGGCAGGGCCCGCCTCTCCTGCCCGTGGTCAGCATGCTTCCTGTGGCTTGTCCACGTCTTGCTCTCTAGGGGCTCAAGGTCAATGGCACCCTGACACCTGGGCTCTGGCCGAGGTTAGTTTGGGAAAGTCACACAGACACAACCCAGACCTGACAGGAGAGAGGGTGGCGGGAGGCAGGGCTGCCCGCCCGGCCCAGGACCCTGGGAGGATACATGGCTGAGACCCACGGGCTGGTGGACGCGCTGACGAAGAAGCAGGACAGGCTCCACACGGCCATGGCCACCGGGGTCCTCTGCGTGAAGTTGGAGAGGGACAGCATGACCCAGTCCCGGACCATGGACGACTGCCCCGTGCTGTGCAGCGTCTGGAAAACCTGAGGAGAGGCCGGAGCTCAGCGGGCGCGGGAGGGGCACCCTTTCAACAGGCAACCGTGCTGGCTTCAGGGGCAGGAACCAGGCCGCTGGCAAGTCCACTGGTCAGCACGTCCAGGTGGCAAGAGACGTCCAGGCTTCTAAGCCGGTCAGCCGGCTCAGGCTTGGGTGCCCCGCCCTACCCTGGGCGCCACCCCTCACCTTATACGCCCCGCCCTCCTTGGGCACCAGTCCTCACCTTGTACACCACGGTGGCCATGAACTGTGGGTAGGGCTGCTGGTTGGATAGGAACTCCCCGATGACTTTGTTCATGACGTCTTGCGGAGGAAAGAAGTCATCTAAAAACTGAGGGAGGATCCTCGCCACAACGCGGGCTTCACAGGGAAACCCCTTCCTGATCCTGAAAGGAGGGGACTAGTCAGCCCTGCCCCGCCCTGCGCCCCCATTCCCCGCTGGGACCTTCGGAGACTTTGCAGGCGGGTCTCCAGGGGGCACCTAGAATGTTAACTGGGGACCTCACGAGTGACCCACAGACAAGCGCCCAGGCTTGGGGCTCCCCTCCCACGCGAGGCCCCGATCCAGGAAAGGATGTAAGGCCCGTGTGGTGCTGGGGCGGGGGGGGGGAGGGGTGGCCCTGCACTAGAGACCGAACGTGCGATGAAAACGCTGCTCGGGATACGCTGCTGCCGCCAGGCGCCGGTCCTCCGGGGCCTCTCCCACCACATCCTCACGCGGCGGCCCTGTAGTCCGCGGGCCTCCTCTCCTCACCTCACCTGGACCTGCCTGCACTCCTGCTGGTCCTCCCTGTGGGCCCCGGAACCTGCCCCCGAGGGGCCCCGTTCTGGACACTGGGAGAGCCGCCTGGTCACCCTCAGGGCACACACGGGGTGCTCTGTAAGCTGCGGGCCGTGCCTCCTGCCAGGTGTGCCCATGATCGATCACCCACCCACAGATGCCAGCACCCACCGGCCGCCCCTCCCACCCGCCAGTGCTGAAAGGCCTCCCTGTTGGCCCTGGGACAGAAGCCCCAGGAAGGCGGGGACCTGAGGTGGCCCTGCCAGCACTGGCGGCGAGGGCTGGACCAGTATGGGTGGGACAGGAGCACAGCTGCACACACTCATGTCCAATTTCAACTCCAAACACACTGCACCCTGAGCCTCCCAGAGCACGTCGCCTGGCCAGACGGACACAGGCATGTCTGGCTCAGTGTGCCCTGGTGAAAGGCTAAATGGCTTCCGCTGGCCGGGCTGACCCCGTGACAGGCGAGCTGATCCCATGATGGCCAAGCTGACCACGTGACGGGCGAGCTGCTCCCATGATGGCCAAGCTGACCACGTGACGGGCGAGCTGCTCCCATGATGGCCAAGCTGACCACGTGACGGGCGAGCTGATCCCATGATGGCCAAGCTGACCACGTGATGGGTGAGCTGCTCCCATAATGGCCAAGCTGACCATGTGATGGCCACGTGGGCAGAACCAGCCTCCCCGATGCCATACACATCATGCCCCCTGGATGGAGGCCTGTCCCCCAGACAAAGTCCGACGAGGCCATGAGCCTGTTCCCCAGAGCTGGCAAGTTTCTCCTCCCTTCCCGACAGCATCACCCCACACGGAGCCTGACCACCGCGCGGTGTGGGAAGCAGCCAATCCTCTCAGAGCCCGCGTGCTTGCTGTCCACGCTGGCGCTGGGCCCCGCACACCCTCCCTTCCTGCCGGGAGCCGTCCCGATGCGGCGCTGCCCAGCCCTGGGCACCACTGCCCAGCCCTGGGAGCCACGTGAGCTTGCTGGGACCACGGCTCCCCTCAAAGGCAGCAGGTGCTGGCGGAGGTCCCGTCACTGCCCAGCCCTCCACACACCTCCATGTGCCCTGCTGACCCCACTGATGTGCCCGCCTTCGGGAGACGTGGGCACTCGGGTGCCAGGGGCCAAGCACTGCCCGCTCCGGAGCGAGCGAGGCCCGGGCTGGTCAAGACGCGGGTGGGAAGCGGCGGCCGAGAGGACGGCAGACGTGCGTGCGGGCAGCTGCTCGGCGCAGCCCCGGCGGCCGTGGGTGAGCGGGCTCCCCTGCTCACCTGTCGAAAAGAACAGACACGCGCTCCATGGCCACGATCACGGACTCGCTGTCGGGCGTGGCAGGGCCGGGCTCGGAGGCTCTGCCGGGACTGGCTTTTTCCTTCCCTGAAACAAGGGCAGCACTGCTATGCGCCTGGGAGGCTGGCCCGCTCTGGGGAGGCGCCCGGACCCGCACAGCAGTTCCGAGAACCCGAGGCGCCGGGACCAGGAGGGAGCCCTGGTCCCCAGGTGTGTGTGACGCCTGCACAGCAACACGACAGGGAACGCGGCTCTGGGCTGCCCTCGAGAACCTCGGGGACTGTGGTCCGCATCCCGTGGAGCAGCGACAGGAGACCCGTCAATAGCCCAGACACCGGTGGGCCCGGCCCCCTCACCTGTGTACATGCAGGTGAGCATCAGGCCCAGGGCGGCCATGGCCCGATGCGGGCTGTGCACGTTCACCCTGTCCACGCTGAGCTTGACCAGGGACTCGGCATCCAGCCGGGACAGCTGCTCGGACAGCAGGAGGCGCTCCAGGCCCCGCAGGACGCAGTGGTAGACGGTGGACGGCGTGGCCTCCTCGCTTCCCGACAGCATCACCCCACACATCTGAGCGAGAGGAGGCGTCCGGTCAGGGCCCTGCCTCGGGCTCCTGTCGCTCCCAGCGGTGCCACCCCACGGGGCGGTGCCAGGCGGTCACCTGTATGATGGATGCGGAGAAGTCCGGCCCCACGTCCAGAGGGTAATTCTCCATCAGGTAGAAGGCGGTGGCACACATCACCAGCACGTGCTGCTGGCTGTGCAGGTTCACGCAGCTGCAACCAGGGGCAGCCGCTCAGTCACGCAGGCGCCACAGCCCAGGAGAGGGGCCCCGGGTGCCCCAGCTCTGCTGTGACAGGCTGGGGCCTGACATGCCCATCCCCCACCGGCCCTCCAGCCCCACTCACTGGGCGCTGCTGCGGAGGTTGGAAAGGAGGTAGTCGCTGATGACGGGGATGAGCTGCTTCGCCGTGTCGTCCAGCAGGTCGCACTCCAGCACGTAGAGGGCGCCGTGCAGGGCCCCGATCCTGCTGGGCAGGTGGCTGCTCCTGAGCGTGCTCTCCAACAGCCGGCCGACCGGCTCCGCCACGGCCTTGTCCTGGAGCCAGGCAGAGGCAGGGGCTGGACCTCGAGGGCAGGAGGCCACTAGGGCTCGCCTGCAGGCCCACTGTCGAGCTGGGGGGTGGGGGTGGGGGCGCGGGAGGGCGTGCAGGCTGCCCTGGCAGGCGTCCGGCCCAGGTGTGGGGAGCGCTCCCAGCCGACTGTTAAGAGGCAGCCTGTGCTGGGCCTTCTGTGCGGGCAGTGTGGGGGTGCTGACTCCGCCCCTGGGGTCTGGAGTTTGGGACAGGCCAGGCAGGGTCCTCCCTGGTGGGCAGGGCTCCGTGTGGGTTTTCACACGCATTGCACAGAAACAGCGCGTCCCGTGTGACTCCGGAAGAGGATTCCGAAGCTGAGCCTGGTCTCCTGTGGACGTGGCCCTGTGCGCCCTCCCTGACTTTGCTCCTGTCACTGAAGTAAATCAGTTGAGCTTGGGAGCCCTGAGGTAGTCCGGGGGACCCGACTGTCGTCTATGCCAACGTGCCCATTCCCAGGCACCCTTACCACACGTGTTAAGGAGGAACCTACACTGTGCCCTCCACGTGAGACCCCACAGAAAGAGGGTGCTGGGCAGCCACAGCGGGTCAGACCCTCCCCTGGGACGGCGACCCCGGCCGGCAGAGTCTGGAGTCTCAGCGGTTCCGGGAGGCCGGCAGTGCGGCGCCCACAGGAACCGTCCGTGTCCCTGCGTGACCGAGGATTCCCTCTCCCCCCCCCCCCCAGTCCCACAGACCGGGGACCAGCCGAGGGACTCTCCCCCCCAGGCCTCCAGGGCCCCAGCTCTAAAGGCACCACCAGGGCTGGCAGGGGGCTGATGCGTCAGGAGGAGAAGCCGGAGGCCCCTGCACCGCCAGCACGAGGAGTCCACAGGGCGCCATCTGGCCTCGGGGCCTCTTCAGAAACAATTCTTACTGATTTGATTTACTGACACACAGCACGCCTGGGGGACCTGGGCCTGAGCACAAAACACAACCACAATGGAACAGGCCGCCGCAGTGCCCACAAAGACAAAGGGCTTCCAAAGGCAGCTGCTTCTACGCTCCCACGGCTCCACACTCGGGGCGCAGCTGCGAAGAGGGTGCTCGCAGGAGCACCAGGGCCACCCAGGACGGGGGCACCTGCTCGGCGCTTGGGCTCGCAGGGGCAGGTTCTGTGGGGAGGACAGCCAGGCCCGGGCGTGGGCTCAGCCCTCTGCCTGGTCCTGTGTGACCTGGAGCACGCGGCCCAGCACCCTGGCCTCAGCCTCGCTCTCCTGGGGCAGGACTCACGGTGAGGGCTCCACGAGGCGCCTGCTCGCTGCTGTCAGGACAGGCAGGCCGAGCACGCAGGAGGGCACGGGCCAAGGCCAGGCAGCCGCTCGTGCTGCTGAGGGAGCGTCTCTGCACCAGAGGAAGGTGCCAGGGGTCTGCGAGGGCACAGCACACCGCCGGCTGCTGCCACGCGCAGGGCGAGCCGAGGTGGCGCAGGGCAGCGGGCGGAGCGGCTGCTCTTCTCTTCCACATGCGCTACCTCAGAGGCCGGCCTTCCCCCAGCTGGGACGCCTGTCTAGCAGGTACCGCGTGCACGGGACTCCCTCAGAGACGTAACACGGCCCAGCAGCCAAGGCGTCTGGGAAATGCTGGCTTGTTTAACCCTCCGTGACTGTCCGACCTCTAGCCTCAGGCTGGGCTGACTCCGCAGGAAGCGGATGCGCCCACAGAGAGGTCAGGCCAGAGACGGGCCATGGCCGGAGGCGCCTGCTGACCTGCCGTGGGCAGCTGCCTGGCCGTGCATGTACGTTTCTCCATATGAAAGTTCTGACGCGTCTGGATGAGGCTGCGTGTCAGGTCTTCGGAACAGATCCTGAGTTTCCACTTTTGGGGCTTCCCCCAACACCACATGGTGACGACCGCCCAGAAAGTGGGTGTGGCGCTGGCCGGGTTCTCATCAGCTGGAGGCAGAACCAGGAGGGACCCCAAAGGCCCTGCCCGCCCTCCTGTGACAAGGCTGTGACACCCACACTGTGGGGTGGGAGTGCAGGGGACTGTGACAGAGCAGTCCCGGGAGGGGCCCTGGCGATAGGAAGCAGAGGCCAGCAGCACCCCGGAGAAGGGGCCCCCACACAGCCAGCTCCTGGCGCGTGCGCCACCGAGACAACCTGACAAAGGTGCACAGGAGCCCCCAAGCGCGGCTCGCCCACCACGGCACACTCCACGGGGGAGCCCAGAGTGAGCGGAGCCCACGTGCTCACATGGGCGGTGGCCGTCCCCGTGGCCCTTGCCGGCTGACGCTGCCCCTCGGCGCCGCGCAGTGCCCCCGCTCACCATGCCGAGGACGGCCGCCGCCTTGCAGGTGGCCGGCACCAGGTACTGCAGGAGGATCTCGTCCTCTGGAGGGTGCACCCTGCGCAGCTCGGTCAGCGTCTGGTACATCATCTCAAACTGGCTGCGCTCCGTGAACAGGTCCGAGACCACGAGGAGCTGCAGACACAACGTTCGGACAGGAAGGGGAGCCGCTATCAGGAAAGGAAGGAACGCACCCAGCATGCCTCCTCCCAGCCCAGCGACACCGGGCTCCGGGCACCCATGCGTGCCGACACACAAACCCTGGACCTCAAGGCAGGGCACACACGCGGCGTGGTCGGGACATCCTCACGGACGCCTGTGCACGCGCTCGCTGCAGTGGGCGGAGCTGGGATAGCCACGACCTGCAGGGAACCTGCCCACAGCGGTCACCACGGACAAGCCCATGTCTGCTCTGCCCCCAAAGCCCCAGGCCTTCCCATGGCGTTGGGTCAGGCTCTCAAAGCCCCAGCAGAGACGCTGTTTCAGAAATAAACGCTTTGCTGGGGATTCTTTGTCTCCCCAAACGCTCGGCTGCCGAAGGCTCAGCTCTTCACGGTACATCTAAAAGGAACATCAGTCCGCCGGTGTGGCTCAGTGGTTGAGCATCAGCTTCTGAACCAGGAGGTCACAGCTCCATTCCCTGTCAGGGCACATGCCTGGGGCTGCAGGCAGGAGCCGACCCACGATTCTCCCATCATGGATGTGGCCATCTCTCCCTCTAAGCATGTCCTCAGGGAGGATTAATAACAAAAATAAACGACTTCTCAGACTTGATTCCAATTCTGTGAGTACTAGCAGACATAACCCCCACAACAGGCCCTCTGGGGTCCCCACTCATTTGAAGAACGTAAAGGAATCCTGGGACCAACAGTTTGAGAACAAAAACTCCAAAATGGTGCTTCTCGGAGGTGGCGTGTGGGCCTGTGAGCCCGGCCCCAGGGAGACACTTAAGGACAAGGAGGGGAGCCTCCAGCCTTGGGCAGCGGCGTGACGTCGCCACGACACTGCCCCTGCCCTCGGAGCACCTGTCCGCCGTGGGGTGGACATGCAGAGCTGCTCCTGCACCGGCGGAGAGACCATCCATGTCCCAGGCCTGAGAGTTCTTCTCAGGCTCCCAGAGACGACACCTGAGCGCGCGTGTGCATGTGCGTGCGTGTGTGCACATGTACATGTGCGTATACCTGTATGTGCCTGTGTGCACTAGGGACGGGCGAGGTAAACTTACAGATCGCACCACTTCGCTGATCAGGATGATGGGGGTCCTTCGGCCGGAGCTGGACGGCAGGACCCAGCGGCTGTACAGCTCCAGCAAGAACTGCGAGCACGAGTGGATGTCCACCCCAGCCCGGTGCTTCCTGTGGAGCACACAGAGGTTCATCTACGAGGCCCCAACCTCCCGGACGACTCACAAATCCCAAAGGGCTTTAACCAAAGGCGGCGGGAACCTGGAGCTGACTGGAGACGTGGGTGGCGACGGGGGTGCGGGGACGTCGGCCTCCTCTTCCTCCTCCTCGTCCCACTCCTCCTCCCTCAGGGGCGTGATGCTGCTCCCCAGCCACACTGAGTGGATGGACACCTTCAACACAGGCCTGGGTCAGCGCAAGGAGCCTGGGGTCCGGCCGCTGAGGGGCCCACCACCCGGCAGGGCCTGCTCAGACCAGTGGGTCCCGGGGCGGGGGGGGGGGGTTCTTCAGAAAGCTCTGCCTTCAAAACGGAAGCCCTGGAAGGAGGGGAGCAGCTGGGGCCGGGCTTTCTGCGTGACGGCCACACGCTGAGGGAGAACACAGCCGCTGCGGGGCCAAGGCTGCCACACTCGGGTGTCCCCGCCGCCTCCCTGTCGTGCACACAACGGCCCATTCTTCTCAAGAGCCCGTGAAAGTGACCCAGCCAGCAGCACGGGCGGCGGCCCTGGCCCTCCCTCACCTCCGTTACCTCACACTCTTCCACTGTTTACACACACCTACGTGATCAACTCATAAAACACCTTAGCCCTCCTCAGAATAAATACCATAAATAAAACGAATAAAAGTCACCCTTCGCTTCATTTTAACGCATTTAGCTTTGCTTCTGAAGGTGACAGTGGCTCAAACCCGAGGACGGAGGGCGGGGCCCGGGCTGACCTGGCCGAGCTGGTAGCTCATGCTGCCCAGCTCCCGCTCGGGGTTGGTCTGCAGCAGCAGCTTTTCGTGGCTGATGAGGGCACCTGCGGGCGACAGGACGTCAGAGCTGCCTGGCAGTGCCGCCGAGCCTGGCAAGGCACAGCCTGGGAAGTTCTGTCCCTTCACAGTAGGCAGCTGGCAGGGCCCATCTCTCCCGGAGGCACCGGCTCTGGCTCCACGGGCACCGGCTGGTGGAGCGGCACAGCCCGAGTCTGCAGCTGTGGAGGAGGCAGCAGCCCGCAAGGGGCCTGGGGCCCGGAGGACAGCACAGCCGCGCCCACCGGGGACAGGGTGCGGGCGGTGCCCCCTCTCAGACTCAGGGTCTTCACACCCCTCCCAGCTTCCCTCCCTCAGGCCCAGGCCCCCTGACCCCGCTCCCTCGGAGACCTCCCTGCCCCGAAGCAGTGCTCCGTGAATGCCTGCAGCGGCTGCTCCTGGGACAGCGATGCTGAGAGTCCTCTGCCCTATGGGCCCGAGACTCCCAGGGGACCAGTTCACACTCAGCTGACTCTCGCCTGGATGTCTGAGGGCGCACGGCACATGCACTGCACACGGAGCCCTGCAGCAAAGGCTGAGGACCGAACCCTGGAGAACCTCCCGCCTCCCACAGCCCGGGGATCACAACGACTAGCCTAGAACACGGGGCGCCAGCAGCAGAAGTGTGCGTGAGAGAAACCCTCAGCACGGCCGGCGCGGCTCAGTGGCTGAGTGTCGGCCTGTGAACCAGGTTACCACGTCGATTCCTGGCCAGGGCACACGCCCGGGTTACAGGCTAGACCCCTAGAGTAGGGCATGCGGAAGGCAGCTGATGGATGTTCCTCTCTCATCACTGGGGTCTCTCTCTCTCTCTCCCTCCCTCTCCCTTCCTCTCCGAAGTCAATAAAAACATATTTAAAAGCAAAGAAACACCCACAACGTTCCCTTCTCCTGAGCATTTGCTTCCCGGTTTCATTCCCTCAAGAGGGTTAAAGCTGCCAGTCCTGAGGGCGCCCGGCACTGCCATGGGCCAGGGCAGCACGCGAAGCCACAGCCTCTGGCTGCCCCCCGCTGCCGCCAGTGTGCTGGCCACCGCACGCTCCGGCCCGGGGACAAGCGGCCCCTCCCGACAGGCACCTGTGGCGGCTGGAGACAGAGAGGGGACGGGGTCCCACGCCTGGTAGAGGTGATGGGTGGCGATGTTCTCCCTCTTCGACACCATTGCTTGGATTTCCTGCTCTACAATTCCTCGGATCACACTCAGCTTCCGCCCAAACCTAGAATCCAGGACAAAGGTCCAACTTTCAGTTCCTTTAACATGTTAGACGTGAGAGACGCCAGGACCCGCCCCCAGCTCTGCCTAAAGGAGAGGCACCCACAGCAGCACAGCACAGCCTCTGCAGGCGGCGCCTGCTGAGCCCGGCAGACCCTGCTGGCCGGCCAGTTCCTGCTCTGCCAGCCAGAGGCCCGCCACCTCAGGCCGTGTCCACTGTGGCCGGTCAAGTCACTTTAGCACGTGCACCTCTCGCAGTAACACGCCCGGTGCTTTGCTTTTTAGTTTTAGTAACAAACAAAAGGGCGGGTGAGCTGCTGGCCCCTGGGTGGGGTGGAAGGAGCGTGCCTCTAGGCCCCTCCACGCTGTGCCCTGGACACGGCAACGCGGCAAACCTGGTGTCGAGTGCTTTCAGGGGCTTGTTCCGGGGCTGCTGCTCCAAGCAGCTGAGGGCGGGGTTGCCGGCCACGGGCACGGCCATCGCGCTCAGCACCAGGGAGGTGATGGCCTGCACAGCCAGGACGTTGATCTGGGTCCTCTCCGTGTCTTCCTGGAAGGAGCCCACATGGGGTCACGTCACGAGCAGCTAGGCCCCAGCACTACCTGTGCCCACCTGCACACAGACCACGTGGCCCGGCGGAAGGAGCCTGAGCGCACAGGGGGACACGCCTTCCCCGCCAGGTCCCGACCTGTCTGCCCGCACCCACCACAGCCCCCACACCGGTCACTGCAAACAATCGAATGGGCAAACGTCCACGGCGCAAAGCAAGGTCTCCCACAGGCATCACTAACTCGAGAACTTGGCACATGACCACCCGCCAGCTTCGACGCGTGGGCCCGCAGGCCGTGCACGCGGTTCTGACACCCACCACTGAACTGTCCCTTCCGCAGTCAGGCCACCCTCCTGCCAGAACAGGACTAGGGCCCTTGACGTTCACTCTCCCGGGCTTTGCCTTCCGAATGTGGCTTTTCCTAATATTGTACCGATACACAGCCCACTCCCAGACGCCTGGGAACGTCTCTGGGTGAGCACAGGCACCTCGGCCCGGCCTCCTCAGGCGCCCTTTCCTTCTGACTGAACTACGTGCTGAGTCGGGAATTACTGACCCCAGCGCCTAACGCACTGGCCTCCAGCGCCCACAGGCGGCCAGGCAGCTCCCGGTCGCGGGAGAGCCGCTCTGCTCCGAGCATTAGTCTAGACCAGCCGTGGGCAAACTACGGCCCGCGGGCCGGATCCGGCCCGTTTGAAATGAATAAAACTAAAAAAAAAAAAAAGACCGTACCCTTTTATGTAATGATGTTTACTTTGAATTTATATTAGTTCACACAAACACTCCATCCATGCTTTTGTTCCGGCCCTCCCCCTCCGGTCCAGTTTAAGAACCCATTGTGGCCCTCGAGTCAAAAAGTTTGCCCACCCCTGGGCTAGACGCAACCTGCTACTCTTACAAGTAAGGTGACACGGGAAAGCGCGCTGGCTGCCCTCCTCTGCCGGCTGCCAGCGGCGGACGCCCAGGCTGTGGGCGGCTTACCTCCGGCGGGCTCTCCTCCTGCTCCAGCACGAGGGGCTGGGTCACCAGGACACCCAGGAGGGTGGCCCATGTTTCCTCGAACTGAGTGCGGCTGGTCCACCCTACGATGCAAACGTCACATGAGGCAGAGTGTCACCCGCTCCCCCAACATTCCGACGTGAGGCGCCAGCTGGGCCGCCAGCTCCGGCCGGAGCGAGCAGTGCCCCGGCCACGTCCAGCAGCTGCCTCAGCCCTCGGCAGGTCTGCAATGCAGAACACTGCGGCGCCCGCCCTCCAGCGCGGACACCGAGCACGCATGTCCGAGTGCTGCCCTGGCAGTGGGGTGTGTGTGTGTCCGTCTGGCGCCCTCCCGACCCCGCCTGGCAGGTGTGGCCAAGTGGAAAGGGCCAGGAAGTCCCGCCTTGGACTGAGCTCCTGGATGCCCTGGGCACAACCATGGCCGGGACCAGCCCCAGTGGTCAGCGTGCGCTGCGTGAGCCCCACCCAGCTCGGCTGCTCACAGGAGGCAGAGCTCAGTGTCCCTGACTGGCTAGCCCGTGGTCGGCAAACTGCGGCTCGCAAGCCACATGCGGCTCTTTGGCCCCTTGAGTGTGGCTCTTCCTAAGCCTTAGGAGGACCCTAATTAAGTTAATAACAATGTACCTACCTATATAGTTTAAGTTTAAAAAATTTGGCTCTCAAAAGAAATTTCAATCTTTGTACTATTGATATTTGGCTCTGTTGACTAATGAGTTTGCCGACCACTGGTCTAGAGGGTCAGAAAGGAACGCAGTCTGGCCAGGGCACGCTCCTCCTCAGTGAGGGCATCGCACCATGTGCTCCGCACCCCTCTCGTCACCTGCTGGGGCTGCAGTGACAGGATCTCCTTGCTAAAATGGATGAGGGAGGGAGACAGACAGACTGATTGAGATGTGGGTTAGACACCCACACTTGGGTACAAAGACGGCAGACATATATGGGCATTTCCACAGGGAAGAGGAAAGCTCGGATCACGTGGAGAAGAGAGAGCGAAAGCGAGAACAGGTGCCAGGACAAGGTCGTAGGACTGCCCTGGCCGAGGTCTGACTGACAGGCAAACACAGGGCAGCCCAGGAAGGGGGAGCTGGCATAGGCTGTGAAGCCATGGCTGCCTGACAGCCACCTCTGAGGGCAGGGACGGAACCTGCCCAGGCGGCCGCCTCCATGCTACTCAGATCTCATGTCGGTCGGCGGGTAATGCCTCGTTCTCGGGACTTCAGGGGATGCAGGCCAACAAGGTGTCTGCTGCCTGAACCTTCAGGACCAAAACCAGTGCCACGTCTGCAGAAGCCCGAGGCAGGAGGCCCCGCAGGGACGAAGGGTGGGCCTGCCCGGGCCCATGGGTGCCACGCCGGACTCCCGAGACACTGGAGCTCCGCGCAGGGCACTGCCCCTCAGCACCGCCCTTTCGACCCCGAGCAGATCACACCTGCACCATCAAATGGGGACAGAAGCGGCCACGGCCACGGCCACGGCGCTGCAGAGCAGGAGGCCTGAGGGAAGCGGTCGCTGTGCCGCGGGCAGCGTGCAGGGTGCTGAGCCCACTCAATCCCGAGGACCGAGCTGGGCCTGGGCTGGACGGCCCGCCCACAGAGCCCAGCTCTCCTCTGACGTCTGTTTCCTCTGCATCGGCCACGGTGGTTCCCGCACACCCTGCCCGTCCTGCACACGAGGTGGCATCAGTGACAAGGGCACAGGGACAGTCCCCGTCCCTGCTGGCGGGGTGCCTCCTGCGGGGTCGGATTCACTCCCATCACCAACTACCAGGCACCGACACGACTTCAGACACGCTGACACACAGAAACCTGGGATTAACGCTCACGCAGACATGTGTGGAAGTTCTCAGGGTGTGTGTGTGTGCACTCAGAACGCCTGTCCGTGAGCGGGCGGGCCCAGACCTTCCACGGACGAAGAGGCGCAGAGCGCACTCCGGGACGGGGACCCGAGGCTGGCATCCTGCGTGGTCGCGAGGAGCCCACCTACCCAGTGTGTTGATGCGGTAGATGAACTCTTTGAAGACTTCCTTCTCCTGGAGGAACTCCACGGGGATCTCGGGGAAGGCTGTGCCGAAATCCCCTCCCGGCGTTGGTGACCACCCGAGCTTCCAGACCTGAGTGGGTGGAAGAAGCCGCTGAGCTCCAGCCTCCAGGCCCCAGCGTGGTCACAGCCGCCCTCCCCTCCTTGGCCCAGCACAGCCTAGAGCGAAAGGGCCGCTCGAGCTCACCCAGAGACGAGCTCACCCAGAGACGAGCTCACCCAGGGACGAGCTCACCCAGGGACGAGCTCACCCGGGACGAGCTCACCCAGAGACGAGCTCACCCAGGGACGAGCTCACCCAGGAGCGAGCTCACCCGGGACGAGCTCACCCAGGGACGAGCTCACCCAGGAGCGAGCTCACCCGGGACGAGCTCACCCAGGGACGAGCTCACCCGGGACGAGCTCACCCAGAGACGAGCTCACCAGGGACGAGCTCACCAGGGGCGGGTCTATGGGCCAGCTCCCTGCGCCTCACGCAGAAAGGCCAGCATTGCTGCAACTCCAGCTGTGCGCCAGGCAGAGGGAACCAGGCAGGGTCAGGACTCCCCGCGGCACTGGGCCACCCAAGGCAGCAGCCGAGCTGGCCCAACTGGGTCACCGGAACCCCCGCCAGGGCCAGTCTGCAGACTCACCAGGGGGGGGATGCGCGTGTAGCTGTTGACGAGGGGCAAGCGGGCCAGGCTGACCACGATGTTCCTGAGCACGGATGTGAGGAACGCGGGCATGTGGCTGTTCCTCTTATGTCCCAAGGCCAGCACGGACGGCAAGGCCTCCACCAGCTCTGCCACTGTCCTGCAGGCTGCAGTCACGTGCTCGGGGCCTGAGCCAATGGGAGAGAAGAGGGACACCCCCAAACCTCCTGATCTTCCTGCCTCCCAGGGAGAAGGCACACCCCGCCCCAGGAAGATGGCATCCCCCAGGCCTCTAGCTGGCCCCTGGGGACCTACAGACTGCAGCTCGGGCTCATCTACCCGCGTCGGCCTGGTCTCCTGCCTCGGGCCCGCCCCACACTGCCTGCCGCTGCTGGCAGCATCCAGCCTGACCGCAGTGCAGGGCCAGATGGCCTGGGTCCTGGAGGCCCTGGTGACAAGGAGCCCCAGTCCAGAGCCCTCCCGCCCTGCCCTGCACCACGCTCCGGGGAAGACACCGAGTCAAGAGGAAGTATGGGAAGAACCGGGGCATGTGCCTGAGTCTAGAGCAGGGTTAAGGGAATGGGATGTGCACTCCTTGTTTCTGTAGGAAGAGCAGGAATTTCCATTTAAAAATCCACCAAGATAGATGGCTGCAGGACACACTCGGCTAGCTAGCACTCAGGAGGGCATGTCCACTAGCTGCAAGCTCCTTAGCATTTCTACTCACTCATTCATCACTCCACCAGCTTCTGATGGGCAAGTACAACAGTGAGGACACAGAGAAGGGACACATACTCCCTGCCCCCATGGGGCCAGAGCCTGAGGTGAGAGACATAAGTGCATAGAGAACGTAGTGCCAGGATGGAGGGCGGGTGAAGAAGAGGATGGAGGAGGGGATGGATGGAAAAGGGGATGGATGGGAGGATGGATGGAGGGGAGGAAGGAGAGGATGGAGGGAAGGATGGATGGAGCAGGGGATGGAGGGGAGGACTGATGGAGGGAGGGAGGACGGGAGGGAGGGGCGGGAGGAGAGGAGGGCCTCCTGGGAGTGTGCCATCCCCGAGTGGGAGGTCAGCCACAGGGAGCCCAAGGCGGGGAAGATATGCAGGTGGAGGAAGGGTAACATGCAGGTCAATGTCCCCAATCGCCTTTATTAATTTTTTTAAAATATATTTTTTCTTGGTTTCAGAGAAGGGAGAGGGAGAGACAGAAACATCAGTGATGGCAGAGAATCAGTGATCAGCTGCCTCCTGCACGCCCCCTACTGGGGATCGAGCCTGCAACCCGGACATGTGCCCTTGGCTGGAATCGAACCCTTTAGTCTGCAGGCCGACGCTCTATCCACTGAGACACACTGGCCGGGGCCCACATTGCCTTTCAGTGTCGGGGTGAGCAATGGGACCAGCTGAGTCCACCTCCCGGGCCCACGCTGACCACTTCACACGTCTCTCCTGCTAGTGAATTCCAAGCCCCAAACAGGTCCTGACACTCACTCTGTGTGCGTGAGTCTCCTCCGTCCACTCTGGCAGCCTTAGGGGTGTCTGTCTTTCTCTCTAGACTGAGCAGCTGGTCGCCGGGCTGCACCACAACTGCATCAGGAAAGGACACACGGGAGGATGCTCACACCGCCCACCCCGTCATTCCCATTTCAGTTATGCAGCCTCCCATGCCAAGGGCAGCCGACGCCACACAAGGTCTAGACATCCCGGAACCGGCTTAGACAGTTCCAGACGACACCAGACCTCGGCACCAACGTCTCGGCCAACCTGCAGCGCTGGCGGACGGGCTCCTGGGCTCCGACTTCCCAGCCCCCGCCCCCATGTCTGCTGCCGCTGCCCCACCCCACCCAGGAGGCCTCAAGGCGGCCCAGGGTTCAGGGCTGCCAAGCACGCTGCAGCCCCAAGAGCCTGGCTTCAGAAACTGCTCCCTGGATTTTCATGTTCAAGTTGACGACAAATGCACAGATGAAAGCAATTTAAACAATGGAACTTCAAAACGCCACTCTATAATGTTCCACTTAAAAACACAGAACTTCAAAACACCCTCCAACATGTAAAGCTAGAATGTCCAATTTATGAAAGATTTTGGCTACTGACCCTTGTTGAGGACACTTCCCTTGAAAAGAATAACTCATTTTCCCTTGACAGCAGCTAGTGTCCTAATGCAGCACAGAAACTAGCATTCAGACGCTCAGGGTAAGCCAGTCCCCCTCCAAGGCAGGCTTGTTCACCTACACCCCTTAGCACTAAAGCATGGGCAGTCGGCTTGGGCCAGCCACAGAGAGATATGAGAGCTGGAGCTCGAAACCTAACCGAAGTGACCACCAGAGCAAACTCAAGTTCAGTCCTAGTGAAGACTAAGTAAGGCCCCTGGTTATCCACCTCTACCCCCCACTTCCTGACTCAGCGGCATAAGATAAACGCCTGTGAGATCGGGGGGGGGGGGGGGGGGGGCGACTCCTGTGCAAGTGTGCAAGGACAGAGCCCAGGGAGCAACACTCACTGGCTTCCAGGAGGAGGCGGACGCAGTGGATGAGGGAGCAGGTGTGGGTCACCATCTCGGGGGAGGCCAGCAGGCGCCGCAGGCCGGGCAGCTGCAGGGCCAGGCAGCAGCAGTCCAGGCCCGCCTGCAGGTCCATACTCAGCGGGATCTGCTCGTGGATCAAGTGCCAGGCCAGTGCCTGGAAGGGAGACCCATGTCAGAGGCGGGGTCCGGTTCCCTTCCTGCCGCGGTGTCGGGGAGCAGGCAACCCCGCGAGGCCAGCGGGCCCCAACAGTCCTGCCCTCCCAGAGGGTGGGCTGCATTCCCACTCCTCGTCAGTCCCGAGCAGCTGCTCCCCACAGTGCCCGGCTCCCCTCTCTGCCAGGACCCACCCAGACCTGCTGCGCCTTGCCCTCCAGCGCGGCGGGCTCTCGGCAGCCTCCCTGCCACACGCCAGGCCAGGCCCTTCCCGGGCAGACAGCGCTGGCCTTGCCTCCTTTCGGCCAGGGGGCCGGATTTGAGGGCGTGCGCTCCAGAGAGCTTCCAACGCCAGCGGCTACGTCCTCGCTGGGGGACCTCTCTGCCCTGTGCCCTGTCACATGACAGTGCCTGCCCTCTGTGCCGAGCCGCCTCTCACCTCCAGGGTCATGACCACAAACTTCACAGTGTCCCTCTCCTTCTCCGGGGGAAGGTGCAGGTGGCCGGGCAGCTTGGGGAGCAGCAGCAGGTACTGGGCCAGGGCGCGGGCCAGCGTGGTCAGGGAGCGGTACACCCCGGCATCCCCTGGAACAGAAGCCTTCGGGGAGGACGGAACCCGGCAGAGGCTCACGCTGGGCGAGCAGGCAGGCCGCTGGCGGGGGCGCGGCTCCTCGGCAGCACATCCAGGCCCTCCCGCCTGCGCTGGGCCCACGACCAGCAAAGGGCCCCCACATCCACAGACATGCGGACTGGGGACCCCGGTGCTGTGTCCCAGTTACTTCTGTTTATTAGAGCAACAGCACTTACTGTATGTTTACTCAGTGCAAAGCAGATCCTAGCTCTGCAGCATTTTAAAAAGTAAAAGACATTTTTAGCCCTGGCCAGTGTGGCGTGGCTGGTTGGGCGTCGTCCCGTGCACCGAAAGGTTGCTGGTTCGATTACCGGTCGGGGCACATGCCTGGGTTGCAGGCTCAATCCCCGGTTGTGGATCATGCCAGAGGCAGCTGATCAATGACTCGATTTCACATAGATGTTTCTCTCTCTCTCCCTAAAAATCAATTTTAAAACTCTTAAAGTAAATAAATAAGAGACACTTTTACTCTAATTACCAAACAGATCGTTCAACTGGCTCCAGTAGGCGGTGGACTCTGCAGGCAGGGAGGGCGGGAACGCCTGGTGGGCGGCGGGCAGCGGCTGGACCGCGCTGGCCACCCGGTCCAGAGTCGCCTCACGCGCTGCTTCAAAGAGGGCGCTCTTCTGGCCTCCGGAAACTTCCCGCGCGCCCACGCCCAGGCACGGGGCTAACAGGCTGACGTTGAACTCCTGCGTCAGGGCATCGAAGGTTCAATGACAGCGTTAATCAGGCCAGGAGACAGCAGGAAGAGGGTAATGCAACGTGCCCGAGGTACACAGGTTAGAAACCGTAAAACCCTAAGCATATCCTGCATCTGTTATAAATAAACAAACCCTTATACATGCTCAGTGACTACAGTTCTGGTCTCTTTGGGGCGGTTTAAATTTAAAGGAGTATTTTCATTTTATTATGAAATCACAGTGTAGATGACAAAACCTTCACTGACAGTGACACACATCGAGCTGACTGCCACCCAGGACCCAGCGAAGCCCTTCACACTCCCAGAGTTGGAAAAAGGTGAGTTATGCTCAAAAACAGCTGAAATAAATCAAGGTCCCATATAAATGCCACCATTTTGGTTGGAAAAAAAGCATTTCATATGGCGTTGCAATTATTGGTATTATTTTGCCAATCTTTAAAAGTCATGTAAGGGTTTCTTTGGCCAATTTTCAGGTAGAATGTCAATCTTTAGTTAATATTCAGAAAACCCTATGTCATCATAGTAACCCGGATTAAACCTGTCTTATAGCCACAACCTTTAAAAGCTGTGAAAGTCCAATGACCTAACTTTAAAAATTCATAAATGGGTCCCTAAGCAAACAGGACAGTGAGCAGTCAGCTTCCACTGATGGGTCTGAAAATGGTGGCAGCCAGCTGCCGGGGCCGGCTCCTGCTTGTCCCAATGCAGCCGCATTACAAAGTGCCGGAGACCCCCTCACTTGCATGGTCAGCCTCTACCGCCCGCAAAGGCCCTGCCACCGGGGCGGGAACACTGTTCCGAGTGCCTGGACCCAAGGCCCTGGCTACCGGGCTGGCGTGAGAGCGCACCGCTGAGGGCCGCCCGAGGACCGGAGGGGGTTAAGCGACAGGGGCAAGATTCCCACGTACCGGGTGCCTCAGGAACGCGCTCATGTCACCTGGTGGGAGCCGATTCACCAGCTCCGCCCCCTCCAGCAGCGCCGAGTCAGACCTCGTCCAGCACTGGGACTTGACCAGGCGCACATACCAGTCCTGGGGAGACAGGGCGGTCACGCCTGCAGGGGGCAGGGCTTTTGGGCTTCCGCTCTGCTGGCAATGGGCTCTTACCCCTGCCCAGACCAGAGGGCAGTGGCCGCGGACTGTGGACGCGGTTCTGTAACAAGGACCCCTGGCTGGCTGTGCAGGCGGCTCCCAACCACAGAGGCTGCCCAGAAGGCTCGCTCTGAACCTGCTTCACTGTCCAGACACCGTCCCCTCCCCTCACCTGGCCAACAGCCGCTGTCCTTTCAACTCGGTGACAGCACTGAGGGTCGCAGGCCCCGTGCCTCAGCCTCACCATCTGGCCTCGTACCCGTCATCTCCCACTGGGGTGGCAGCTCTGCCCCCCCACCCCCCGGGCCAGCTCAGCAGACACGCTCAGCCATCGCACCAGAGCACAGCAATTGCTGCCCTGCGATGCCCGGGCTGCCGGGTTTGAAATCCAGTTCACACTTAAACTGAACTCCCCAGGGAAGCAGAGCACCAAGGCCCCCAAGTTGGTCTCGAGGTGCGAGGAGTGGAGCGGTGCGGATGGGGACAGGGCCCTGGGGGGGTGGCTCCATAGGCAGGGGGCCAGCAGCCTAAGGAGAGGAAGGCCGGCCAAGTGGGCCTGAGCGGAAGGCCTGTGCAGGCGTGCGCTGTGACCACCCAACACCTGCTCGCCCACCGACACCCCTGCCGCCCCACCAGGAGAATCCGAGTCAGCGCTGCCTTTCTCACCGACCCCTGCTGACCGGGCCGGACCTCGGCCGCGGGGCCGACGGGACCCTGTGCGGGGCTGGCAGGAGCAGAGCAGGCCGGGGCTGCTGGGAGCCCTGGAGCCGTGCCAAGTGCCATGATGCCCTCCAACCCGAACCAGTGCTGCACGCTCAGCGCCCCGACTGGGCCACGTGTCACACACACGTGCTGGGCACTCACCTTGTCTGGGCTCACAGTCTCCAGCGCCAGGGACCCCTCCCCATCCAGCGGGTGGGACGTGGCCGGAGGACAGGGGCCGCGGGACCCCGGGGCGGTGGCGAGGCGGAGCCTGTCCAGCAGGGAGTAGAGCCTTTGGTGCCTGGAACCAACCACGCGGGTTAGCGCCCAGCGTCCCCGGAGGAAGCCGCAGAGCTTCTTTAAGCCGCACGCACGTGCCCGACGCGTCCTCAGACCGACCCTGCCCCCCCCCCTCCGCAAGCCGTGGTGCCAGTCAGGCCTGTGTCCTTCCCAGGACCACAGCCACGCCCCGTCAGTATTTCCGCCATCGCTCACACCCACACACTGCGACAGGCGACGCGTGGCCTGACAGCTGCTGCCCACCGCTCAGCGCTGCGACGGGCGCCCGTTCGAGACCCGGTGCACACGCCCCAGACCCCTCCCGCCACGCGCTGCCTTCGGGGAGACACCGACTCGCTTCCTCAGCTGGGCTGAGCAGTGACTCCGGGGTCACAGTGACAGCAGCTTGACCCACCATCGCTGTGAGAGTGACAGGCGGTCATACTTGTCCCGGCCCCGCGCCTGAGGGGTCCTCCCAGACCGGGGTGCCCACCAGCCACACCCTCCTCAATGCAAGACGCCTCCACCAAGCCGCTCTCACCACCGAGCCACAGCGAGTGACAGGTCTCTCTCTCTCTCTCTCTCTCTCTCTCTCTCTCTCTCTCTCTCTCTCTCTCTGTCCACCCCCCGCCGACCCGGGAGGAGGAAGGTCAAAGCTGCTCCCCATAGCTTGGCAGCCACAGAGACACCTCATAAAGAGACGTCCTGCTTCTGTAAAGGCTCTACGACTTGGCAAACCAGCTGGGAGGTGAACAGCTACAAGAAGTAAAATGGATAGAGGCGCAGCCCAGGCCTGGGTCAGGCCTCTCCAAGGGGAAGCGCTCCCAGCAGTCCGATGAGGTGCTGTGAGCCTGTGAGACACGGCTGGGAATGCAGTCCCTCCACTGGGAGCACGGCTGCCCCATAGTCGAGGGGAGCGGGCCCTACCTCAGCGCCCCCACCCCCGCAGAGCGGCAGAGGCGTCCTGCCCGCCTTCCCGATCCTGCACAGCAAGGCCTGTGTCTGGGGCAGGTGGCCCCCCACAAGCCCTCCGCAGCCACCTGGAAGCACAGCTCTCGTCCGTCCTGTGAGTCTACCCCTCACAAGTCTAAGCCCTTATCCCATAGGCAGCGACACCGGCGCTGGCCCTACCTGTGCGCGAGCCCGCGGCTCTGAAGGTGCTCCTGGATCCGGTTCAGTTCTTCCACGGGCAGCTGGGCCACGCTGCTCTAGAGACAGGAACACATCAGGTGGCGCCCACTGAGCCAGCCCGCGCTCACACTCACACGGAGGACACGCTGAGCCTGCGCTCACACTCACACGGAGGACACGCTGAGCCCGCGCTCACAATCACACGGAGGACACGCTGAGCCCGCGCTCACACACACACGGAGGACACGCTGAGCCCGTGCCCTCACAATCACACGGAGGACACGCTGAGCCCGCGCTCACACTTACACGGAGGACACGCTGAGCCCGTGTCTGCTCACACTCACACGGAGGACACACTGAGCCTGCGCTCACACTCACACGGAGGACACGCTGAGCCCGTGCCTGCTCACACTCACACGGAGGACACGCTGAGCCCGTGCGCTCACACTCACACGGAGGACACGCTGAGCCCGCGCTCACACTCACACGGAGGACCCGCTGAGCCCGTGCCTGCTCACACTCACACGGAGGACACGCTGAGCCCGTGCGCTCACACTCACACAGAGGACACACTGAGCCCGCGCTCACACTCACACGGAGGACACGCTGAGCCCGTGCCTGCTCACACTCACACGGAGGACACGCTGAGCCCGTGCCTGCTCACACTCACACGGAGGACACGCTGAGCCCGTGCCTGCTCACACTCACACGGAGGACACGCTGAGCCCGTGCCTGCTCACACTCACACGGAGGACCACGCTGAGCCCGTGCCTGCTCACACTCACACGGAGGACACGCTGAGCCCGTGCCTGCTCACACTCACACGGAGGACACGCTGAGCCCGTGCCTGCTCACACTCACACGGAGGACACGCTGAGCCCGTGCCTGCTCACACTCACACGAGGACACGCTGAGCCCGTGCCTGCTCACACTCACACGGAGGACACGCTGAGCCCGTGCCTGCTCACACTCACACGGAGGACACGCTGAGCCCGTGACTGCTCACACTCACACGGAGGACACGCTGAGCCCATGCCTGCTCACACTCACACGGAGGACACGCTGAGCCTGTGCCCTCACACTCACACAGAGGACACGCTGAGCCCATGCCTGCTCACACTCACACGGAGGGCACGCTGAGCCCGTGCCTGCTCACACTCACACGGAGGACACGCTGAGCCCGTGCCTGCTCACTCACACAGAGGACACACTGAGCCCGTGCCTGCTCACACTCACACGGAGGACACGCTGAGCCCATGCCTGCTCACACTCACACGGAGGACACGCTGAGCCCGTGCCTGCTCACTCACACAGAGGACACGCTGAGCCCATGCCTGCTCACACTCACACGGAGGACACGCTGAGCCCATGCCTGCTCACACTCACACGGAGGACACGCTGAGCCTGTGCCCTCACACTCACACAGAGGACACGCTGAGCCCATGCCTGCTCACACTCACACGGAGGACACGCTGAGCCCGTGACTGCTCACACTCACACGGAGGACATGCTGAGCCCGTGCCTGCTCACACTCACACGGAGGACACGCTGAGCCCGTGCCTGCTCACACTCACACGGAGGACATGCTGAGCCCGTGCCTGCTCACACTCACACGGAGGACACGCTGAGCCCGTGTCTGCTCACGAGAGGCACACACGGTGCATCTGCCGGAGCAAGGACAGACTAGGACAGTGATGGCGAACTTATGACATGCGTGTCAGAGGTGACATGCAAACTCATTTTTTTGGTTGGTTTTTCTTTGTTAAGTGGCATTTAAATGTATAAAATAAATGTCAAAAATATAAGTCTTTGTTTTACTATGGTTGCAAATATCAAAACATGTCTATATGTGACCCGGCACCAGAGTCAGTCAGGGTTTTCAGAATGCTGACACGCCGAGCTCAGAAGGGTCGCCATCACTGGCCGAGGAGGAGGTACAAGAAGCACCCAGGTACCCATGTCAGACACATGGGACAACCACTCGCCCGCGGCTCCTCTCCGGCCATTGGAGAGCGTGCCCGCGGAGAAAACACCGCCGACTGCTTGGCCTGCCTGCTGGGTTCCCAATGGAAACCAGTGCCTAGGGCTCAGTACCTGTAAATTTGCAGCCAAAAGCATTTCTACCCGGCGACACGCAAGGGTGTCGACCATGCGAGCCAGCGCGCGGAACGGGGTGCACAGCAGCTTGTCCGCGTACAGCGTCAGCACGGCGCCCGACTGGCTCAGGTGGATGCCTTCCAGGCACTGCAGGGTTTTCCTCAGCGTGGTGGGCTGGCGGGGGAGGGGGAAATCGGCATCAAAGTGTCACCGACCGCAGCGCGGCAGCGGGCACCGCCCAGCCGGCGGGACTTACGGCCGAGAGGCTCTCGCAGCGGGACTGGATGGCCTGGAGGAAGAGGCCGCTGGCGGCGGAGTTGCGGTGCACGGCGCTGACGAAGTCCTGCACGGGCGGCTCGTGCGACAGGCTGACCAGGTCCTGGATGTGGTTCACGACGAGCCAGGTCAGGTGCTCGGAGTCGTGCAGGTTCTGACACTGCGGAGGGACATCCGAGCCCGCCCTCAGCCTCCGGGAGAGCGGGCCAGAGCCACGGGCAGGCCAGCGGAGCGGGGCGCCAAGGCCGACCGCAGTCCTCACCCAGCACAGCCACGCCTGCCCGCCAGAGACGGGCAGGGAGGGGTTGCCTTACAGAGCCTGCCCCCCAACCTCACACTGCGGCGAGACCGCTCCAGGGCGACCCGGGCCTCCAAGGGACACCAGCCGATGGCGGGAGGAGAGCGCGGCCCAGGTGGGGCGTCAGCGGCAGGTGGTAAGCGCTGCCCTCACAGTGCCTGCCCAAAGCCAGACGCCATCCACGCCCACCGCTCCCCAAGCTCCAGTCTGGCCGGCCAAGGGTCTTCCCAGTGACTTTCTCCACTTTCGTGAGGTCAGTGGGAAGAGGACTCCCTATAACTGTTACAGTTTCGATAGAATTCCTGAATCCAAACTATGAATGGACCCCACATGTCAACTAGAAAGGGAGGCATTTTACTTAAGGTTTATAAGGAAATGAGAAATATCAATTTGGAATACATCTGCGTTATATATGACAAGAGTGCTGGTGAACGACATTCGTGCACTTGGGAGGGTGGCGAGGGGGCGTCCCCTCAGCCTGGCCTGCGCCCTTTTGCAGTCTGGGAGCCACAGTTGGACAGCCTTAGTGCTGCTGGGGAGGCTTGTGGCTGAGCGGAGCTCCCCCTGTGGGAGCACACTGACCACCAGGGGGCAGCTCCTGCAGAGTGTCTGCCCCCAGGTGGTCAGTGCATGCCATAGCAAGCAGTTGAGCAGCCTTAGCATATCATTAGCATATTACACTTTGATTGGTTGAATGGACGACCGGACACGTAGCATATTGGGCTTTTATTATATAGGATCAGTGATGTACAGTGTTAGTTTCAGGTGTACTATAATGATTTGATGTGTATACATTGTGAAGTGTGAAGCCATGTTCTCCAGCCCCACCCCCCTCGCATGTCCACACTTACCACGTAATCACAGAAGAGGATGAGCGCGCCTCGCCGGACAATTTCTCTGTTGCACATCCCAAGTTTGGATGCCAGCTCGGTGTCCTCCTCTCCAGACATCTGGGGACTCAGTGACTTCGTGCTGGACAGACTGCGTCGTCTAGAAGGAGCGACAGATGCACTGACAAGTTTCCGGCGGCAGCGAGCTCACTGTCAAACACTGCAGTGGGGAGGCCTGGTCCTGGTTCTGAAGCAGGACTTCAAGCCGCCACGCGGGGGCCTGTGTGAGATGGGCTCCTTCCTGGTGGCCCCTCTGAGCGACAGTGAAGCACAGATGGGAAACCAAAGAGGCAGAGAACGACAATGCCTGCCTGCCAGCTCACTGCTTTCCAGCTCGCTGGCTGCTGGAGCATCGACTAGGCCTGCACGGGGCTGTCAGTGGCCAGAAGACCTCAGGTCCCTACTTTCATCCCAGGGCCAAGGCGACGCTACACCCTCGAGGTGCCCACAGAGCCTCTGCTGTGCAGAAACCTCTTTAAAACCAGAGAAGACGGGCGCGTGTCACAGGAAACCGCCCCTAAGGAACCACAGAAAGGCCACTGGGTCTTCTGTGCGAGTTCAGCAAGGTCGCCGCCTATGAGGCCGACACACAAAGCCACCTGCGTGGCTATGGGCTACCACATGCTATGGGAAAGGAAAGGCCACTTAAAATTGCATCACAAAACATAAAATTCCTGGGAACAAATCTGCAAGGTATGTGTAATACTTATTTACTGAAAACACAAGATGTTGTGACAATTAAAGACCCAAACAAATGGGTGGGCCACGTTCAAAGACCAAACGACTCAGTATCATTAAGATGACAAGTCGCCCAAATTCACCTACAGAGGCCCTGCGGCCCCAGTCCAAACCCAGCGGGGCTGTGCGGCCAGCTGAGAACCGGACTCTAAAGCACAGATGTGGGAACACAAAGGCAGTAAGAGAGCCAAGGCCGTCTGAGGAGGAAGAGCAGGCCTCCCGGTGCTGGTGCTGCCGGGGACAGACGGACGTGGAGTCTGGAAAGGAGCCCAGGCAGGCACGCAGCTGACGTCTGAGAAGAGCCCAAGGTAACTCAACAGAGAAAGGACGTGCTTTTAACAAGTGATGCTGAAATTAACTCAAAAAGGTACAAAAGCTAAGGCTGTGAAAGTTCCAGAAGCCACAGGAGCAAATGCGCATGACCGCAGGGTCGCAGAGCTGCCCCCTCTCCTTTGCGTGTCCACGGAGCACAGAGCGATGTTCAACGCCTGCTCATGTGGCCAAGTGGGCCCCGTGATGCACACGGCTCGTCTCCCACGGAGCACAGAGCCGCCCCAGCCCCGCCGCCCGCAGCCTCCTACTGCGTGTGCTCCCCGCTGTGGGCCACCGCCTTCCAGAAACACTGCCCTGAGGACTCCGCGGGGGGCGGGGGAGGAGGGGCCCAAAGCTTTTGTTTCCGCTGAGCACACATCAAATGTCTGAGTGCGGGAGCGCCTAGAAATTGAGGTTTCCCCCGGGAAGTCCCTGTGGAACAGGCCACCCACGACCAGGTGCTGAGCGCGTCTTCTTACAGAATGAACTACAGGCACTTCCAGGCCGTCCTGAGATGTCCCTACGCAATGACTTCAGTGCCGAAGCAGCAGCAGAGCCCCTCTAACTGTGCGTCAGGCGCTGCCACATGCCTGCTCTGGAGCCAATTTGCGGAGAACCTAGCAGGGGAGGCAGGCGGCAGGAATGGCCCGCAGGACGGACACATCCCCCTGCAGTGGCGTGGGCTCCGGGCTCCGAGTGCCTGGGGTCAGACCACGTTTCTCTACAATGGTGTCTGACAGAAAGATGGACGCACGCAGAACCCTCACAAAGCCCATGGCAACCAGCCAAGCCCCAGTCCCAGCGGCTCCGAGGCAGGGGGGCGGCGGGCGGGCAGGCGTACCTGGGGGTCTGTTGCACCTCGGCCCACCAGCCGTAGTCCGTGTGGCTGACGAGCAGCAGGATCTGGCACCAGAGCAGCACGAGGGCCGGGTGTGTGGGGACCATGGAGCGCACCTGCGCGTTCAAGCTCTCCAGGCCGTAGAAGCTGCCGTCCGTGCCGTCAGCCGTGAAGAGCCTGGAGGCGGCTGCTGTGATTCTCCGGAACATTCCTAGAAGCAAACCCAAAGCCACACAGATTAAGGGAAACCCTTTGCTCATCGAGGCCCAGCACTTCGGAGCCAGGTTTTATGCCAAGGATTGTGCACGGCTCTTCCCTGCAGACAGCAAAGGGCAGGAGGCCCTGCACCCACTCCTGCCAACCACACGGCTCCTGCTGAGAACCGAGGGGCAGCCACCACAGAGGCCACTGGGCCACGGCCAGCGGCAGAGAGGGTGGACGGTGCTCCACCCGGCTTGGCACCCTGCAGGCTGCTGAGGGCTGAGGGCCGGGTGGGCTCCAGGGCCACCAGGACGCTGGGCTGGGCGGCCATGCCCTTAGGGGCAGACCCTGTGGGGCTCAGCCCACCAGTTTCCCCACAGCACCCTCCTCGTGCCTGGAGCCATCCCCGGAGTGATGTCATCCTAGCCTCCTTGGACAGACAGCTCAGCATGCCTCTCCTGGCTGACCTGGCTTCCCCTGTGGGCCTGCGCCCCGTGTGGTGGGACGGGGCACATTCTCGCAGGCGGGGGCGGGGCAGCACGGCCTGCACCAGGTGTGGTAGGGAGGGGACACACTCGCGCAGGCGGGCGGGGCACCCACCAGACTTGAAGATGTGGATCAGACACATGAGGAGCGTGCCCAGTTCCTGGCAGTAGAAAGTGTGCTGCTGCTCGCTCATGTCCACTCTGAGCTGCTTCGTGACGATGTCCTCTAAGAGGATGCCCACCAGCTGCAGGAGGAACCTGCGGAGAAGGGAGGGGTGAGTGACTGAGGGACGCGACGGAGCGCGGCGGCTCCTGTCTGTGTGTAACCCACACACAGGAGACACGGTCTACAGAGTACGTGTGAGGGAAGTGATGGAATGTGTAAGCCCACCCTGGGGTGGGGCCCCTGCCTCTATGCACATCTCCCTCCTCCCTGGGAGCTGGCAGCGGCCGTGCCACCCTCAGCGGACTGCCAGGAGGACAGCGTGGCACTGGGCTGAGGAGGCTGACAACACGGCACCAGATCGTCACTCATCCATCTCCGCCGCCTGCTCAACGTGGGACCCTCTCCACACACCCCGCACCCGACGGCCACGGAGGCGGCTGAGGACATGTCATGGGGGCCCCAGCTGGAAGGTGCGTGGCAGAGTCACACCCCAGCACGTCCTCCAAGCCGCTTTGCCTCGGCAGGGTCACGGTGGGCACACCCCCTCCAGCTCAGCGTGCGCAGCGCCTGGGGCGGGCACACCCCATCCAGCACAGCGTGCGCAGCGCCTGGGGCGGGCACACCCCATCCAGCACAGCGTGCGCAGTGCCTGAGGCGAGCCCGCTGCCCCCGGAGCCTCTGACACGATCTGACCCCTCTGTCCCCCGGGCCCCGCAGGGTGGCCGCCGGCAGGGACGGTGTTTGGAGGGCCAGCGCCTGGTGGGGAGGAGAGTGAGACCCACTCCCAGTGGCTCCTCCTGGACTCTGAGCTTCGGCAGCAGCGCCGCCCAGATCCCTGCACCCAGGGCGGCCGCCCCCCCCTCCGCGGCAGTGAGCCCCGCCGTGTCGCCTGGCAAGGAGACACTGACCAGGAGAGAGGCATGAACCGAGGCCACCGGCAGGGCAGCTGAGGAAGACGAGGGCCAGTCCCGACTTTCTGATTGCCAAGCAGCACGTGACACCGGAGGGAGTGGGACTGGAAGGGTCGTACGCAGCCTACCTAGAGAACGTCTCTTCCGGCAAAGTCTTCACCTGTCTGCCCGCACTGTGTCCATCAGGTGCTGAGTCCCTGTCCCCGTCCCTTAGCCTGTCGATGACGGGACAGGAGAGCAGGTGCGGGGAGAAGGCCAGCTCCTGGATGCGGGAGAGGACGATGTCTTCGGTGGACTGGGAGATGAGGACCCTCAAAATGGCCAGGATCCCTGAGACCCAGAGCTGGACAGTGCTCACCGACGCCTGAGGAGAGGAAACGCGCCGGTCACAGGGAAGGACAGAACCACGCTGTCCTGACGGCTGATCTGATGACCGAAAAGCACCCGCTTCTGCCACTGCACCCACACTCCCCTGCACCGCGGGTTCTGAAGGCTGCGCTCCGCTGCAGGGAACAGTGTCCAATGCCGGGCCCAGGCCACCCAGCCCAGCGCGGCCCAGCGCCCGCTGCCCCTGAGGCGCCGGGAGGCAGGCACTCACCATGGTGTCTGGGGTGACGAACATGCTCCGCAAAAGCATGTCCACGGGCCGCAGGGAGGACGGGGCCAGGATCTCAAACAATGTGTTTAACACGCCGAGGGCTTCGTGAGAATCGATGTGCATCTGTGGCAATCACACAACCAAAGGCGGACACCGACACTCAGGGGGTCCCCGCCCGACGCCCCGCCCACCCGCGTCATGAAGGAGGTCCAGCGCTCACGGCGCCCCCAGCACACGCGCTTCCCAACGCCTCCTCTCCGCTGCGTGTTCCCACAACGCAAACCTTTCCCTGCGGAGTTCTATTACTCAAACAATACACGTTTTCTTGAAAAGATTCAAACACGTAAGAGAACAAAAACCAGGTGGAACTGCACCCCAACACCATCATCACCCCCCTGGGAGCCGCCCCCATGCACCTGAACAGTTTCCCTACGTGGGACCTCCTCCTCGTTTCCTGTGCTTTCCCTGCGCCCCATCCCCACGGCGCCCGTTAGGAACGAGTGTCGGCACGCTGCCGCACAGGCGCCTCGTCCTCAGCTCTCTCCACTGCTCCACGGAGAGAGGCTTGTTAGTAACTCGTTCTGGTAAATCATATAAATACCCTGCTTTTCCCCTTAAAACACAACAGCGAACTCCCAAATCAACAGGGTTCAAGTCTAGCGTTTTCAGTGGATGCAAAGCATTCAGGTGCAGCCGGGCACGGACTGCGGCCAGTCCCTGTCGCGGTGACCCATGTCTATACAGCCAATGACTTCTCTGGGAAGAGGTGCCTTTCCAGGTGCAGGTCTGACAGCGAATGCACTGAGCCACCTCACCCGCAAGGGGACGAGACCTCGAGCTCCCGCCGCCTCCACTGGCACTATGCTGCTTGCTTGGGGCACTAGAGTGGCAATTTCTGGGGTCCAGCATCTCCAATACCCTGTTCCTGCCTTCGGTGCACACGCAGGCCAGCCTTCCTCACCCACCCCTCTCCTCCTGGGGCCGTCGCCCACGTGTACCCCTTCTTAGGGTAACCCCCCCCCACACAGAGGGGCTCCACCTCCTCCTGGTCTGCCAAGCGCAGCCTGAGTCCCTGGGGCTCATGGACTGGCCCCTCAGCAGCCAGGGATGCTCCCCCTGCTTCCCACACTGGCTGTCCCTTCCCCATGTCCTCATCAGTGAAAAGGAGAAAGATGTCGGCCACTCTAGGGATTAATGGGGACACGACATCCCTGGGCCCTGGGTCCCACGCTGTACAGCGGGGACAAGAGCGGGACAGCTCACTGAGAGGAATGGAAGCTCCCCTGTCCCGGGACCTGCGCAGACACTGCTGTGGGAGATGGACGTGCGTGAAGGAGGCCGGGCCCCTGCGTGGCGCCCAGCGCGGCGCCCCCCTCCCCCAGCGCAGCGCCCCCCTCCCCCAGCGCGGCGCCCCCCTCCCCCAGCGCGGCCCACCTGCTGCTTGGCGAGCATCGGGAGGAGGATGTCAGCCACCTGCCGCGACAGCCGCTTCCACCGGTCCTCGCTCTCCTTGTGGCACTGCTGCAGGACCAGGATCAGCATCTCCAGCACCTGCGGGTGGCGGGCGGGCTGTCACTCCTCCCCACTCGCCATCCCATCCCGCTCAGGGTGGGACAGCAGGGCCAAGCACCTGACCCCAGCGACGGCCTGATGGGCCAGGAGCAGCTCCTCCGGGGCCGGCTCCGCCTCGCCCTCATTATTCCTGTGAAGCTACGAGACTTCATAACCAAAGAAACGGCACAAAACAGAAACGACACTTACACCCACCTCTGGCAAACCCCAACACAGCCCGACCGAGCACCCTGCAGGCCTCACGCCCTCAGGGGCCCAGGCATCTCCCACTGGGGCACCGCCTCTCAGCGGTGGCTGTGCCTGAGCGGTTGGCCAGGGGCCATGTCTGCACGGAGGCAGCTCCGGGCCTGGCCCTGGTGAGCGTGCTGACAACGGCTCTTCCCAGAACAGCAGACACAACAGATGCCACAGGGCCCGCGAAGCTAAAAACCTTTACCTGCCTGTTCAGAGAGAATGAGAACGGAGCAGATGGAGAAGGGTGCCCATCAGGTCTCTAAATACAACTGCTAGAAAGAGAGGCCTGCCCTAGCCAGTTTGGCTCAGTGGATAGAGCATCAGCCTGCGGACTGAAGGGTCCCAGGTTCGATTCCGGTCAAGGGCATGTACCTTGGTTGCGGGCACATCCCCAGTAGGGAGTGTGCAGGAGGCAGCTGATCGATGTTTCTCTCTCTCTATCCCTCTCCCTTCCTCTCTGAAAAAATCAGTAAAATCTATTTTTTAAAAAAAGAGAGGCACCCATGTAAGCCCACCCCCCACAAAGCCCTGACCACCCCGTCCCACCTGCCTCTCCCTTCAAGGCCCGTGGCCGTACCCTTACTGCACGAGAATACCCGCAGCGACCCCCCTACACAAGGCCAGCGGCCCCTCTGTTCACTCGCAAACCAGGCCGCCCACCAGCCCAGCGTGCTGGCCGAGAGCGGGCGGCGCGCACACCTCCAGAGCGGGTGTGCCCATTACGGTGGTTATGGGACCTAACTAAACGCCACGCGTTTAACTAAGCCTGACCGAGACTGGCCACAACGAGGAAGCAGAGACAGTGCTCCTGAGAAAAGCTCCTGACTTGATAGGTTTGAAGACAAACAGCTGGAAAGAAGGACAAAGTGAGCGAGGGCCAGGCTGCTGGACACGCTGCGAGAGAGGAGTCACTAAGAAGCCAGACTCTGCACTTACACTGCCTCCAACGACCTGGGGTTCTCGCTCAACTTCAAGGGTACCAGAACCAGAACCACTGAGACAGCGAGCTCCACGCGGCCCCTCGGTGCCCTGGTCCTCCCCACGGGGCGGCGCTGCTTCAGACAGCCCCACAGCCCCCGGCCCCCAGCCGGGCCCAGCCGGCCCAGAGCAACACCCACTCTACCTGCGGGGACGACGGAGGACGGGACGCCCACGGGCCCTCACCTGATGGTACTGGATCAGTCTGAGGAGCATGGACACCACCACCTCCTTCTGGGTTTCCAGCTCCTTCCCCGCGTCAGCTTTATTGGTCCCTCTTAAAACGAAGAGGTCGTGGACGATGGGCTGCAGAGCCGGGATGGCTGGGGACAGAAGCTCTGCTGAGAGGCCAGGGGCGGCACGCCTGGAAAGCCCGTGCCTCCTGCCACCGCAGGGAGCACCGCAGGGAGCATCGCAAGGTCCTACGGCAGTGGGACTGTCCGTGTTCACGAAGCCACGTGTTTACGTCAGGCCCTATCTGTACCGCACAGCGTTTTATTGCTTCTCTATTTTTACTTAAGTAGGTTCTAACTCCTCCGAGTAAAGAGTGTGCCCCCTCCACGTGCACAAGCACACACGTGTGAACACACACGTGCACATGCACCCATGCGCACACACACGGGGGCCACACAGCAGAGCAGTGAGGACACGGGGGCTGGGCCCGAGGACCAGCCTGCGGAGCAGCCAGGAGGAGGGAACCGCAGCGAAGGGCTATCCCGTTACCGTGGGTCACGGCCTTCCTCCCGCTCGCCATGATGCCGTCGCAGAGCTGAATGATCTTAGGAATCCCAATGATCTGCTTTGAATGATAGCGCTCGTAAGACAGAAGGACCAGGAAGAAAAAGATGTTTGGAATGATTGCCTCTGAGTCCCTAGAAACAAAAACATCCAGGTAGACACTCCCTTAAAACTGAGATACACGATCAACGAAGCAATACGAAACTCTCATGGGAAGCGAGAGCTCGCCCGAGAGGCAGCCCCAGCGGGCTCCTTCCGTCCATTGCTCACGGCGCCTTCCCGCCTGTGCAGAGCCCACGGCCGCAAGGCTGAGCAGAGAGCACCGCAGCCCTGGGCGCCCAGCAGAGCCGGCTCCTCGGCTCCCTCAGCTCCTCACTCTTTAGTCCAAGAAACTGCCCCAAGCAGGAAAAGGAACCCACTCACACTCAGGCGTCACATGGCTAGGAGGAGAGCGGGGTCTCTAGCCCCCAGGCCTCTCAGGACACTGTCCTCGGCAGGATCCCCAGCTACTCATTAAGCAGTGCAGAAGCTAGCGATGGGAGCCCTGGCGGGTGGCTCGCTGATTGCATCATCATCCCGTGCACCAAAAGGTTGTGGGTTCAAGTCCAGTCCGGGCACATACCCAGGTTGTGGTTTGCATCCCCCATTGTGGTATGTACAGGAAGCAACTGATCAATGTCTCTCTCTCTCTCTCTCTCTCTCAAATCAATAAAAACATATCCTCAGGTGAGGATTAAAAGAAAAAGAATTTTAATTTTCAATAATTATACTCCCATGCCTGCACGGGGAAGCATTAACTCTTCCTGTGTAGCAAGCAAAGCTGTAGCCGACATAAGTGCATGGTAACTGCCTCTGCTAAAGCCAACCACATCTAAACGCTCTTAAATATTAAGAGCTAGTGCTCAACAGATCAGATTTCATTTAGCAACTGAGTACCATAATTAGATGCTTTGAAACCTGACGGCATCTGTGATTAACAGATGCAGAACAGCTTCTAAATTAGTCTCCAGATACCCATTAATTTTATTTATTTTTTATATCTTTCCACCAATTTCAGAGAGTAAGGGAGAGGGAGAGATAGAAACATCAATGATGAGAGCGAATCACTGATCGGCTGCCGCCTACACGCCCCTGACTGGGGATCGAGCCCACAACCTGGGCATGTACCCTGACCGGGAATCAAACTGTGACCTCCTGGCCCATAGGTTGACGCTCAACCACTGAGTCACACCGGCCTGGCCTCATTAATTTTTAAGAGAAACAAAAATGCATAGCAAATTAGTCAGATTTCCATTAAAAAATACCCAGCAAAAATGCCTAACCATCCACCCTGACTGCTGTGGCTCAATTGGTTGAGCATTGCCCCATGACCGAAGAGTCTTGGGTTCAATTCCCGGTCAAGGCACAGGCCTGGTTGCGGGCTTGATCCCCAGAGTGGGGAGTGCAGGAAGCAGCTGATTTGTGATTCTCTCTCATCATTGATGTTTCTCTCTTTCCCCCTCTCCCTAAAAAAAGATCAATAAAAACATTTTTTTAAATGCCTAACAGTCCTTTAAAGTCTGTTCATGTTAATAATCTAAAACTACATGCACTTACGTAACAAGAACAAGAGTGTAAAAGAAGAAAACTCCGTTACCTGAACTGGCCCACTTCAATGTACTCAAACTGCTTCAGCACGAAGCCGATGAACACCTGCAGCAGGAGAGAAGCGTCACTTCAACAACGAGAACGAGAACGCGCCCCAGGCTCCCTCGCTCCCCACTATCTGTGTAAATCTGTCGTTTACAAGAACTCAAACGAATTTACTGTGTCAGACTGGAGTTTCGGGCCCTTCCAGGGCCCCTGTAAACATTTCCTGAGCGCGGAGGAGAGGCCTCTGGAGAACAAATAACGAACTCGGGGGACACCGGGCAGTACCCGCCACACCAGGGCCTCCTGGTCCAGCTCGAGGAGCCCACGCGGGGCGCTGGGTGGTGCAGGACGGCCCAGGGGCAGATGCAGTGCGTCAGGCCCGTGTGAGGGCCAACAGTGGTCCCGCTCCATTCCAAGCACCACCTGCTCACCCAGCCCGAACACGGACTGCCTCGCCCGCTGCGTCCTCCCCGGCGGCGCTCAGTAAATCGGAATGGAGCCCAGCGGTCCGCGGCTCGCGTCCCCCCCCCGCTCAGGAAGCCTGCGTGGCCCTGAGAACTGCGGAGCCAGGGCACCGAGCGGCGAAAGCAAGGGAACCAACACGAGGGGTGGTTCATGGCCAAGCCCCAACGCTACCAAGTCCGGTGGCGGGACAGAGCTGTGCGGGCCGGGGCAGGAAGTGCAGGCTGCCGATGGGCTCAGCGTGCCTGCCGAGAAGCAGGCCTGTCCATGCTCAGGCGGACCCCAGCGTTCACGTGCCAGAGGCGGCTTCGGGAGGAGAAAGCAGCATGTCCTGCCGCCTTGCACAGGCTATGGGAGAGCCTCTGGCCAATGTGACCAGGGTCCAGGGTGACCCCAACAGCCCAGAGCAGATGGGGAGACCCCCCAATGCGCGCCAGGCCCAGCGGCCAGTCCTGGTGAGACGCAGAGACTGGCGGGGGGAACAGCGCCTTCCTTGCCGTAGGTGGTGGTGGCGTCCCCCTGCGGCCACTCTCACCTGGTCGCCAACAGACACGGGAGACGAAAGGCCCAGTGACTCACCTGGTCTGAGTCCAGGAGACAGTAGTTGACCCGCAGCTGGACCAGCTGCGCCAGCAAGTCCAGGACCTGCCTCTGCAGCTGCACGGACGTGGTGGTCGTGTACTGCTTCAGCGCCTTTATGACCAGCGGCTCAAACAGCCGGATGTGACTGTGAATGGCGTTCTAGGACGAGGCAGAGGGCGCCATGAGCGCGCCGCTGCCAGGCCCAGGCCGCACGGTGCCCGGCCGCTCTCCCACGGGCTCTCCGGCGGCCCCGCGTACCTTGTCTGCACGGGTCTTTGTGATGCTCGAGAGGTTTGTCTTCAACTGGGTGGACACCTTCTGCAGCACGTCGAACCACCTGCCGATGGAGACCGCCCTTCACCACTCGGCCGGGACTCAGCGCGCCTGCGTGTCGGCTCCTCCTTCAGTGAGGACAGCCAGGCTGCTGTGAGTCCCGGCCCAGCGGCGGGCTGGACGGTGACGGCCATGGAAAGGGAGTCGGGAGACAGCACTTGGTTTTCTTGGACAAATTTTTGTTGAAACACGTATATCAATTACACGCTTCTCTTTGTGAGAAACAGCTGAGAGGACTGGGACACCCCGCACACACTTGCTTGTTATTTACACCGTGTTATCAAAGCGTTCGCAGATCCTGTCCGAGACGTGGACATACAGTAAGCGCGTCCCAACGTGAGGCCGGCCACGGCACGGCACAGCCCTCGGCCCTGACTCTAGCGCTCTGACACGACAGGGGAACGTGCTCTCCTGCTCCTGCGCACACAAATCAAACGCCGGCTCAGGACTGGGTCGTTCCAGAGACAGCTAACTACTGTGCTGCAGGCCGCACAGCCACAGCCGTCAGTGTCGGCGAAGAGACATCAGCACAGCCACGAGCACAGAGGCCACCAGGGCTCCCCACCCACACGCCTCTGCGCACCGCCTGGGCCCGCGCAAGGTGCCCCTTCACCTGAAGTGACCCCACGCGTGGCCGACACACGGCCCTCACGTAGGGAGTGCAGGGCGCACCGGGAAACACCCAGGCCTTCCCACGAGGCCGGGCTCGCCGTGGTTCGGCAGTGCCGTTGGCGCTACCCGCCGCCTCCTCTGGCCCAGCCACTGGCCCCTCCCTGGCCCGCGCTCTGAGGCAGGCGTGTCGGGCCGGGCCTGCAGCGCCTCCGTGGCAGCACGTTTCCCAGAGCTCCCTGCACGGAGCGGGCCCCTCGGGGACGCTGGCTCCTCTCTGTCTCTCACAAACCAGTCCCTGCTTGCTCCCTGTTTCCCCCGCGGCAGGGTTACCCGGAGGCGTCGTGGTCCGGCTCGGCCTGCACCATGTTGCGCAGGCTGGCGTCCGCCAGGGCCTGGGTGAAGTGGGTGTAGGGAGCCATGAAGCAGTAGTGGTACAGGCCGGGCCGCAGGCTGGACGAGCCGAGGCGCTGGGCTCGGCCCTGGCACTTGCTGGGGTTGGACGACAAGCCATCAAACTGGGAGGCCAGGTTTGTCCCAAAGAGAGTCTTGAGCAGCTAGAGAGAGAGAAGAGGCTGTCAGCACGCCCTGCACAGAACATGAGCCCCATGCCCACAGGAAGCCATCAAAGGTGGTGGTGGGTGGGGGGATGCAGACATGGGGTTCCCGCTGAGAACCCCTTTCACACGGTGAGGTGCTGCCATCACCTTCACCAATAGCCCTGTGGTCTCGAGTTGTGAATGAGACCGGGGGACATGGCTGCGTAGGAGGGTCAGCAGAGCTTCAACGACCCTCTGCCCCCCACCCCCCACCCGTGACGAGCAGCGCCACCTCCTGTGGCAGCAGCCCCGCGCTGAGCCTGGACGGAGGCTGAGAAAAGAGCCCTCCTCACCTGCTGGACGCAGACCGTGGCCATCGTGGGCTCCCGGCTGAAGCAGGACCTCAGGTAGCCCAGGACCTCCTCCACGCACTGCGGGGGAAGCGGGCGCTGCAGGAGGCTGGGGCACTGGCTCCCGCGCACGCCTAGCCTGAAGCCCTCAGACCACTCCCAGCTACAACGCCCGCCACTCACTGACCCCGCGCCCGCTGGCAGCCACCACCGCCAGGCCCCACTGCAGGCACCGAAGACCAAGAGGCCACAGGAGTGACAGTGTCTGCAGGAGCTGCGGCCGGGGAGGGGGGAACAGGGAGGAGGAGAGGGTGTGGTGAGGGGCCATCGTAGACAGGGCGCCAGGCAGGTCTCCCGGAATGGGACGCCCCACCTCTGGCAGGTTTCACTCTGAAGGGCAATCACTGAGCACCCCCAGACCAGAACAAAGAGGTGCCTGCCACTAGAAACAAGGGCCGCACGCACGCACGGGCAAAGGCACAGGCGTGACGGGAAGCAGCAGGGTGGCTGTGTGACGGTGAAGACCGGTGACTATGGATGTGGAGAAAAGGTTTGGTGAACTCGGTTAGAGCTGGTGCTTCCCCGAAGGGCCGCATGTTCCCTGGCCCGGCACCTGGAACTCAGGCTCAAAATAAGACGTGGCCCCCACAGCACGCCGTCTGCAGCGGGCGGGCACCACACGCTCTCTAAACTCTCCTCCGTGTCTGAACGGTTCCTTAGAGAATGGGGGGGGCGGGGGGGGGGGCGCTGGACTCGGAACCAAGTCCTCCTGCGGCTCCGCGGCTCCTGAGGCGCCCAGGCGGCCATGCGCCTCCCAGGTCTATGTGTGCCCTTCCCACTTGCGAAGGTCAAGTAAGAAAATGAAGGCTGGGGCCAGCACAGTGTTAAACCCATCCACTTCTAGACTACAGTGGGTCAAAGCCGATAGACAGTGAATAACTGAGATGGGCTCCTGTGAAGCCCCACCAGCCAGGGGCCAGCACAGCTCAGAGCCAGGCGCTGTGACAAAGCCTCCCCGGCTGCCGCTGCCGCCCCAGGTACCAGGCCCACACTGGCCACCCCAGGCACTCGGCCCAGGGGCCGGCGGTGTGGCAGCTGCGGCTCAGCGAGAAGAAAAGACATTGCACCTTCCCGATGTCCTGCAGCGTGGCCAGCTCTAGGATCTGAGAGAGCACGTCCAAGGCCGAGCGCAGAAAGCCCCCGAACTTCTCTGTGCTGTTCTGAAGGTCCAGGGTGACCTTGGGGGAAGGGAGAAACGATCACTGCACCATCACGTCGGGGTGTCTGCAGCAGGGGCGGCGCACACTAAGCAGCCCCGCGCACGCCAGTGGGATTCCTGCCTGTCTGTCTGTCTGGCAGGGAAAGGCCTGGGAAAGGAAATCGCTCTTCCAGTATCTGTAGGAAACCTGTTTCTTTCAAAGGCATCTTCCTACTTATACTAACTCTACAGACAGAAACGACTCCTGACCTGTCAAAACGGGAAAGATGGGAACCATCGCTCATAACCAGTGTCTGACAAGCAGCATTCCAAACTCATAACGTGCACGCCCTGTTCCATGAACTAGCATCCCTGGGGGACTCATCGAATTTAGACCCACCCACCGTTCAGCCTGGCAACAACACATGTGAAATTAGTCTTAGGAGGCACTGAATTCAGGCTCTAAAGGCCTCGGCCGAATTAAATGATGCAGCAGTCGGTCCCCCATTTAAAAACCGAAAGAATGGTCAGGCCCCAAGGTACGATGGGCAAGAACAAGGCCAAAGGGAAGAAATGGGCGTGGAAACAGGAGCTGGCCCAACCCTCAAACGTGCGCGGTGAACAGAAAGCAGCTCAGTGGGACGAACTGACGGCCCCAGTGAGAGAGGAACCAGGTCAGGGACACACGGGACAAAGATGTAGTGGGAACGACAGTGACCACTCTCCTGTCACCCTGAGAGTGTCGTCCACCTGCCAGGAGGGAACCGCCAGGTGTGTGAGCACCCAGAGAGAGAGGGTCCATGCAGCTCCGTCGGGGAGACGGTGGGAAGCAGTCCATCCCAGCAGGCAATGGGGCAGGGTCACGGGGGTGAGAACGTAAAGACCGAGGGCTGGAAGCTACCACTAGAGGCCGAGCCAACCTGAACACTGTCACTCACATCCCCAGGTATGCACACAGCTACCAACCCGGTGTGGCTAGTGGTTGAGCGTCGACCCAGGACCAGGAGGTCACGGTTTGATACCCAGTCAGGCAACAGGCCTGGGTTGTGGGCTCGATCCCCAGTAGGGGGCGTGCAGGAGGCAGCCGATCAGTGATGTTTCTCTCTCATGGATGTTTCTAGCTATCCCTCTTCCTTCCTCTCTCTCTAAAAAAAAGTCAACAAAAACGTATTTTTAAAAAATGTTATGTTACAGATAAACTGTGTCTCAGTAACACTGAGATGGTTTTCCATTTACCTAAAAAATAATCCTGCAAGAAGAGAGAGAGCGCCCAGGAGGCACTGGGCAGGCGCAGGTGCAGAGCCGCGTACCTTGTAGTTGGCATGTGTGGCCTTCAGGACGTCGTGCAGCCTGAGGTAGGAAGGAAGGTGGTAGAAGCTCCCCAGCGACGAGGGTTTATTGGCTGTGACGGGCCCTGTGGCATCTGACTGTCGAGAGGCTGTAACACACACACACACACACACATTGAGATGGAAAGCGAGGCCCGCTGAGGCTGAGGCTGAGGCAGGTGCTGCAACAGCGCTCTAGAAGCATGCTCGTGGGATAAAATGCAAACCCTGTTCTGACTGCAGTGAACAGTCATGAGGAACTGGCTGGCGAACGGCAGCGGAATCGGAGCGCCTCCCGGAAATACAGGAAGACAGACACGAAGAGCAGTGACGCTGGCTCGCCTGCCCGCCTGTCCCCCGGCTGCCAATCCACAGGTCAGCAGCACGACTACCCCCCTGCAGCCAATCGCACGCGCTCGGAGCCCGCGGCTGCGGCCAGGACGGTCCCGGCCCTCTCAGCCCTTACACAGGGACGTGGGATGTGCCCTGACAACCCACCTCTCACGGAGGCGGCGTCACTATCTCCACGCTGCACCCCCCAAAGCTGTTCAGACTCTGAGGGAACCCTCTGCCAGTCTCCTTGGCAGACAGCAGTCAGCCCCGAAGCCCTGCGGCCCGTGGGCTGCGGTCGGTCCCCCCCAGACGCCAGCTCCGCGAGCTCACACGCCGGCTCTCCCAGCAGAGTGAGTGGAGGGTGGGACTGGCCCCCTCGGGCACGGACTGTGGGCTGCGGAGCACTGAGCTCTGAGACGCGCCGGGGTGACGGCCCAGGTTCCTCTCGCTCAGGTGACTCCCCTTTCTCTCCTGCAGGGCGCTCCCCACTGTGATTTCCCATTTCCCACGTCAGAACGCCCCTCTGGGAATCGCCTCTGCTCCCGACACTGCACCGCCTCCCTCGCCGACCAGGATCCCGCCCGCTCCGCAGTGAGCCGGGCGGGCAGGGCGGAGGCGGCCCGCAGACTGCTGTGACCACACATGAGCTAGACACGCAGAGATGCTTAGGACCCATGTGGTCTGGACACACGAGTTCATGTTAGTATCTGGAACCGTACCTGGGAAACCATTCCTCTGGCTTCACTGCTGTGTATTTTATTTCCAAAAAGTACCAAATTATTCCATTATCTTGACACATGTAAGCATAGGCCCTAAACGTCTAGGACACAGATGGCACCCCCCCCCCCCCCAGTGCCTCCTACCAGGGCTGGCGTCGCTGCTTTTCTTGGGGCTCAGCGGCACGGACGCCTGCTCACTCGGCTCCTTCTCCTTGCCCTTCCGCCGAATGGGGCTGAGAGCAGGGGCGCTTGTCAGGGACGGCAAGGCTGCCTGGAACAGAGAGCAAGAACCTGGGAGTAAACCACACAGAAACTGCAGTCTATAGCCCAGTGATGGCAAACCTATGACACGCGTGTCAGAGGTGACACGTGAACTCATTTTTTTGGTTGATTTTTCTTTGTTCAATGGCATTTAAATATATAAAATAAATATCAAAAATATACGTCTTTGTTTTACTATGGTTGCGAATATCAAAAAATTTCTATATGTGACCTGGCACCAGAGTTAAGTTAGGGTTTTTCAAAATGCTGACACGCCAAGCTCAAAAGGTTCGCCATCACTGCTCTAGCCTATGGTTTTCCATTTATTGAAAAGCATCCACCCAGAGTTCATCTTCTCTGCGAATCCACATTCAGAGCTCAGAAACTGCAGAACCATGTCCATCACCCAACCCCTCACCTCACGCAGTGGGTGTGGACAGTCCTTCCTGACAGGCGTGTGGGAATGTGGGACGGAGGGCCCTGGCGCCCGGCAGGACACCGCCCAGAGCAGCGCCAGAGCATTCGCCGGGAGCCACATCTTAAACGCCACCTTCCAGGTGAGGAAGCCAGCTCGCGGGGGAGGTGACTGAGTGGAGGTCACAGCTGAGGGCACAGAGCTGGTGGCCCACAGACTGCGGAGGCTCCGGCTCCCAGGCTGCAGGGGCAGCCCACAGGGGCAGTGAGGATGCCGACAGAGCCTGGGCCCCAGGCCCAGCTGGGCCCTCACTCGGGATCTCCGAGAACTCACCGTGCACGTCAGCGTGAGGCCCGCAGAGCGGACGTGATGGCTGCGGGCAGGGGAGGACTGAGGCAGTGGGAGGGCTGGAGAGCAGCACAGACGACTGCCCTGGGAACACGCTAAGGGGAGGGGCCAGGCACGCAAGACACCGGTGTGACTCCATTTACATGTCGCAACAGGCACCTCCCCACTGAAATGGAAAGGCCTGGGGTTACCGGGAGCCGGGGGCACAGAGGGTTGGAGGGTGACGGCTAAGGGCACAGCGTTCCTTTCTGGGCTCTAAAACTGACTGCAGTGGCGGCCAAGCGACTGTGGCACTGAAAGAGTGACCCGCACACTGCAGGGGGAGGGGCAGGGGCGTGGATGACGCCAACTGCATCACTTCAACATGCTGCTCTAAACACTGAGGCTGCCCTAACCGGTTTGGCTCAGTGGACAGAGCATCGGCCTGCGGACTGAAGGGTCCCAGGTTCGATTCCGGTCAACGGCACATGCCTGGGTTGCGGGCACATCCCCAGTGGGAGGTGTGCAGGAGGCAGCTGATCGATGTTTCTAACTCTCTATCCCTCTCCCTTCCTCTCTGTAAAATATCAATAAAATATTTTTTAAAATAATAAATAAATAAATAAAACACTGAGGCCGCTTCCGCCTCCGCTGAGATGCTCTGCCCGTCTGGCCGGAGCAGGGGCAGTGCACGGGGGAAACAGTCTGTGCTCCTGCGTGTGTGCACGTGCACGTGCACTGTGTGAGTGTAGGTATGTGCACACGTATATGTACATGTATGTAAACAGTTTCTTGCGAGATACTTAGTAGGGAAAACCAAGGACTTGGGGGGAGAATGAAGAGTTGCAATGACTCCCACGTGTCCAACTTTACAAAACACACAGTGAGCCCGGCCGGCGTGGCTCAGTCAGCTCAGTGGTTGAGCATCAACCTATGAGCCAGGAGGTCACTGTTCAATTTCCAGTCGGGGCACAGGCCCGGGTTGCAGGGTTGATCCTCAGTGGGGGGCGTGCCGGAGGCAGCCTACCAATGATTCTCTCTCATCACTGATGTTTCTCTCTCTCCCTCTCCCATCCTCCCTGAAACCAATAGAAACATTAAAAAACACACGAAGTGAGAGGAGCGTGGCCGGCACAGGCGGTGGGCCGCGCAGCTCCGGTCTGGGCTGGCCGTGAAGCGCCAGGCAGAAGTGCCGAGAGGCAGCGGACCACAAGGGACTGGCGCCCCAGGCCTCGGGCCTCTGATGCTTAGCTGCTGCCTGCTCCGCCTGCCCACACGAGAGCACTGTCTACATGTGGCTACGGAAGTGCAAACGCAACGACTGACAACAGAAGTCAGTACCCGCTGTGCACTGCCGATGGGAATGCAAATTGGAAAACATCAAAAACGGAGCTACCATCCGACCCAGCAATTCCACTCCCGGACAGAGCCACGGAAGCGCAAACACCACTGGAAAGGATGCATGCCCCCTGTGCGCACCGCAGTTATTTAGGTAGCCAAGACATGGACACAGGCCCAGTGCCCACCTGCCGATGAGCGGACAAAAGCCGTGGTGCGTGCACACAATGGAACACTGCCCAGCTACTAAGGAGAATGAAATCTTACCATCTGCAGCCACATGGATGAATCTAGCGGCTATGATGCTGAGTGAAATAAGTCAGACAGACAAAGACAAACACCGTATGATTTCACTTATATGGGGAATCTAAAACACAAAATAAGTGGACTCAAAGGTACAGAGGACGAAGTGATGGCTGCCAGAGGGGAGGGCGCCTGGGGGACCAGGTGGGCAAGGGGAGGGGCTAAGTACAGTTTGGTAGATACAGGCTGTCTGGGGACGTGAGGTTCCGCCGAGGGAATACAGGCAATGACACTGCAGTAACTATGCTCGGTGCCAGGTGGGGACAGAGTTATCAGGAGGATCACGTCATAAATTATAGAAATGTGCAACCACTGTAATTTACACCTGGAACTGAGAGTGAACGTCAACTGTACTTGAAAAAAAGAAGTTCTGTTTCTTGGTCACAGTGGCTGCATGTCAAGGGCGCAGTAGCCACAGGTGGTGCGGGCCACTCTCCTGGCTGGCACAGATGTGGCACGTTTCCATGGTTACAGAGCATGATGCAGGGCAGAGCCCAGAAAGCATTCATGGTGGGCGAAGACCACACCTGGAACATGCCCAGAACAGAAGAGTCAGGGAAGCAAGAGCCAATTGGAAGCCAGGAGAGAACGTGCCAGGACAGGAACTGAGGTGGTGGTGGGGGGGGGGGGAGCGGGGGGACACAGGACCGGGAAGCACCCACAAGGCTCAAAGACTGACCTGGCAGGAGGGGCTGCTGGGGAACGCGTGGCACCAATCAGACCTGCGGCTAAGAATGGGTGTGGTGGTGACAGAGGCCAGGCAGCGCCCTCAGAGAGGCCAGTGTCAGGCCGTGCGGAGCAGGGAGCAGCAGACAGGGCTGCAGGGAGGTCGGCAGTGAGGAGAGCCTGAAGGCAGAAGGGTCTGCTCGAGACGGAGACTGCGATGGAGACAGCAGGAGGGACAGAGGCGCAGAGGGGAGTGTGCTCTGCCGGGACCCACGTGGGAAGAGCCGGCCGTGGGTCTAGAGGTGACTGTACTGACTGCTTCACAGAAAACCACAGTGTTTGCCGACAGGTCAGGAGAGAGCAGACGGTACGTGCCAGCACTTCAAGCCTGGCTTTCTTGCTAACGTGGAACGCCCGCTACAGCTAGCTTTGCCCTCAGAGGCAATGGTACTTGAGGACGAGGCCAGAGGGCTACGCACTGGATCACGGCATTTTGTATGACATTCTGAGTCACAACATGAGCAATCTTGTTCACTTAAAGCAGAGTACGGGACAGACGGCTGAGCACGCACAGGCACGACTGACGCCCAGTCGACGGCATGGCACGGGCCCGGGCACGAGGTTACCTTCCCCGCAGGTCCAGGCGCCACCTCGTCCAGCACGTGGGCGCAGATGTTGATCACCTTCAGCAGGTGGGAGAAGAGCTGCTCCACCATGGGCACCAGGCTCCGGTCCCCCAGCGCTGGCCACGCCTCCTCCTGCTTGGCGGCTGCCGGGGTGGCCTCTTCCTCGGCGGCCCATGAGCTTCTCAGAGATCGGGGGGCACTGGCTGTGATAAGGCACAGGTGTTACCTCCAACCCCGCGGCGAGCGGGAAAGAGAGCACTTAGGAAACCCGTGGCAGTCAGACCCATCCACACGCACACCTCCACCTGGCAGTCACTGATACCTCAAATCACCAGGAAACTGGCATTTCCCCCAGAACATGCTCCCAATTTCCATGCCGGTCACCATCACACTCCCACCCAGAGTGGCAGTCACCCGAGGGGCGGCCCCGCCTGCCTCGGCGCCTGCACGCTCCCGCCGCCTGCTCCTGCGCAGCACGTGGTGCTGGGCTCGCTCCCCCCCTAACGACAACCTGAACCTCCCAGCCAGTCAGGGCGCGAGTGATCCTTCTAAATGACAGGAGGGCCAGGGAGGTTAGTACTGCTCCTACTAACAATTAATACAGCAATTAATCAATAATAACACAAGAATACACTGTGATTTGCATACTCACAACTGTAAACCTACCTTTTTTGGTCATATTTTTTATAATTTAAATTCCTTACTGTTGAAAGTATTACATGTCTCCTCCCCCCACCCCCCCATTAGCCTCCCCCTGGCTACTCCCACCCCCTAACACATGCCCTCACTGTCTGTGTCCACGGGTTATGCTTATATGCATGCATACAAGTCCTTTGGTTGACCGCTTACCCACCCCCCTTACCTCTCCTGCCTTCTCTCTGAGATGCTTCTCTGTCTCTAGTTTTGTCCATCAGTTTATGTTGTTCATTATATTCCACAAATGAGTGAGATCATGTGGTATTTATCTTTCTCTGACTGGCTTATTTCACTTAGCATAATGCTCTCCAGTTCCATCCATGTTGTTGTGCATGGTAAGAGTTCCTTCTTTTTTACTGCAGCGCAGTATTCCATTGTGTAGATGTACCAGTTTTCTAATCCACTCATCTGCTGATGGGCACTTAGGCTGTTTCCAGATCTTAGCTATGGTGAATTGTGCTGCTATGAGCATACGGGTGCATATGTCCTTTCTGATTGGTGTTTCTGGTTTCTTGGGATATAGTCCTAGAAGTGGGACTACTGGGTCAAATGGGAGTCCCATTTTTACTTTTTTGAGGAAATGCCAGACTGTTCTCCACAGAGGCTGCACCAGTCTGCATTCCACCAGCAGTGCATGAGGGTTCCTTTTTCTCTGCATCCTCTCCAGCACTTGTCGTCTGTTGATTTGTTGATGGTAGCCATTCTGACAGGTGTGAGATGGTACCTCATTGTCGTTTTGATTTGCATCTCTCAGATGATTAGTGACTTGAGCATGTTTTCATATGTCTCTTGCCCTTCTCAATGTCCTCTTTCAAAAAGTGTCTATTTACTAAGTCCTTTGCCCATTTTTGATTGAATTGTTTTATCTTCCTTTTGTTAAGTTGTATGAGTGCCCTATAAATTTTGGAGATTAAACCCTTACTGCAGATAACACTGGCAAAGGTGTTCTCCCACGCAGTGGGCTCTCTTGTTGTTTTGTTGATGGTTTCTTTTGCTGTGCAGAAGCTTTTTATTTTGATGTAGTCCTATTTACTTATTTTCTCCTTAGTTTCCATTGTCCTAGGAGATATATGGGTAAAGTTGCTACAATATATGTCTGATATTTTCCTGCCTATGGATTCGTCTAAGATTTTTATGGTTTCCTGTCTTACATTTAAGTCTCTTAACCATTTTGAGTTTATTTTTGTGTATGGTATAAGTTAATAGCATAGTTTCATTTCTTTGCATGTATTTGTCCAATTTTCCCAACACCATTTATTGAAGAGACTGTCTTGACTCCACTGTATGCTCTTGCTTCCTTTGTCAAGTATTAATTGAGCATAATGGCTTGGGTCGATTTCTGGGTTCTCTGTTCTGTAAACCTACTTTTGAACAGAGCATATTCTTGTATTATTACTAACTAGAGGCCCGGTGCACAAAATTTGTGCATGGGGGGGGGGGTCCCTCAGCCCAGCCGGCACCCTCTCGCAATCCGGGACCTTTTGGGGAATGTCCGACTGCCGGTTTAGGCCTGATCCCATGGACATCCCTCTCACAATCTGGGACTGCTGGCTCTTAACTGCTCGCCTGCCTGCCTGATTTCGCCCCTAAAACTCAAGCTTCTTCTTTTTTATTTTTAATATTTATATTTCTTTTTTATTTTAAAATTCAAGCTTCTTGAGAACATGAGGCGTTTAACATGATTCCATATTCCTTACAGAGAGCTAAGCATGGTAAACACAGCAAATTCTTAATACTTAAGGCTTCTACACAAACACTTTCCAACCAGGCATGTTTTAATAGGCAGGCCCCAAACACTTGAACTGTAAAAGCCTAAAAGTAGAGCACTCAGATTTCAGGCATCAGGGGCTACTAGCAGGATTTCTATCCCAATTCAACTCTAGTTCTGAGCGCTCAGCAGTTGATACAAACGGCCTTCACTAGCTCCAAAGTTTGTGTATGTGTTTGTGATTCCAAAATAGAGGTTTATTTACTAAGACTTATTTAGTGTTTGCATAAAAATCGCCAGTTGTTCCTCATTGGGTTTTTAACACACATGAATTCTTTGGGGGGTCCCTCTATCACCCCAACACTTTCAAAATACAGCTCTTGTTAGTGCCAGGAGGGAGTTACGGTAGCGAGGTGTTTCTTTGGGTCTCGGCATCGGGAGGCTCACGGCCTCCCTCCTGGGAGAACACACATGATGGGTAGTTTCTCAGGTGGGGTAGGCTGTCCCTGAAGGAAACACTTATGCAGAAGAAGCCAGCTCAGTCGTCTGGGTCCGTTCCTCATACCTGACAGCTTCAAAATACAGTCCCCTTGGTCAAGGTCACCAAAGGCTTGCTGGTTGTTTTCAACTATAAAAAACTGTCGGGAAAAAGACAGTAGGAAGAGCGGGGTGTACGCTGACAGCGCTGTGAGGCTGGGCTGTGCAACCACAGGAGAGCACACAGCAGTCTGCTTTAAAAACAATCCTGTATAATTTCAAATCAGACTCCTCGTGGGCCTTACATGGCCTGAAACATCTCTGCACCAGATCCTCATTTTTAAAATGAGGTGTATGACAGTGCTCCCCCAAGGTCACACACCACGTGGGGACAGGGGACAGAAAACCCTAAGACTTGCCTAATATTAGCAACATTAACTGATTTTATTGCACAGAGATGAAGGCAGTCGGTCTGTGCTGCTGTGAAATTAAAGGTGATGTAGAAGAGGGTGGTTATTTATTGCTCCGTTAGGATAGACCCCAAAAGTGACTTTTCAGAAACCAGGGCTGTCCCCTGAAACCCCAGCCAGACTCTGGGCCGCTCTGGGGGACGCAGGCCACGGCGGCCTCCATCTGCTTCACAGTGATTCTGGCTGGGCTGTGCCTGGGAGTGCCGGCCAGGGGCACGCCTACACCTTGTAGCTGAGCTGGGCGTTCATCCTGGTGTACATCTCCTAGATGACGTCGGTGGTGGCCGTGAAGGTGACCAGGAACAGTGGACCTTCTCCAGGCTCTCCTCCTCCCTCACGTTCTGGTCCTTGGACAGCGCTTTCAGGAAGTGGGACTTGTAGGGCGCGGCACACAGCGCTGCCTGGAAGATCTCCTGCACGACCCAGCTGTGGTGCTTGAGCGCCATCCCCTAGGCCTTGGTGGCGTTGGCGCGGGTGAGGGTGGGGTGGCTCTCATCGCAGATGCTCTGCAGGAGGGTCTGGGTGAAGCGGAGGCCCCTTCTCAGCCACATCAGCGCCAGTGTGGCCCCCACTTTGGGCCACTCTGCTCCATCCATTTCCTTTTGCGCCTCCAGGATGTTCTGCAGGGTCCAGAACTCAGCCGGGTTGCGGTTGTACACAGCTTTGATTTTCGTGATGTTACCACTTATGTCTGCCTTGATGGGCGTAAACACTGGGGACCCGAGGCAATCGAAGAAGGGCGGCAGGAGGGACACCGCCTCCAGGAAGGGCCCGGTCTCGATCTGCTTGTCCGAGGGCAGCGGCTTCAGCAGGTGCTCGGCCAGCAGCACCATTTCAGGGTTGAGGCCGGCAGTGATGCCGTTTTCTAATCGGATCTTCCTCTTCCTCTCCCAGCACACTCCACACCTACTCCAGATGGACCACCCAGACCCCACAGACCCTTAAGACCTTCCCCTCTATTTCTTTGACTTTCCCTCATCAAACTTGCACCCTATCGTGTTGCCTAGGGGCGCCCCTAACTGCTACCTGGGGGGTGGAGCCAGCCCGGCGAGGGGCCATGGTGGTTCTGGTCTAATGATCATTATGGTCATGATGGCGTTACAGTCGCTGGCTTTTTATGTATATACAGATTATTGTCTTAATCAGTAGTAGTAACCTATGCTTGCCCACCCGTCCTAATTCACCTGTCGGTCCCGTTCACGAAGCTCCTCAATGGCCGCCACAGCAAGCAGGACAAGTCCTCCTGTGGACGCTGGGGACCCCACACCACTGATTTCAGGGGGCCCCCGCCTCCCGGCCACATTCTCCATCCTAGTCCTCGTCCCTCCATCCAGTCTTCGGCTGTCACACCATTTTTCACGTCTCCAGGCCTTTGTACATGCTGTGCCCTCCATCATGTGCCCTTTCCTGCCAGCCCATTGAAGTCTTGTTTCCCGTCCTAAAGACAGTGATTGCGGCCATTCTGTGCTGCCACTGCACTTCAGTTCCACGTGTCTCCCTAATCTGCATTTGACGTGAGAACGGAGCCCACACATGGTACTTTCTTACCACCCAATTGCTGAGACAGTGCCTGGCCCATGTGCCCCTAAACTGAAATGAGAAAGGAGCCTGCCTGTGCCTCTCGCAGGGGCTCCACTGGGAAAGGGCTCCATTGGGATACCTGACACAGACCAGCTGCCGACAGCACATGCCGCCAGCAGACACCTACGCACGCGGTCACGTCTGACGTCAGGAACAGCTGTCGCTGCCAGCGACTCAGTGCTCTCCCCTCAGGTGCTCGCTGCCCTGCCCCTCACAAGCAAATCAAAAGCTAAAGATCCGAGGTCTCTGTTTCAACTCAGAACCAGTACCTGCAAGCAAGTTTCCGGCCAAGATCAAGGCATCCTGATGGGCTGCAAGGTCCAATGGGAACCACGCGGACGAGAGCAGGGTCAGGATCACCGTGGCCATCCCGACAGTACAGCTCTTCCTGGACTCGTCCAAGGCGCTCAGAGGGGGCACTCTGGGGGCAGATGTGTGCGAGGTCACGTTACAGAAACATTTTAAAGCAAACGGTCTTTTTAAATTTCATTGATTATTTTAGAGAGCAAGGAAGGGGGAGAGAGAGGGAAATATCAATGTGAGAGTAAAACATCCATCAGCTGCCTCCTGCACACCCCCACCGAAGATCGAACCTGCACCCCAGGCGCATGCCCTGCCACGGGACCAAACTGGCAACCTTCCAGTTCATGGGGTGATGCCAACCAACCGAGCCATTCTGGTCAGGGCTAAAGCAAACAGGCTTGCTTCCCTTCTGAACCAAGAAGGCCCGTCACTGCCCACTGCACACCAGCTCAGAAAGTGACCCTACAATTAACTGGCATCTTTCCTGTGAACCACAGCTCTGCAAACGCCATCTGAGAGGTGAAAGCAGGTAGCCGAGCTGATCAAAAGCATTCTGGTGACTTTTAACTCTCTCACCTCGGAGTTAGCACTTGCACTGGCTTCTGCACTGAGTGCAAGTGCAGAAGCCAGATGCTGGGTCTGTGACTAGAAACTGCAGTTGCTTGAAGGTACTTGTTGCAGGAAATGGTCACTCCAGACGGGAGAGTGCCCTGCATGGGCAAAGCTCCCTGGCCATGCGCTGGCACATACGATGGGCGAGGTGACTTCCCAGCGTGACGTGGGCGTCCGTGCGAACAGCAGCTCCCTCACTCCGCTGCTGGGAAAGCCCGGCAGGGCGCACGCTAGACACCCCGCAGCTGCAGCACAGCATTCCTCCACCCACTCCTGCGGCCATCGCACTTCACGGTGGGTCACATTAGATTTTACACAAAAAATGCTCCTACGTGCTCAATGTGTAGTGGATAATTCTACGGAGAAGCGCAGCTAGAAGTCTCTTGGCCCAGAAGGGCAAAGCGTGTATCATCCTGAACACCAAGAGGTGCAGGCCGATCCCTGGTCGGGTGCGTATGGGAGGCACCCCATCACGTCCATGTTTCTCTCTCCCCCCCGCTTCCTGCTCTCTCTCTAAAATCAATAAAAACGAACCCTCAGTGAGGATAAGAAAAGGAAGTCTTTTGCCAGCCAGGGGGTTCCTGTAGCTGAGCCTCCACACGCTGAGGAGCGAGCCTGACGCCCATGACTGGAACCAGCTCGGTGTTGCCCAGCAGCTCCTGCCACCCGCCCCCAACACCAACAGCACAGAACAAGCACCTGTGGGGCATTTCCCACAGGCCCAGGCGATGAAGGAATCACAGCAAAGAAACAACAGGGCCCCAATGGGGATGCTCGTATCGCGTACTGGACGCCAAGGGCCAAGAAACACTTACCCACAGTGCCAGCCTAGACTCCAAGTGCAGACCGGGAAGGCGGTTGAGAGGAGACACAGAGCTTCACAGCATCCGAACTGAAGAGGAAGGATAATGGAATCACCAACACAGAAAGCTTCCTTCAACCCAGCCTCCTTCCTCCCACGCTTCATACACGTACAACGAGGTTCATGTCTACCGCTGGGATAGTGGGCCAGGCCGGCAGGCCCTTTGCGTAGAGCTGCAGTTGTCCTGGCTGCCCCCTGCCTGCACAGCCTCCAGCCGCCCCCTCCCCCTGCCTGCACAGCCCCAAGCCCTCCTGACACACGGAGGCCACAATAAGTACAAACATGTAACATTTATGATATTCTAAACAAATCAAAGGAAAATCAAACTGGAGAGCCCACACGATCTTATGTCTGAAAGGCAAGTTCAGGCTGATCAGGACTCATCATGAGTTCCCACGGCAAGGAAGTGCTGCATCCGTCTCTTCAGGGAAAGGACCAGGTCTGACCTGCTCACCACCAAAGGGACTCTACCTCTGAATAATACTTTTTCCTGATGATAGAAGTTACCCTTTTTTGTTTTAGAAAATTTGTGATACCTGAAAAATTTAAAGAAAAATCACTCATCCTAAATAAATTTTGGCAATTTTCTGCCTGTCATTTTCCCAAGTATTAGAAACATATATCCTATATAATAAAAGGGAAACATGCAAATAGACCGAAAAGTAGAACAATTGAACAACCAATCAAAGTGTAATATGCTAATGATATGCTAAGGCTGCTCAACCGCTCGCTATGATGCACTGACCACCAGGGGGCAAACAGTTGACTGGTCGACTAGTCGCTATGATGTGCACTGATCACTAGAGGGCAGATGCTCCGACCAGTAGGCTAGCTGGCTGCTGGGGTCCAGCCAATTGGGACTGAGTAAGATGAGCCAGACATGCCCTGGCGCCCTCCCGTGGTCCCTCCCCAGCCCGATCGTGTACCAGTGGGTCCCTCAGCCTGGCCTGTGCCCTCTCGCAATCCAGGACCCCTCGGGGGATGACAGAGACCCAGTTTCAGCCCGATCCCACAGACTACTGCCCTTGGGAGGGCACCAGATGCAGGGCTCAGGGCTGGTGAGTGCTGCTGTGGCAGCATGAGCCTCTCCTGATTGGGACTGATTGGGCACGAGCCCGCGGCAGGCACAGTGGGGCTGGGATGAAAGGGGGCAGCAGGTAAGAGCTGCAGGCAGTGTTGGACTGCGGGTTTCAGCCTGATCCCTGCAGGCCACCCAGAGGGGCCCCACCCATGCACAAATTCGCGCACCAGGCCTCTAGTCTATATAATAAACGCCTAAGTGATTGTCACAGTGGAACGACCAGAACGAACGGTCGCTATGATGCGCGCTGACCACCAGGGGCAGATGCTCAACGCCAGAGCTTCCCCCTGGTGGTCAGTGCACTCCCACAGGGGGAGCACCGCTCAGCCAGAAGACAGGCTCATCTCCCTGAGGTGAGGGGGAAGGGTGGGACTGTGCAGGCAGGGGGAGATGAGTGATTTTTTTTTAAGTTTTTCAGGTGAGTGCAGTGCTAGTGGTGAGAGCCTCTCCTGCCTGCACAGCAGTGCCAAGGAGCAGCAAGCTGAGCAAGAGCGGTAAGGAGCAGTGAGCAACCAGGCAGTAAGGAGCGAGGGGTCCCGGACTGCGAGAGGGCGCAGGCTGGGCTGAAAGACAGCCCCCCACAGTACACAAATTTCGTGCACCAGGCCTCTAGTATATATATGTTAATATTTCTCAAAACTTGGATCTGACTACACACAAGCATGCAGTTTTGAATTGTGCCTTTTTTCACTCAATATTACAATTCAGGTTATATCTCTGTAAACTTTTGAAAGTTCTCCAAGCATCATATTAATAGGGGCATAATAAATGCACTACCATCTACACTGTATTTAGTCATAATCAGAATTCAATCATTCTTGGATTCTGGGATATTATGATTCATTTCCAATTCCAGCATCATAAATCCTGATAAAAATAATTACATTATACAAAACCCTTGTTGGTATATCTGGTTTTTACCCTTTAGTATATACTACAAAGTCTCTGAGTGAGTTATATGAGAGACAGTTTAAATTTCTGAGAAAACCCATTCAAATTATGAGAGTTTTTAGTTTGGCTTTTATGTCTTCCTGTGTTGGCTGGATTTCTTACAATGAGCATTTGCTACTTTAATAATCAGAATGAAGTTGTGTATATTCCTATTGAAATAAACTAAGATTTTGTCCAAAGAATCACAACTTCTTAGGAAGCCCCACGTATGAGTCTAGATGCTAGACTCTAGCATCATCTCACCATTAAGAGCTAACCTGCCCTGGCCAGTTTGGCTCAGTGGACAGAGCACTGGCCTGCAGTCTGAAGGGTCCCGGGTTCAATTCTGATTAAGGACACATGCCCAGGTCGTGGGCTCGATCCCCAGGAGGGGGCATGTATGAGGCAGCCGACCCATGATTCTCTCTCATCATTGATGTTTCTATCTCTCTCTCTCTCCCCCTCTCCCTTCCTCTCTGAAATCAATAAAAATATATTTAAAAACCAAAAAAGAATTGACCTATGGTCCTGGTCGGTGGCTCGGTGGTTAGAGCGTCAGCCCTCACACCAAAGGGTCTTGGGTTTGATTCCCAGCCAAGGGCACGGACTTGGGTTGTAGGTGTGACCCCCAACCCAGTTGTGGCGCAGAGGCACCCAATCCATGTGTCGCTCTCTCTCTCTTCCCCCTTCCCTCCCTTCCATTCTCTCTAAAAATCATTGGAAAATATATCCTTGGATAAGAATGAACAACAACAAAAAAGAACTGACCTTACAAAGGAGTAAAAATGAATCTCATTAAGCGCGGCCACGGAAGGAGACTCACCGTGAGCGCGCGCGTGGTGGCAGTGACCAGCTGGTGGGTCACCGCCGCGGTGACTCTAGACAGGTTGTTTTCCATGGTGACATCTGTGATGCTTGGCAGTAAGTTATAGCCTCTATATATTCTGATAAGAAAAGAATGGAGACTTAAAGGTATTCTTAGAGCTCACGACATTGACAGAACTCAAACGGCATTTAGAAGTTTAAGACTAAAGGCGATAAGAAGTTAAAGCAGTCTTGGCTTTTAAGTTAAAGAAAGACTGGAAATAAGGTGGTCATCCTCTTTAATAAACCCTGATATGCTAAGTGTCTGGTCATCCAGTTGGCCATTCAACCAATCAAAGCATAACATGCTAATGAGATGCTAAGGCTGCTCAACCGCTCGCTATGATGTGCACTGACCACCAGGGGGCAGAGAGTTGACCGGTCAACCAGTCGCTATGACGTGCACTGACCATCAGGGGGCAGATGCTCCAACCAGTAGGTTAGCTTGCTGCTGGGGTCTGGCCAATCAGGACTGAACGAGACAGGCCGGACATGCCCTGGAGCCCTCCCATGGCCCCTCCCCGGCTGACCAACCTGTTGTGTCCCTCCCCAATCGGTCCCTCAGCTTGGCCTGCTCCCTCTCGCAATCTGGGACCCCTAGAGGGATATCAGAGAGCTGGTTTTGGCTCAATCCAGCAGGCCAGGCCGAGGGACCCCACTGGTGCATGAATTCGTGCACTGGGCCTCTAGTTATTCTATAAAAAATGGCTGAGCCCTGGCAGGTGCGGCTCAGTTGTTTGAAGCTTCGCCCCATACACCAAAAGGTGGCAGATTCAACTCCCAGTCAGGGCACACACCCAGATTGCAGGTTCCATCCCTGGTCAGGGACGCATGCGGGAGGCAACTGATCGATGTGTGTCTCTCTCACATCAATGTTTCTCTCTCTTCTCTTCTCTTTTCTCTTTGTCTTTTTCTCTCTCTCTTTCTCTCCCCTCTCCCTCCCTCCCTTCCACTCTCTTTAAAAATCAATGGAAAAAATATCCTCAGGTGAGGATTACCAAAAAAATAAATAAAAATAAGTAAATAAATAGCCCACTCATATGAAAATTAATGGGCATAGGCAAGACAAACAAAGTGAAACATTCCACGGACACGTTTTAGATAAGACAGCATCAGAGCCCTACAGAGGAATACACTCAGTACGTGGCTCGTACTGAACTAAAGTTTACGGTGTCACTTCTGTGTGATTCGGCAGAGCTTAAGGAGGCGGGAGCTAAATCCTGAAAAAGAACAAATACTATCAAAGGAAGATGATCTGCTGAAACACCTGCACCTAAACAGTTTGGGGTTTTTGTCCTAGAAAATCCAGTTTAGATGAAAGCCCTAGAGCAAGGCACCAGGAAAGGGCACTTTCCCGACGGGCTTGGTCGCGTACCTGGTTATGGTGCTGACGGAGAAGTGGGAGGCGGGCTGCGCCTCGTGCATGAGAAGCTTCAGGTAAACACTGCTCTGGTCTCTGGCCATGGCCACGACGGGGTCCGCCTGCCCTTGGTCGCACTTATAGAACAGCTTGGGGACAAGCCTAACATGAAAGCGAGGTGTTCACTGGAGGAAGCATGGACACCCGCCTGTGGCTTCCCACCCGTCAAGGTGGCAGGCCTCCATCACCGTCCGCCCACGAAGCCCACTACACTTTCCAGGCGTGTGTTCTCTAGCATGTTGGGAGTCTCCAATCACAGGCCACCCCTCGCCAAGCTACGCTAAGCCCAAAGGCAGAATCTGGAGCAGGGGGGCTCTTTCCTGCACCCACGTGTGGAGCGTTTTGTGGGTTTGCGTGAGTGCGTGCACTCCCACACAGGCAGGAGGGGTGCAGAACTTTCAGAAACAATCACTATTTTACTTGCAAAACCCTGTATCTTTCCTCTATGGAGACTTGGTCATTAAGCACAATTCTTCAAGGTATAAAATTGCAATCATTTTCAGAAAATGGTAAAGATCCAAAATCTTTGACCAGGCAAGTCATACAAACCCAGTGAAGCCAGTGAAAAGCTACACCTCACAGGGCATCACGAAATGCAAATGCCAGCACTGGAAGCGGAAAGATGTCACCAAATTTAACTGGTTTTCTTTGAGTGGTTTGATTACAAGAATTTTTATTTACTTTTTTATATTTTCCTTAGATTTTGTTGAGTAAACGTGTTATTTTTAAAAAGAAATACCAATTTCTTCCTAAACAACTGACATGTTTAACTTGTCTGAAACATGTTTGGTGAGCAGAACCAGGCACCACAGTCCGCATGGGAGTGCAACGGGCCTGCTGCAGAAAGCACCCACCACAGAAGCCCACCGCCAGGACCCACCCAGTTTGTGAAAACTAAGTCCACACAAAGCCTCGCGGGCAGATGCTCACGGCAACATGACTCATCGTCACCAAAAAGGGGAAATAACAACAACCACCCTCTGGTGAGCGAGTGAACAGAACACAAGGGTCCCTGCGAGGCTGCCCCTCAAACCCAAGCGAGAGGCGCCAGGGCAGCAGCTCGCCTGTCGTTCGACCCTGTTGACAAAAACAGCCCAAGAGGCCACCCTCCGGAGGCAGGACGCAGGCTCCTGGCTGCCTGGCTGCGGTGGGAACGGGGAGCTTGCAAATGGGCACAAGGGGTCCTTGCAGGCCATGGAAATGTTCTACAACTGGACGGTGGTGATGGCTACGCAGTCCAAAAATGAGCTGAATATCTTTCCATTGTACACTTAAGATGCGTGTACTTCAAGGCATGTAAATTATACCTCAAAAAGCTATTAGAAAAAATTTAAGAACATCCCAAAGCTTGGCCTTAGTAACTCAACTTCCAAAAATTATGCAGAAACGTTTGTGTGGCGATGCTGGCTGGAAGGAACACTGCTCATTATTTAAACGGAAGACAGCTTCACCCTGGCTGGTGTCGCTCCGACACCAAAAGGTCACAGGTTCTGCTCCCCGTCAGGGCACACACCCGGGTCGTGGGTGTGATTACCGGTTGGGATTTAGGCAGGAGGCAACTGATTGCTGTTTCTTTCTCTCCCTCTCTCCCTTCCTCTCTCTAAACAAACGAACAAAAAAAATCAATTGAAAAGAGAAAGATAACTTTAATATCCAACTAAATAATATTTATATAAAGGCTTATCACAATCACATAGTAAAAACTGGCACCAGTTAAAATTTCTCTTCTAGAAGAGTATCTGATAACAGGAAATTGCTAATATTTAAGTGGAAATTACTAGATTACAAAGCTCTATATATTTTGTTCCAATTACAGAGCAAAATGTTAACAGCGATCATCTTTAAGTGGCAGAACTGATGGTGATTTTCACTTCCTTCCTAGCGCCATTCCCTATATTCAAAAATTCGGGAGTGCAACTTGGCCTCGGGGGTCAGTGTCCTGCTGTGCCGATGACATTTTGGGCTCGTGACAGTGAGTAACTTCTTTCCTGATAACTGAGGAGCAGCAGGAAGTGACTGCAAAAGATGCAGGAATACTGCCCTCCGGCCCAGAATGTTCCCCGGTCCCCTTCTCATAACATCGGTGCTTTCGCCAGAAAAGTAACCGAAGAGAAAAGACGCTGGCAAATACCTCACTAACGACGCAGCGGCAACGTGTCGCACTCTGGGGTCTTCATCCCCCAGCAAGTGGAGGACCACGCTGTGGAGCACCCGCTCTTGCAGCTTCAAAAGCTTTGAGAGAGAAAAGAGACCGGCTATGTCCCGAGGTTTCGGTCAGCGGCTGGGGAAGGCGGCGAGGAAGAGCTCGCGGTCAGCAGCTCAGCGCGCACCATGCACCCGCACTCCCCGCGGGACCGTGCTTACCCCTGTGTAATGGTGCGCCCCTCTGTGCAGGTGTTCTGCTTTTGCTTCCAAAAAGCTCACCAACCTGACGAAAGAGATGTTTCACGGTGAGCACCCATCCCTCCACAAGCACCTCTGGCGGCGGCGGCGGGACGCTGACAGGCCCACCGCGAGGGCAGGCCGCGGCGGCGGGGAGCCAGCAGCACCCACTAAATGGTGTCACATCCTCTCCTAATCCAGACGCCGCCCATCAGATGTGCTGAGAAAATGCTTCTCTTCAAAAGCAACACGAGCGTGCATTATTTTAAGACTCCAGGGCCTGCAGAGTTAGCTCAAATGTGAGGACTGTGGGCAGGGGCTGCACCTCCCGCTCACTGGCCGCGCCAGCAGGTGCTCACGCCCATGCTGTGGCCCCTCTGAGGGGTACAGGAGAGACACACCCTAATTCTCAGAAATGTTCTGAGGATGCAGCAAATGCCCGCAGAGGGTGGCCAGCACGCGCCTGGCACAGACCAGCCGTTCTCAACCTGTGGGTCGCGACCTCTTTGGCGGTCGAATGACCCTTTCACAGGGGTCACCTAAGACCATCCTGCATATCAGATATTTACATGACGATTCATAACAGTAGCAACATTACAGTTATGAAGTAGCAACAAAAATAATGTTATGGTTGGGTCACAACATGAGGAACTATATTTAAAGGGCCAGAAGGTTGAGAACCACTGCTCCAGACGGTGCTTAAAAAGTCCCTGGTAAGAAAAGAAACATTCTCTCTGGCAGAAAACCCACACTCCTCCAGGACGCGAGAAACTGCAGCCCATCTGATCAAGTTCACGCTCCACACCAAGCAGCCATACGACCCAAGTCTGGGGCAGTGGTGAGCACGCTCTATGGACCAGAACTGACACGGCTCTGGCGTGAAGTGACCCTTCCACTCCATCAGAGACCCCCGGCACTGCACTCGGCTGCGCGGAGGGTCTGAGCGGGGCCGAGTGCAGACGGAGCGAAGCACTGTCAGCTCTAAGCCCCTCGGTTTCTGCCGCACAGGTGACCGGCCTCGCTCACTGCCAGGGCTGACCTGGTGACTCTCCGAACCTAGGAGTTACCCCTGATGATTCTCACCACCCACTTCCCTGGTGACTTGACACCAGATTAGCTAGACACGCCACTATCTGGGGCTGGTAACCATCACCACCTGCACCAAAGGCACAGCCTTTGGATGTCCCGCGCCCTGCGAGGGGCCTGCTGCGCGCACCTGAAGTCCGTCTCTGCGAGTGTCTCCAGCAGCTCCGTCCTCACCAGCCAGTAGGAGCTGCTCCTCAGGCTCAGCACGTCGGTGATCAGCTGCAGCCCCAGGTCGCTGTAGCTGCTGCTACAGAGGCTCATGACACAGTGCTGGAAAGAAAGGCAGCGTGACAGCGTCAGAAGCTCCACACACTTGGACACTGGTCCACGTGCACATCACACGCACACACCAGTCCACACGCACATCACCCACACACACCGGTCCATGTGCACATCACTCGCACAAACTGGTCCACGTGCACATCACCTGCACACACACTGGCCCACGTGCACATCACAAACACACACACACACACACACACACACACACACACTGGTCCACGTGCACATCACTCACCCACACTGGTCCACATGCACATCACGCACACACACTGGTCCACGTGCACATCACCCACCCACACTGGTCCACATGCACATTACGCACACACACTTGTCCACGTGCACATCACTCACCCACACTGGTCCACGTGCACATCACTCCCCACACTGGTCCACATGCACATCACTCACTCACACTGGTCCACGTGCACATCACGCGCACACACTGGTCCACATGCATGTGCCAGGAGCCGGTCCATCTTTGCTGTTTCAAGGGACCTGGCATATATGGCATACTGTTCTTAAAATGTTTGCTAACCTTCTTGGCACTATGTGTTTTAACCAAGGTCTCCTCTCTGAGAAAGGTTGTTTCCCCAGGTAGGGATTTTTCCCTGAAGTCAGGGAGGGGATAAAACTCCTTAACTAAGTGCCAGGCGGGTAGTTAATCACTTTAACTATAAACAATCACGCTTAAGCTACATAATCTTTACTCCCTGGAATGGAGATAAGAAACGCCTTAACCTTTGTAATAGAGATTGATAGGATTGAATCAACTGGTATAAATACAGATGTAATAAGACAGCAAGACACAGAACTAAGAAAGACAGAACCTAGGCACAGAACCTACACAGAACGTTCTCTAGAGACAGAAGAACTTCGCTGGAGAGAGCATGGCAAAAGATCCTGGACAGAAACTGGCCTCAGAACCTAGAGACAGAACCTAGCGAGAGAACATGGCAAAAGATCCTGGACTGAACCTGACTATAGAACATGGCAAGAGAACCTGACTAGAACTTGGTGACTGAACAGGCTGGAGAACCTGGATGGAACCTGGCTGGAGAACCTAGCGAGGGAACATGGCTACAGAACCTGGCTGGAGAACCTGGAGAACCTAGCAAGAGAACATGGACACAGACCCTGGCAGGAGATCCTAAGCAGAACCTCTCTGGAGATCCAGACCAGAACTTGGCTGGAGATCCTGGCTGGAGATCCTGGCTAGGCTGCTGATCAACTGAACGCTGTCTCCGTTGTCATTCCTTCTTCGCCGACTCCGTCCACACCTTTGGGGACCCCTGGACCTGCTGGGGTTGGACCCCAGCATGCATGCACATCACTCACCCACACTGGTCCCCGTGCACATCACGCGCACACACTGGTCCCCATACACATCACGCACACACACTGGTCCACGTGCACATCACGCACACACACTGGTCCACGTGCACATCACGCACACACACTGGTCCACGTGCACATCACTCACACACACTGGTCCACGTGCACATCACGCACACACACTGGTCCACGTGCACATCACTCACCCACACTGGTCCACGTGCACATCACTCACCCACACTGGTCCACGTGCACATCACGCACACACACTGGTCCACGTGCACATCACCTGCACACACACTGGTCCACGTGCACATCACGCACACACACTGGTCCACGTGCACATCACTCACCCACACTGGTCCACGTGCACATCACTCACCCTCACTGGTCCACGTGCACATCACTCACCCACACTGGTCCACGTGCACATCACTCACCCACACTGGTCCACGTGCACATCACGCACACACACTGGACCACATGCACATCACTCACCCATACTGGTCCACGTGCACATCACGCACACACACTGGACCACATGCACATCACTCACCCATACTGGTCCACGTGCACATCACGCACACACACTGGTCCCGTGCACATCACGCGCACACACTCGTCCATGTGCACATCACGTGCACACACTGGTCCCCGTGCACATCACTCACCCATGCTGGTCCATGTGCACATCACGCGCACACACTGGTCCACGTGCACATCACTCACACACGTGTCCATGTGCAACTCACTTGCACACAATGGTCCATGTGCACTCACACGCATACTGGTCCATGTGCACCTCAGTCGCACACACTCGTCACGTGCACCTCAGTCGCACACAATGGTCCACGTGCTCAGAGACATTGGCGACATATGCTTTACTTCAGCAAACTTGCATTTCGAAGTGTGTCCCTGTCACATAACTTAGTTTTCCTTTTCCTCCCATTTCTGCCTCGGTCACGGCCTCTCCTCCCAGACACCCATGCTGTGAACACGCATCAGCAGTACGAGGGAATGGCACCATCACCCGCCACTTCCCACACATCTGAGACCCAGGGCCAGCCCCGCCCCTCGCGCTTCCCGATGTCACTGCGTACCCCACAGTGCGGCTGGTGACGGGCGGGGGTGACTATGAATCAGGGCGGAAAGGCTGCACAGCTGCCAGGCCAAGGACGGGGCCTGCCACTTGTCACGGACACAGGTGACTAACGGCCTCCAGCCTCACTCTAACTGTGTGTCCGACGGCCTCAATGAGTTGTCATTTTTAACTCAACAGCTGTGACACTTATGTGAGCGAGATCTTTTTCTAAACACGCTCTTAGGAAAAAGGTATATTTCAAACCAGCAACCCCATGAGAACATTCTGAGAATCAAAACTTTTAAAACAGTCCATTAAACCGTAAGTTTATCGGCAATGGTTTATCCCTAAAGCAAAGTGATGGATACACAGACGTTTATTCTTGTTTGCAACATTGCATGTCTGGACACGTGCAATCTTAACTGTACTAACGGTAAGGTTCCCACACGCACAGGGGTCCACAGCGCTCACCCGCACAGCTGTACACGCCAACTTGCAAGTAACAGATGACTCATCCTTCAGCGTTTTCCGCAGCAAAGGAACGCAGCCCACCAGAGAAAACGTGTTTCCTGAACAGAGCAAGCCACAAATGCCTGCGTGTGAACTTGAACTTGGCAATGACACCCAGAGGGCAACCCTCAGAAACTGGCCGCTACCTGTGCGAGCTCGAACGGAGCCCAGCCAGTCCCCCACCTGGAAGCGGGACCTGCTGAGGATGGAGCAGATGAGAGTCCCACAGAGGATGGCCGTGGCTCCGCGGACCTGCGGATCTCCGTGATCGATGTAGCTGAGGACGTCTGAGACATACTGTTCCTCTGCGGGGACAAATGCCAGCCACCGTGAAAGTCCACTTCAACTTTCCAGGAAAGACAACAAGGGGCGGGCGACCCACCCAGACAAGGCCTGACGAGGGTAGCATGCGGGCAGCGTGTTTAGGCTTGAAAATTCTACATTCAAGGTAGCAGTCAACACAACCGGTTAGAATTCCAGGTTGTCAGCCAATAAGCAAAATTCTAATTTTTTCCTTCATGAAAGGTGAGAAAAACTCAAACGAGTCCACAGTTACCTCACATGAATTCAAAGGCACAGGCCTGCCCCCGCGCCCAGAGCGAGCAAGGGAAGCGAGAGGAGAGCGTCAGAGGGCACTCTTCCCACCATCACTCCGTAACGAGTACGTCCCGGAGCGTGCGCGGGACCGGGTCAGCGGGGCCTCGGCCGCTCTCAGCCCGCATGTCTGAGTGTGCTATAAATTCTGATTACATACTAATCTGGGCTTTCGGTAAAAATCTACATCATCAACTAGATCGTATGCTCCCAGAACCCTGCTGTGCTGCTGTGTGCATTCCCACTGAGCGCCGCGAGGAAGGCTCTGAGCCTGCGGTGTGTGCTGAGTGGGCAGCCCCTCACGGACGGAAGCCCGCGAATGCAAGAAACCCGCTGTCCTGCCCTAAAGCAGTCGGGGCGGGAAGCCGTCTTCCAGGGAACGGCGGGCGCGGGCGGAGGCCGGCCGGCGGAGGGCACCATACCCGGACACTCGGCGGCGTCCAGGGGGGCTGTGTACAGCTTGCTGAAGAAGGACTCCGGGCACAGGGCCACCGCGGCGCCGACACAGCTGAGCGCCAGCGCCTTCACGCTGACACGCACATCCCTGTCGGGAACCAAGGCTGCAAAGGAACCACCTGGGTGTCACCTTCAGCTTCAAAGCAGCAAACACTTAGTTTCCAAAAAAGCCAAGACTAGATCCCCTGAAACAGCCGCCGCCCCTCCCAGCAATCAGTACAACCTCCGCTCACGCTCACCAGCCTCGGCTAACCGCCAGCCCGGCAGCGGCGCCAGGCTGCTGAAACCCGGGCTTCCCCGCGTCTCTCCCCAGCCGCCCCCTTACCGTTTCTCTCCCCCGTGAGCAGAAACGAAGCAGACAAGAGGCGGACACAATGGGTGAGGGGCGCAGAGTCGTCGTCGTCAGGCTGCCCGATGTCCCCTCTGATGCGGCAGGGCTGGAACAGAGAAACCGACACTTGCTTGTCTGACAACAGCACACGCTCGTCCCCTCGCTCACTCAGCCTGGCTCCCGCGCGGCAGCGGGCGGCGCTGGGGCACAGGTGCTGCCTCACCGGCCACGGGCGAGAGGCAGGAAACATCAGGGCTGCGTGGGCTGCGGCAGGGACGACTCAGAGCGCAGAGGGCACACCGGTAGGGGCTGCTAGGGAAGCCACCGGCTATGGGCAGGGCGGCCCCGGAGCTGGGAAAAGCCCGAGGCGCAGCGGGAGGAGCCTGTGTGGGGATCTAAAGCCACGACGGAGGCTGCAAGAGGGACTGAGCGCCTCTGTGGCTGAGCACCCACGAGTTCTTGCCCTCAAGGCATTTAAACGAACTGGGAGGACAGGCAGTTCCTCAGGAAACGAAGTTAGAATGACCACCTGACCCAGCCATTCCACCAGGAACTGAAAGAGGGCCTCGAGGAGACACCTGCACACCGTGACCACGGCCCGCTGTTCCCAAAGGCCAGCCGGGAGAAGAAGACAAAATGTGACGGCACATAGAACAGAATGTTAGCTCATGTTTAAAATGAAAGGCAGGAGAGTCTGACACCTGCTACAGCATGGATGGCCTTGAGGACAGGATGCTCAGTGACGTGCGTGAGTCACACAGAAGGGCAATGCTGTAGGGTCCCACTTATGTGAGGCCCCGGGAAGCGTCAATCCAGAGCGCGCACGCAGAACGGAGGCCCCGGGCTGAGGAGGGAGGACTGGGGCTGCAGTGTCCGGGGACAGAGCTTCCGCCTGGGAAGGCAGGGGGCTGGGAGACGGATGTGGTGACAGTCAACAACGTGAATGCATTTAAGCCACTGAACTGGCAAGTTTTAAGGTCCGGGTATTCTACCACAATAAACAGACCCACAGATCAAAGGGACCAACGCAAGAAACACTGACAGCCCTGCAGGTGGTCCAGTGAATGGTCCCAGGAGGCGGGGAGGTAGACAGGCCAGTGGGAGGGCTCCAGGGAGGAGGCCTCGGCGGTTCTCCAGGACGGCTGGGGTTGGGGGGTGGGGGTGGGGCAGCACGCGACAGACAGCCCAGGGACCACTCTCCTGCGCCTGAGCCTCTCACCTTGTTGTCCTGATCCCCTGGGTCGGCGGCGTCCTCTCTGGACACACCCCTGTCCACACTGCTGTCCGAGGGCTGCCTGCTGTGGCCCATGCTTTTCAGTAAATGTGCTTGCTGAAGGGCTTCCAAAACATAGAAGCAGGGTCAGTGACAAACCTCGCATTACACGCGCACGCGCACGCACACGTTCAGAGTCAGCGTGAACGGAAGCGTTAGGTCAAGGAAAAGGGCGATGGTCCTTCGACGTTCCTCCTCACCCACAACCCAGAAAACAGACACCCCGGGACTTCTTCCTGGGCACAAAGACAAACGAAGGTGGCGGGGCTGCCCCGGCACACGCTGGAGCCCACATACCTGCGGATGCAGCTGCAAAGGCGACGGCGTCCTCGGGAAGGCCCGTGGGCTCCTCCTCCTCCGTCTCCTCTTCCTCCTCCTCCTCCGGCGGTGGGAGCTGCATCCCCGGGTCCTGGCTGTCGGCACCGTCTAACACCTGGACGGTGCAAAGGGGCTGTGAGGCTCTGAACTAACTTCCCAAGGGCAAAGGCGAAAACCACACGGCGATGGGCCGCCCCACAGCCACAGAGGCCGTCCTCCAATGCACACAGAGGCATGCGCCCAAACTGCCCAGAGCTTGCAGATCACGGCACCACGCGCTCTAAAAAGCTTAAACTCTAGAAATTCCAGTCTGGAAATCTCTATTTTTTAAAAAGATTTTTACCCGAGGAGGATATTTTTTTCCCATTGAATTTTTTTAGCAAGAGGGTGGAAGGGAAGGGGGCAGAGGGAGAGGGGGAGAGAGAGAGAGAGAGAGAGAGAGACAGAGAGAGACAGAGACAGAGAGACAGAGACATCGATGCGAGAGATTTTAGCAGAGTCCATATCAACTAATCTAACTCTGCCCTCATTCAACACAAGACGCTGGGCCACTCCCGCAGCGAAGGTCTCAGAAGGGGCTGAGCGCTCCGTCTGGGGCTGAGCTGGTGCCTCTGCACTGTCAGTGGGTCGGACGGGATGAGGGTCCAGGTCTGGGCCTCCTGGGCGGCCCCTATGCAGACACCAGGCGCACCCTCCCCACTTACGATTTCGGAGCTGTCTGAAGGGGTCACGGCTGAGTCGGGCCCCTCGGTGGTGGTCTGAGAGCTGTCACTGAGCGGGGAGGAGGCCTGGGTCCCATCGTTCAGGTCCATGGCTGGGTCGGACGGGACCGTGCTGATCTGGCTGGAGCTGTGGCTTAAGATGTCCTCCTCGTCCCCGTCAGTGGCCGCACTCGCCAAGTCGCAGCCGGTCAGATCCACCGAGTCCGGCTGTAGCGTGTGCTGCGACCGGGGCTGCTCGGTGATGATGTCATGACCCGTGGAGTCAGCCGCGGAGCTGACAGAGCCCGGAGTGGAGACCCCGGAAGAGGCAGCCAGCTCCCCACAGATCTCGCCCTTGACTGAGGCTGAAGACAAAGGGCCAGGAAAAACATCCGCTAGGGATCAAATGCTTGCAAATACCTTCAAACTCACTGTCACTATTTTAACAGCAAAAATCCTCAAATACAGTGAAATGAACTAGAATATTTCAAAAGCAAGACAACAGTGCATCCTTTAAACATGATCACAACTGCAGCCCACTGTTACTGCCCTTTCACCATGTTTCCGCATCGGATTAAAGAGGCTGGGTCAGCCCTACCTGGTGTGGCTCAGTGGATAGAGTGTCGGCCTGCAGACTGAAGGGTCCCAGGTTTGATTCCGGTCAAGGGCTCATGCCTGGGTTGCGGGCACATCCCCAGTAGGGGGCATGCAGGAGGCAGCCACTCCATGATTCTCTCTCATCACTGATGTTTCTCTTTCTCTTTCCCTCTCCCTTCCTCTCTGAACTCAATAAACATTTTTTTTTTTAATTTTTTAAAGGGCTCGGGTCAGCAGCAGACGCCTGTTACATCTGCAACGTTCCCACAGGCATTTGTCTCACTGCAGCTCAGCTGCGGCAGCAGCGCCGGCGGCACTTCAAGTCCTCTGCAGCTACTGGGCCTTGCGGGGAGTACGCGGGCAGCTCCGCAGCTGCTGGGCCTTGCGGGGAGTACGCGGGCAGCTCCCGCAGCTGCTGGGCCTTGCGGGGAGTACGCGGGCAGCTCCCGCAGCTGCTGGGCCTTGCGGGGAGTACGCGGGCAGCTCCCGCAGCTGCTGGGCCTTGCGGGGAGTATGCGGGCAGCTCCGCAGCTGCTGGGCCTTGCGGGGAGTACGCGGGCAGCTCCGCAGCTGCTGGGCCTTGCGGGGAGTACGCGGGCAGCTCCGCAGCTGCTGGGCCTTGCGGGGAGTACGCGGGCAGCTCCCGCAGCTGCTGGGCCTTGCGGGGAGTACGCGGGCAGCTCCCGCAGCTGCTGGGCCTTGCGGGGAGTACGCGGGCAGCTCCGCAGCTGCTGGGCCTTGCGGGGAGTACGCGGGCAGCTCCGCAGCTGCTGGGCCTTGCGGGGAGTATGCGGGCAGCTCCGCAGCTGCTGGGCCTTGCGGGGAGTACGCGGGCAGCTCCCGCAGCTGCTGGGCCTTGCGGGAGTACGCGGGCAGCTCCGCAGCTGCTGGGCCTTGCGGGGAGTACGCGGGCAGCTCCCGCAGCTGCTGGGCCTTGCGGGGAGTACGCGGGCAGCTCCCGCAGCTGCTGGGCCTTGCGGGGAGTACGCGGGCAGCTCCCGCAGCTGCTGGGCCTTGCGGGGAGTACGCGGGCAGCTCCCGCAGCTGCTGGGCCTTGCGGGGAGTATGCGGGCAGCTCCGCAGCTGCTGGGCTTTGCGGGGAGTATGTGGGCAGCTCCCGCAGCTGCTGGGCCTTGCGGGGAGTATGTGGGCAGCTCCGCAACTGCTGGGCCTTGCGGGGAGTGTGGGCAGCTCCCGCAGCTGCTGGGCAGAGCCACGCTCACAGGCACTCTGGGCAAGCAGTGCTCAGAAGCAACGAGGGTAAATTCACCATCGCTTCGAGGTAGCCTTTCCTCCTTCTCAGACCCTGTTCCAGATCCCAACGCTGCGCCTACTCTCCTGCAGCACAGATGTGCACAGTTTCCTGGTTTATTCTTCACTCCCATAAACAACGACAACCCCACCTAAAACCACGCCAGGAAGCTCTCACCACCCTGCTAGCAGTGGCCACTCCTGGAAGCCCGTGGGTCAGCGAGCACTTGAGCTGTATTATTGTAGCTGTAATTTTACTTTAGCTTTATTTTCGTAATTAGAACACTGATTTCTACTTTGTAAAATAAATGAATACATAATCACCATTGGGATGATTCAGATTTTCCTTCCCAAATAAGTTACCTAAAAACATTCTTTCAAATAGAATTATACAACTCAAATCACTCTCGTTTAATCCAATTATTAGTATCTTAGTCAATACTCATCCTTTAAAAGGTGAATAAAGAATCTCATACCTCATTAGATAACTATCTGTGAACAAATGTAGAATTCTTCTTAAATCATCCGTAGACGATTTTTAATCCCTTTCCCCTCACAACCCACGCGGCTCACTGCTACCCACCCCCCTCAGAAACTGGCGCTCAGGAATGTGGGCCTAGTAGTAAAGCTGCCGGCACCAAGGGAAACAACAGTGTCGGATGCAAGGAGACACACACGTTCCAAAGGGACCTATGAAAGGCCTGAATGCTCCACCACGAGCAGCTGGCTCCACCACTGCCCCGGAGCAGGGGGTGGTGAGGCGGGGAGGAGGGCAGGGGCAGGAGGGAGGTGGCCCCCACGTCACCCCGTCACCCCAAGAGCTACCTGCGAAGGCCGGGCTGCTGCCCTCCGACCGGGACTCGGAGTCCTCCTCCAAGGCCGCCGCTTCCCCCAGGAGCACCTTCCCTAGGAGAGAGGCAGCGCCTTGAGCTGGGAAGGAGGACTCCGCAGCGCAGGCAGCGCACCCCGTGCGGCCTGTCACTATGTGTAAGGGCGCTCTGCCCGGAGCGCTGAACACAGAGCACAGATTCGTGGGGGGCACTAAGACCATCAGCACGTCCACACGGAAAACCCTGGAAAGCATGGCTCTCAGACGGTGCTGCACCGCGCTTGAACAACTACAAATACTTATTGGCACATGTGACAGTATCACATGACTTCTATTACTATTTAACCTAAAGACGGCAAGTTATGGCGAGAACTACTTCTATCAGCCCTTCTATTATTCCTGTCGCATCTCCAATGGCATATCAGAATTTACACATAAAACGTCTACTCCTAAAGGCCACTTTTATTATCTTTTAATTTGCTAGATTCTAAGGTTAATCATAACTCAAGCACTGTACAATCTAGGAGGTTGAAATAATATTTCATCTTTTGCAAAGTTCAAAAAATACATTTTACAGTTTATAGTTTCCAGGCTACATTCACATAAAAAGAAAACGAATGTTTGAATGTGACTTAACTGGACCCATTAAATCTTATGGTTACATTACATATAAGTGTCATTAAATGGCAGTAACAAAACAATTATTGGCAACTTCTAATTTCACTGCTCTTTAAAGAACAGGTCACAGGTGCGACGACTTCCCAAATTTACACTGATGTGACACTAAGGCAAAGCAGAAAACAACAAAGGAGACCCCACATGGAGGTGACACGGGCCAGCGAGCGGCGGGCCTCCTGCATATGGGGTGCTGTAGCCCAGGCCAGGCGGTGGACCTGGAGAAAGGCCTGGGCCCCGTGCTCAGGTGCTGAAGAAAGCAGTCTGTCCCCAGAAGCCCTCCCCAGGGGAGCCAGGGCCCTGCCGGGCCACACACACCCCAGCCTCACCTGACCCTACATCCAAAACAAACCTGCCGCTGTCTCTCCTCTATACCAGCAGGTGTCATTTGAAAAGAGAATTCTGAGCCTGCAACAAAGAAGTTAGAAACTACAGCTCTGACGGAAAAAACAACCAAAACAGAAAACGCTGGAAAAGCAAAGAAGAACCTGAGGACCTGCCCGAGGCTCTTCTAAAACAAGCCGCTCCTCGCGTGGGCTCGCGCCTGCCCACCATCGCTGGCGCGCGGCTGAGCCCAGCGCAGCATCACAGGAACACCCGCGGCCCGGGACCTCCCGACTCCAGGAGAGAGACCGACTCACTCCCCTAGCAGCCGCAGCTGTGAACAATCTTAGTGTTCACCAAAATCTCCGAGTCCATGCAGTGGCCCACGCTGTGACGGCCAATAAGAGCTTCCGAGTCCATCTAGGAAATGTTTTAACTTAGCCACGGCTACACATTATTCCTGCAAAGACGGCATTCAACTGCCAGTAACATTAGCATCGGGCTCTCAAATACACACAAAACTCATGACACAAAACAATTAGTATGTTGTATGCCAATTATACCTCAATTAAAAAAAAGAATTAGTCTTTTAAGATTTCAAAATAAAAAATGGCAGCAATTACTTCCTATAGAAATCTAGACTGGAAAAGAAAATAAACGCTGTTGCAAAGTGATAGTATGTACCCAAACTGTCAGATTTTATTAGAAACACTTTGATCAAACAAAAATAATTAATTGTATCAGAACACTTTGGCCTGTGCAACGCCAAATATGGCTGGAATACCCCAGGCCCCAATTAACTAATTAGCCAATGGTTATTTCTGACTAATAACAAAACCGGCTGAGAAGACAGCTCACCTCAGTAAACATAACGCGCTGCGCTGCGCACAGCAGCAGGCAAAGCAGGCAAAGCAGGCCGCCTGCTCAGGAATGAGTCTGACTGGAAGGCGGCCGCGCCCTTAGCTCAGGACGCCACAGGCAGGCGGCAGAGGACACAGGAAGGCACCAGGGCTGAAACGGGAACCCGGGCCTTTACAGAAAGCCTGCCCAGCCCTGACCCAAAGCCGGCAAGTTTACGACAGCAATTCTGACCGTGGCAGTGTGGAAGCAGCACCTGCCAGGCCCGACCCAGCAGCATGCACCCACAGGCAAGGCATCGGAACAGAGACAACCAGCAAGACCCAGACTGATTTCTGAAATAATCACCTTTTTGTTTTCTGGAAAGGACAGGGCTGCATGAAGAACCCCCTCCGGCTGCAAATCACAAAAGAACGACAGATGAAAGTAAGGCAGCGAGCTGTTGAAATTCAGAAGGAATTCAAATGTTTTCAAAAAGCATGATTCAACTGTAAAGCCAGAGAATATAAGAACGTATTTCCAAAAGGCAGTGCTCCGCTGTAATTTTGACATGAACATTACATTACCACGCAAATATACATACAGTTCAGGCCTAAAATGTCAAGAGTGCATATACACTACATGTAAAAAGCCAAATTAAAACCATCAGAAATCTCAGGTTATCTGGTCAACTAATAGGCAAATATAAATTTTCGTTAGGAACCACCATTAGAAATGAGTATTTTGGCGATTATTTGTAAGGCGTGCATTCCGTAGAGAAAAGGTTCTCCAGTACAAGGACAAGGAACAGGCACATGACCATCCTCTGCTCCCGGCACACGCATGCGCACGCACACGCAATGCACTACATGGACCGCACACCACAAGGCCGAGGAGAGGCCGGGAGAGAGGGAAGCCCCCAGGTGCAACCCAAGGCTCCCGTCTACCCCAGCTCCTAAGGGCGTCTCCATGTCAGGCAGGGCCACTGCTGCAGGAACACCAGGGGGCAGGGGGCAGGGGCAGCAGCACCGGGTGGCTCAGGGCCCCCCAGAGCAAGCACAGTGGGAGCAGAGACAGGCAGGCGAGGAGAGCTTTTATAAAGTCGGTGAGGACAGCAAATAGAGACCCAGAGGGCAGCAGGAACAAAGCCCTGGGGACCCAAGACCCATCTCCAGCAAAGTGACAGATGACAGGCCCTGGAAACCTCTCCGCGTCATGTTTACTCTAAGACGGACGAGACGCCACCTGGAGGCAGCAGCGCAGACAGAGCGACCCCATCTTGCCCCTCCCCTTCCCACACATCAGTTCCCTGTGCAGAGGGCACCCGCACCTTGTTGAAAATCTGGTGAGGAGCTGAGGCATCGCTGCCCTGGCCCAGACCCAACAGTGGGGTGAGCACTCACCTATCAGCTCCACGATGCTCCCGCTGCGGCTGCGGCTGCCGGGCTCCCGGCGGGGCGCGCTGAGCTGCGCCAGGCCGCCCGGCGTGGTCAGGGCGCGCAGCAGCTCGGGGGGCGGGGTCCGGAGCAGCTGCTGCAGGAGCTCCAGCGCCCCGGTCACCACGTTGTGGTCCGGGTGCTGGGCGTAATGCAAGGTCAGCTCGTAAACCTGGAGGCGAAGACGGGCGGCTGTCACGGTGTTCCCACGGGCCCTGGTGTCCCTTCCTGTCTGACGGCTTATGCTGGAGACGGGGGCCTTCATTTCTGCCCCTAAAACTCTGTCACGTCCACCAGTGCGCTCAGCAGCTGCCAAGTGGCCTTCTGAATCCCCAAGAGACTTGTCACCAATTCCCTAAGGGAAGCGGAGCCCGTGCCCAGGAGCAGACGAAGGTGTCCGCCTCGCGGGCTGGCCAGGGATGGGGAGCACGCTCCGGGGGCAGTGAGCAGGACTGACACCCTCCCTAAGCAAGGACCTCGGTCAGGAGAGCCCCCCAGAAAAAGCTGACGGAGCTTGTGAAGGCCTCAAGACAACTTTTCTCAGTGCTTCTCATGCGACCTATCACGTTCCATGAACATGATGAATGTATTCTTCATTAGAGTTGCCAAATAAAATACAGAGCACCCAGTTAAGTTTGAATTTCAGATAAACTAATAACTTTGTAGTATGGTTGTGTGATTTCAGACAGACTTACACCACACAATTATTCGCAATTTATCTAAAGTTCAAAATTAACTGGCAGTCTTTTTACTTGCCAAGTGGGCAGCCTGCCCTTTAACATCCTAACAGTAAAACATACGTTCAAAAAAGACAGAAGCACAAGAGGGCACAAGCTAAAAGGCTCCAGAGGCAGTGACACTGAACCGCTGGCTCTGGTTCTTCTGGGGGGCCCTCCATCACTCTGGGTCGCAGGTCTGCAAACTGCAGTCCCCAGGCAACCCGCCCGCCACCTCTCCGCATGCGGCCTTCATGGACACGCCGTGTCTGCGGCATCTGCAGCTGCCTCCGTGCTGCGGCCGTCAGGGAGCAGCTGGCCCGTCAGAGAAGGCGTGCGCCCCTGCACGAGGGAGTCTACCGCCTCTGAACAAACTACCTCGTTAAAGGAGGACTCAGCAGCCCACCGCACCCACCCCGCCTGCCCTCCCGAACGCTGTCAGCGACATCACTGCTTCGTATTATTAGGGTTCACAATGTGTCACTATTTAAATCATGTGCTTTGCCTAAACTTCAGTCAAAAACCGAATTTTAAAAAGTACACGTCTTACCATGTTTACAAACAGGACTGAGGGAGCTGGATAAATGTTTACAGAACAGATAAACACGCTTCATGGCCTGGTTTAGGAACAGGGTCCCAGTGCTCTGTGCCAAGCTGGGCTAGGAGGGCCCATGTGCCACGCTGTAACCTTGGGAGAGACGACCTGCATTTCCCTCTGAGGTCACAGGGCTGGGGGCCGTGACCTCGGACCTGAACCAGGGGTCCGGCTCCGGAGCCTGTGCTCTGAACCTCGGCTGTGCCGCTCCCCTTCCCCGTGAGCCGACTCGCTGGGTGTCAGTCATGGCTGTGTCTGCACCAGAGTGAACCAGGGCTCCTACCTGCACCAGCTGCTCTGTCGAGGGGGAGACGTCCATTTCCTTTCGTGTCACCCCAAAGCTGCCTTTCAGGCTGGTGTCCTGGACCTGCTGCTGCAGCAAGGGCACCAAGTACCTCAGTGTGAGCAGCGCTCCCAGGACCAGCAGCGACGGGTGCTCACCCTCCACGGGAACCAGCAGCCCTAGAAGGCAGCACAGCTCTGCATCTGGCTCCTGCTGGGACTCTGGCCTCTGTGGGTGCAGAGTCCCCAGCAGAGCCCTCTCTGAGCTGGCGGGGCGGACAGCAAAGGCAGAGACGTTGCCATGAAAGCACACGTGTGCATCGCATCCCGGGGCGAGATCCAGGGGGGCTTCACAGGGAGACTCAGCACCTGGGCTGAGCAAGCAAGGCCCTCACACTGAGTCTGCCGCATGTGGGCATCGGGCGTCCTTGCATACAAATGCCCACGTGCCGCCTGCATTTGCTGGTGCTTTCAGTTCCACGTGTGCAGGAGAGGCCGTGGGCAGCCACGCCGCACAGAGAACCGGGCCGGAGGTGCAGCTTCAGGCCGTGGGGACGCCCTGCACTCAGGGCCACCCCGGCAGCTGGGAAGCCTGGCTGCACGAGGGTGGGCCCAGGAAGGCGGTGGGTGGCACACAGCCTGTGCCCTGCCCGGCTGGCGGGCCTGGGGCGCCTGGGCAGCTGCCGGGAAGCAGCCTTTCCCGCCCCTCACCCGACCCCCCGCGGGCTCGCAGCCCCGACCGAGCTCCCACTGCCCAGTCAGCAGGGCCCCAGGGGCTGCCCACAGGCCGAGGGATGGCCTGATCTCAAAGGTCTGTCACTAGCAGAGGCCGGAGACCCACCATCCCGGGGACGCCGCCAGGCCGGCGTCTCACCTAGGAGCACGCTGAGCAGCCAGCTGTAGAAGTACTGCGTCCTCCGGGAGTGCTGGCAGATGCTCACCACGCAGGCCGCCGCCGTCCGCCGCGTGGTCGGGGAGCTGGACTTCAGGTTCGTGATGAAAGCCTTCAGCAAAACCTGTGGCCACGAGCACCCATGGAGAGAAGAGGACGGCCCATGAGGCTTACTGTGCCTTTCATAAACCTAATTCACTCCAAATCCTCGCAGAGCTGTCATCAACCACCCGAGACTCTCCCAGGCTGAACAGAAGCACCCAATTTGGGGAACCCCAGAGCAGCGCGACACAGGGACCGTCTAGCTCCTGCCGCCGAGGGCCAGCAGAGACCTGGAGGTGGCAGCCCTAGCTCCGGAGAAGCTGTACCCACAGTATTTGAGGACGGGGTCAAGACTGACACCGTGTAACATAAATGCGGTAAAAAAAAAAAAAAAATCGACAAATCACAAGGCCAAAGAGAAAAGAGCGTAGCCAGCTACAGCCACGTCGGGCCCAAGAGACGGCTCGTACACGTGCCGCCTGCGACGGTCACTAAGAGGCGCCCTTGGGCCTGGAGCACGGACAAGCAGACTGGACTGTTGCCGGGAGCCGGTCCATCCTTGCTGTTTCAAGGGACCTGGCATATATGGCATACTGTTCTTAATATGTTTGCTCACCTTCTTGGCACTATGTGTTTTAACCAAGGTCACCTCTCTGAGAAAGGTTGTTTCCCCAGGTAGGGATTTTCCCCTGAAGTTAGGGAGGGAATAAAACCCCTTAACTAAGTGCCAGGCGGGTAATTAATCACTTTAACTACGAACAATCATGCTTAAGCTACATAATCTTTACTCCCTGGAATGGAGATAAGAAACGCCCTAACCTTTGGAATAGAGATTGATAGGATTGAATCAACTGGTATAAATACAGATGTAACAAGACAGCAATACACAGAACTTAGAAGACAGAACTTAGAAGACAGAACTTAGAAGACAGAACCTACACAGAACCTAGAGACAGAGGAACTTCGCTGGAGAGAACATGGCAAAAGATCCTGGACAGAAACTGGCCACAGAACCTGGAGACAGAACTTAGCGAGAGAACCTGGCTGAAGAACCTAGAGACAGAACCTGGCTACAGAACCTGGATAGAACATGGCAAGAGAACCTGACTAGAACCTGGTGACTGAACCTGGCTGGAGAACCTGGACAGAACCTGGCAGGAGAACCTAGCGAGAGAACATGGCTAGAGAACATGGACACAGAACCTGGCTGGAGATCCTAACCAGAACCTCTCTGGAGATCCAGACCAGAACTTGGCTGGAGATCCTGGCTAGGCTGCTGATCAACTGAACGCTATCTCCGTGTCATTCCTTCTTCGCCGACTCCGTCCACACCTTTGGGAACCCCTGGACCTGCTGGGGTCCGACCCCAGCATATAAATACAGATGTAACAAGACAACAGGACACAGAACCTAGACACAGAACCTACACACAGAACCTAGACACAGAACCTACACAGAACCTAGAGACAGAAGAACTTCGCTGGAGAGAACATGGCAAAAGATCCTGGACAGAAACTGGCCACAGAACCTAGAGACAGAACCTGGCTGAAGAACCTAGAGACAGAACCTGGCTACAGAACTTGGATAGAACATGGCAAGAGAACCTGACTAGAACCTGGTGACTGAACCTGGCTGGAGAACCTAGCGAGGGAACATGGCTACAGAACCTGGCTGGAGAACCTGGAGAACCTGGCGAACCTGGCTGTAGAACCTAGCAAGAGAACATGGACACAGAACCTGGCTGGAGATCCAAACCAGAACTTCCCTGGAGATCCTGAACAGAACTTGGCTAGAGATCCTGGCTAGGCTGTTGATCAACTGAACGCTGCCTCTGTGTCGTTCCTTCTTCGCTGACTCCGTCTACACCTTTGGGGACCCCTGGACCTGCTGGGGTTGGACCCCAGCAGACTGTGCAGCACATGCTCACTCTGTACTAAGAAGTCAGGGAGCTGGACGTCGCTGGACCTCGGAATAACCCAGAGAGCTTCCCGGACAGCGTGGGGAGCCCACCCAGCACCCCAGGCCCATCTGCTCAGGAGCAGCGCCTTCTACACACACGTGGATACACCAGTCCCGTCAACTCTTCACCCCAAGAGCAGCAAAAGGGCAGAAGTAGGAAGAAGCTCTTCGTGTGCCTCGGAAGATTCTAATGGAAATTATGGGCACGATACACCCTGGCTGGGTAGTTCATTGGTTGAAGTGTCATCCCAATACACCAAGGTTGCGAGTTCCATCCCCAGTCAGGGCACATTCGAGGATCAACCAATGAATGCAAAATGGGTGGAGCCACAAATGGGTGGAGACACAAATGTCTGGCACGCGCGCTCTCTCTCTCCCTCTCTAAAATCAATAAATAAAAACTAAAAAATAAATAAATTATAAGCACAACAGAACTTAAGTACTTTCAAATGACTGTCCCAAAGCCCTAACTCTCCACAGACTCATTCGCAGGTGTGTAAGACTCGTACCTTAATCTCATTGTCATTTGCAAAATTGCCGAGCGAAGCCATAATTTTGGGTATAGCTGCAGCCAAGGTCTCCTGAACAGACTCCTCAGGTCTCTTGCTTGTTCGCGTCAGGCAAGGCAGGAGGTTCACCAAGTAAGGCCTGCATGTGAGAAAGGAAGCTGGGTCACTCTACCAGGTCCACTTTAGTAAGACACAACAACTAGTTTAGTGCCTGTGGGAGAACAACCAGTTTTTATAGCAAAACAGTCCTCAATGGAGAGGGGACAAACCTCAGCTCAAAGGACGGGAGGGCGAACTACACATGAAGTTCAAACGCTGGCAGACGCTCAGCCTTCACTCCCCCATAACCAGAGGACTCTCCAAAGGAGTTAAAAATGATTTGCAGCCCAGCTGTGTGGCTCAGGGGCAGAGCATCGACCTATGAACCAGGAGGCCAGGGTTTGATTCCCGGTCAGGGCACATGCCCGGGTGGTGGGCTGGATCCCCAGTGTGCGGCGTGCAGGAGGCAGCCGATCCATGATTCTCTCTCCTCACTGATGTTTCTCTCGCCCTCTCCCTCCCCCTCTGAAGTAAATGTAAAACATTTTTTTAAATAAAATAAATTTTCAGCCCTGACCGGTTTGGCTCAGTGGATAGAACATCGGCCTACGGACTCAAGGGTCCTGGGTTCGATTCTGGTTAAGGGCATGTACCTTGGTTGCGGGCACATCCCCAGCAGGGAGTGTGCAGGAGGCAGCTGAATCGATGTTTCTCTCTCATCGATGTTTCTACACTTGATCTTAGCCAAAAGGCCGAGAAGCGATCTCTCATCGATGTTTCTAACTCTCTATCCCTCTCCTCTCCTCTCTGTAACAAATCAATAAAATATATTTAAAAAGTAAATAAATAAAATAAAATAAATTTTCAAAATTATTTGCAGTAAATAATAAGTTATTACAACACTCATATTTTAAATTAAAAATAAGAGATAATATAAGAAACACCACTTTAGGAGTAGAGGAAGGTAAGGGGATAGATGGCTATACAAGGAGACTTGACTTGGGGTGGACACACAATACACTGTACAGGCAATGTGTTGTGGAATTGTGCACCTGAAACCTGTATAATTTTGTTAACCAGCGTCACACCAATAAATTCTATCAAAAAGATTCAATTTCCTGAAAAACACAAAATCTCCTAAGACAGCTCTGCTACTGCACAGCTTGAACCAAGCCTCTGCTCCGACGGGAGGGGCGGCACTGCCCACTTCCCCAGGGCACTGGACCCTCCAGCCTTGGGAGAGTCCCGCCTCCCCGGGCAACCAGCCCTGAAGCCCCCCCGCCCCCCGCCCCCCAGGGCTCAAGCCACACTTCTTCAATATGGCTGCCTTGTTCAAGCATCAAGAGAATGCTGCTTACAGAAACATTAAGACAGACGATGAGGGAAATGAAGGTTAAGGAATGAGAATGAAGCTTTCTTGGGAAAGAAGCATTACAGAAAGGGTCAGTGCTCAAGCTAAACAGGCCTCAGAGATAAGACCTGGCTCTAGAGAAAGCAGCTGCCCTGCGGACACGGGAGTCACAGGCTGGACAAGCCAGGACCTCAGGACCCTGCCAACCTTGGGGAACTCGGCAGCGCCCTCTAGTGCAGGGCCAGGCACCACGCCGTCTGCACCCAGGACTATCTCAGGGAGCTGGGCCCACATTTCTAAGGAGATAACTGTTTTACGAGTCCCAGGGGAAAAAACAAACCAGCATCAAGAGGAAGAGAAATCTGACTTTTGAAGAAGTAACAGCAGGCCAATGAGTCAACAGAGAGCGTCTGGGGGGACGGGGCGCTGGGGCAGCTCTCCCTGGGCCTGGGAAGAAGCTGGATTTATCTGGACAGCTCGGAGGATGAGCCCAGAGTGCGAGTGAGGAAACAACTTGATCCAACCATATTTTAAGGTCGCTTTGGTTGCTATGTGGAGAATATAACAAGCTTTTCAAAATAAAAACAGTAAAAGCAAAAGGTTCAATAAAGAGAAATTTCCTTAGTGCTGTATCTCTGTTAAACGCAAACGCACTGGAATCAACCGTTGCTTCATATTCATAGTGAGAGTCGGGGCCACTCCCGCGTTCCTCTCGGGGAGCCGAGGGTCTATGGACGTTTTGCCAGTTAAGGAGACCAAGGTGGAGGTAACAGCTGTGGCCCTTCGTTTGTTTTTTAAGATAGAACTGTTTCATTAGTCAAAACTATTCGCAGTTTAACGCCCACGGTTGAGTGCCCACATTGGTAACCCATGTCCTAGACACAGGCATATATTTCCATAACTCCTACCGTAAGCAATGGGGTTGGACTTGACCTCCAAACACTTGCCAAGTCCCTTTCCCGCAGCTGCCGCGCGTGGACACTATTGTCAGCACAGGACAGGGGAGGACCCTGGTGTCCGGGGCGCCCACCTCCTACGGGCCTTGGGGGAGGGGAGGTGGAAATGAGCAAGCTCACGGATGGGGCGTGCGGGAATATTTCTGGGAGCATAAGTGCTATGAGGAAAAAACCAGGACAGCATCAACCACAGCACAGCGCACGGGACGACCTCAGGAAGTGACATGTGAGCTGAGATGTGAAGGATGGCCTCCACCGAAATATCAACAACAATGACGACGCAGAGCATAGGACGTACCTGCATTTCTGGGGCCGGACCAGGTGCGCCAGCTCGGCGAACCTCCACAGGGCAGCACGCAGGCTCCGGGGAGCGCCGTTCTGCGTGGATTAATGCGCGGAGTTACATTGTAGGGTCACGGACACACTAGTCACCAAGAGGACTTCACATAACAAAAGCATTTTTTCACTGTTAACTTCTATTTTTAGAGAAAAGGTCATCTGAATATTTACTTTAGAAATTTTAAGGTCTAGTGAATTTAATTATAACAATATAAAAATTTAGTTACCATTTTAAATACCCAACTCATCTAATAAACTACGAAGAGCAGAAGAAAAGTGAAATTATGTCTACTACAGCAAACAGCTCTCCCTTCTAACATGTTTACTTATTAAATGTAAGGTGACATTTCCCGGAAACAGCTCACGGCAGCGAGGCCGCTGCTGGCGGTGGAACAAGGCACACCTTCTTGATTTCCTTGTAGAGCTCGAGCTGCAGCCTCGGGAGGTTAGAATCCATCAGCGCCTGCAACACAACCAGAGCTCAGCTCAGGCAGACAGCCCGCCAGCAGCTCTGAGCAAGCTGAGGCCGCTTACACCTCAGTCACGGGCAAACGCTAATAGCAACTAAACGAAGAACCTATTCACTGAGGAAAAAGCACATATATGCACAGGTGACTCACTTGAATGAAAATGGAAGAGAATTTAACTTTTATCACAATCAAGTACTACATAATATCAAAATGAAAGGGCAGATGGTTCAACAAATTCATTCTAAAGCTCTTATCTGAAACCCTGAACAGGCAGCGAGTGCAGAAAACCTTGAAAGTTCTGTCTTCGTTCAAGTGCACTCTGCCAGGTGACCAACATTAGTCAGCAAGGTCTCAGTCACGGAGCCGTGGGCAGTGCACCTGCAAGGTCAGAGCCTCGCTCTGCCGTGGAACCCGCTCCCGGTGCAGACCCCGCGTCCTCCTCCAGGTCTGGCCCTCCCTTGATGTCCCGATGCACCCAGCCTATGGCCCAGGGGCCCTCTGAGCCCACAGCCGGCTGGGAGCCACAGGCCCCTCCCAGACAGGGCCTGCTCACCCTCCCAGGGCCCACCTCCTTCCAGACGCCCCGCTCTCGCTCTGGGCGCTGGCCCCGGCTCCCGAATCCCAGCAGGGCCTTCCCCGCTCCCAGGCAGGCCTCCCTCGGCACTGGCTTCTCGTCCACAGGCTTCTCGTCCGGGAATAAGCACTCCTCTGACCGCATCAGCCATCTGCCAGAGCCCTCCTCCTCCCCACGTAAAGCACAGCCTTCGGACTGACCTCAGCCCCCATTCTGGGCGGCACACACCGAGACAGGCTCACCGAGGAGGGAGCCTGTGAGGTTTCCTGGCACCAGAGGCCGGCGCCAGTGTAAGAGGCCCGAGCCTCCTGCTTGCCCCCAGCCACCACCTCCAGGAAGCCTCTCTGCCCCCAACAGCGAGCACCCGGCTGGGACTCAGGGTCTGCACTTCTGTTCAAGCCGCCTCACACGGGACTGGACGTGACTTGAGGACAGAGCACATGGCCAGGCTCATCGGGTCCCCAGAGCACTTTCCTACATAAATGAAGAGGGCAATGTGCCCCATCTTCCTGCAAGGCCCCATGACCAGGACCCTGCGGAGAAGGAGCGGAGGCATCTGCTCTGAGCCAACGGGAGGAATGGCTTTGGAAAGTGTCGAGAACCATGTCGGAGCCCTTCCTCGTGCCGGTGAGTCCACAGGGGGAAGTGTCTCGGTTTGGACACTCGCACACTCAAGGTGGCTAAAGGACAGCCACCCGGGTGGGTTGGGGACCCGACCGGGAGGCGGGCAGAGGAGGCACAGGACAGTTTCCAGTGCATCAGGAATTAGGAAGAAGGGCACTGGGCCGTGGCAGGAGGAAACCGAAAAGGCGACAGCAGATTCTAGCTCTGTGGCCTTGGCCACAAACTCCACATCAGGAAGCAATCTCGGAGGAGGACAGGTGCCCCTTCTCTCTCCTGACCTCCCTGTCAGCCAGGGCTTCCGCTTCTGGCTGACCTCCTGTCCTTGCGACCCCTCTGCCCAGCCAACCTGCTGCCACATCACAGCCTGACCTGCAAGCAGCACTGCCCCGCCCAGACCCCCGGAGGGCAGAGAGAGGGGCGAAGGAGGGAGCTAGAGACACCACAGAGGAGTCCAGGGGCCTCGTGGTCTCTCTGGACGCGCCCCCAAAGGCGCACCCAGGAGTCACCATCAGCACCCGCCCCGCCCACCCCCTGCAGTGAGGGCAGACAGTCCTGCAGGCGGCAAGGCGCGCCCCCCACACTGTGGTGCAGCCAGTGCGACAGCTGAGGGACTGCGCCGCTCCAAAGGCCGCCGGCTACGCCCAGCTCGGAGAACGCCGTCCCCAGGGCCCCTTTTTTTAAGTTTATGTTATGAATTTAGTGGGTGACCCGGGTTAATAAATTCCGTAGGTGCCGGCTGCACAGCTCTGTGTGTCGTGGCGATGCTGGCCTCGGGCTTCTCACCTTGATGACCTTGTTGAGGCACTCGTCAGCCACCATCCTCACGTCCGACTCCGCATCGTCGCTGCACAGCAGGAACAGCTCCATGGCGATGCCCAGCAGTTTCTGAAACTCGGGAGAATTTCTAAGTGAAACAAGGAGAGAGAGTGTCACAGCAACAAGAGCCTAAGAAGCCATGACAATCACACGTCACGTGGTGTCTGGTGTCCTGTCCGGGACGCTGGAGCACGAAACGAAGGCCGATGTCTGTCGCAGAGGAAACACGACCACAGTGGCGCTAGAGGCTACGATGGGGAATTGGATGTGGGTACTGGAAACTGTGCTAGCTCCGTAATTCTTCCGTGAATTTAAAACTATTCTAAAATTTTAAAGTTTATTTACAAAAAAAGAGGTTGTGTTTGCAAGACAAATCTCATTTTTTAAAGTTTTAATTTAAACGTTTTTGAAAGACTCTCCTTTTTGTGTATTTTAACTCAATTTTTTAAAAAAAACACTGCTTGAGCCTGGCTAGCCTGTTTGGCTCAGTGGATAGAGCATCAGCCTTTGGCCCAAAGAAAGCGAACCCTGTCAAGGGCACACACCTCGGTTGCAGGCTCCTCCCCAGCCCTGGCCCTGGCCAGAGCTCCTGCAGGAGGCAACCAAATGATGTATTTCTCTCACATCGATGTTTCTCTCTGTCTTTCCCTCTCTTCCACTCTCCCCAAATAAAGGTCAATGGGAAAAATGTCCTCAGGTGAGGATTAACAAAAACCAAAACCACACAAATGACCTTGCTTGAAATACTGGAACCCCAGCCAGCCGTCCGCTCTGTGCCACAGGTGACTCTGACTTGCAGCATTCTTCTTTGTCATCCGCCCGCCCGGGAACATGCTCAGGGGCTCAGGGAAGCGAGAGGAAGGGCGGGGCGGGGCGGGGAGAGAAACATCAACGTGAGGAACATCAATGGGTCAATGCGCGGCTTGCAGAGGTGCCCGACCTGGATGGAACCCTCAGTCCAGGCGTGTGCCTGACCGGGACTGAACCAGGGACCTTCCAGAGGACAGGATGGCCCTCAACCCACTGAGCCACATTCCTGCCACCGAGTCAGTCCCCGCTCTAGCTCTTCACTCCCTTGCATCTTGCTTCCCGTATGTCCTAAAGTCCAGCTGGACTTCACCAGACGCCACGTGTCCACGGTCAGGCTGTCGGCCCTGCCACACTCACACACACTGAACTCTCGCAATGTTTGTGAGTGATGTTAACATGTGTAACCGAGAGCCTGTGTAGGCTGTCGAGATCCAGGAGGCTAAACACAGCCAAGACAGAGATACAGTGACGGGACAGGGGCACGAAACTGGTGCCCCAGCACTGGAAGCGCAGCACGCCGACAGGACGGCCCTGAACAATGGCGCCGCGCCTCACACAGCAAGTCGGCTGCCATGTCACGGTCGCAACCCGATATGCTCTGATATGGGGTCCCCCCACTCTCTCCCTCACAATTCCCACCGACAGTCAGAGAGCCCAGCAGAAAGCAAAGGGCGGCCTCAGCGATGGTCAGCCATAGAAGCAGGACACAGAGGGGAGCAGCCGCCTCGCCCACGGGCAGTGCAGCGTGAGGAGCAGAGGAGGGAGGCCCCGGGAGAGGGGAGCAGAGGAGGGAGGCCCCGGGAGAGGGGAGCAGAGGAGGGAGGCCCCGGGAGAGGGGAGCAGAGGAGGGAGGCCCCGGGAGAGGGGAGCAGAGGAGGGAGGCCCCGGGAGAGGGGAGCAGAGGAGGGAGGCCCCGGGAGAGGGGAGCAGAGGAGGGAGGCCCCGGGAGAGGGGAGCAGAGGAGGGAGGCCCCGGGAGAGGGGAGCAGAGGAGGGAGGCCCCGGGAGAGGGGAGCAGAGGAGGGAGGCCCCGGGAGAGGGGAGCAGAGGAGGGAGGCCCCGGGAGAGGGGAGCAGAGGAGGGAGGCCCCGGGAGAGGGGAGCAGAGGAGGGAGGCCCCGGGAGAGGGGAGCAGAGGAGGGAGGCCCCGGGAGAGGGGAGCAGAGGAGGGAGGCCCCGGGAGAGGGGAGCAGAGGAGGGAGGCCCCGGGAGAGGGGAGCAGAGGAGGGAGGCCCCGGGTGAGGGGAGCAGAGGAGGGAGGCCCCGGGTGAGGGGAGCAGAGGAGGGAATCCCCGGGTGAGGGGAGCAGAGGAGGGAGGCCCCGGGAGAGGGGAGCAGAGGAGGGAGGCCCCGGGAGAGGGGAGCAGAGGAGGGAGGCCCCGGGAGAGGGGAGCAGAGGAGGGAGGCCCCGGGAGAGGGGAGCAGAGGAGGGAGGCCCCGGGAGAGGGGAGCAGAGGAGGGAGGCCCCGGGAGAGGGGAGCAGAGGAGGGAGGCCCCGGGAGAGGGGAGCAGAGGAGGGAGGCCCCGGGAGAGGGGAGCAGAGGAGGGAGCCCCCGGGAGAGGGGAGCAGAGGAGGGAGGCCCCGGGAGAGGGGAGCAGAGGAGGGAGCCCCCGGGAGAGGGGAGCAGAGGAGGGAATCCCCGGGAGAGGGGAGCAGAGGAGGGAGCCCCCGGGAGAGGGGAGCAGAGGAGGGAGGCCCCGGGAGAGGGGAGTAGAGGAGGGAGGCCCTGGGAGAGGGGAGCAGAGGGAGGCCCCGGGCGCAGGCCAGTATCCATGCTGCTCAGAGCAGCGCTGTCCACAGAGAGACCAGGTGACCTGGCGGGACTTGGGCTTCCTAACAGACACCGCAGACATCAAAAAGAGGCGGAAAATTACCTTCACGCTGCATTTCACTTCGCCCAATGTATCAAAAATACTATTCAACACGGGATGGATAACATATCACGATCCCTTTTACATCTCAAATCCGTCTCCTGGACCCAGCAAGCAGGACGGTGCCTGGGCTCCCTCGGGCAGTCATCCAGGGGTCACCGGCTCCCGCGTGTCCCGGGCTCCGCACTGCTGCTCTGATCTAGTGCCTCGAAAACCACTGTTACAAACGCCTGATCTGTTTCAATCGCTTTAGGCGGGAAGGTAAACCCTGACCACTGACTTATCTTAGCCAGAAGCAAAATCCTTCATAATTTCTTACTGGAGTTGTAGTACTGTTAGCATCTTTTCTGGTCATAAATATCTGTAAATCATCTTGTATGAAGTTAACTAGTATTCCTTTCTATAAATGCATCTTAAATTTTCAACTCCCCTACTGGCAAACACTGAGATTATCTTTAATTTTCTAACGGGATGAAAAACTGCCCTAGACCAATGTCATTACCCACTTGCCTAAGGCTAAGACCAGAAGTGAAACCAATGGAACACAGATCTAGTTTAAAGCATTGTATTCTGCCAAATTGCCTTTTAAGATGATTGCGTCACCACTGACAAAACCCTAAGTAGTTTTTGTTTGCCAATTTGACAAGTGAATCATGTTCTTACAGGAACGTGCCAAGCCTAACGACAGCTTTGGTCAACAGCGAACCGCATATATGAGTGGCCCCTCAAACTGTAATGCTGGGAAACGCCTACGGCCTGGTGATGTCACCGCGCAAAGGCTGCGATGTCGCCAGGGCTGTGGGTGAGCTGGCACACAGCTCTCACGGGTGTGGGTGGGGATGGCACCGCGGCTCCTGCAGGGTTCCTGGGAGCTGACCCCCAGGAGCTGCTGGAACGGGAGCAGGAACGCAGCTGAAGAGGAGGCAAGCGGAAAGGGAATGGAGGAAAGGAAAAGGACCCTCAGAAAGTTCACCGTGAAGGCCAGCGGAAGTGCTTACAGACTTCAACACGCTCCTTAAACAGCATGACAGCACGGCCGCCTGGCAGGTGTGCTCAGCGGTTGGAACATCAGTCAGGGGTCGTGGGGTCAATCACAGTCAAAAGACGTACCTGGCCCTACCTGGTTTGGCTCAGTGGCTAGAGCATCAGCCTGCAGACTGAAGGGTCCCAGGTTCGATCCCAGTCAAGGGCACATGCCCAGGTTGCAGGTTCGATCCCCAGTGTGGGGTGTGCAGGAGGCAGCCAACCAATGATTCTCTCTCGTCACTGATGTTTCTCTCTCTCTCTCTCTCTCTCTCTCTCTCTCTCTCTCTCTCTCCCTTCCTCTCTGACATCAATAAAAATATAAAAATTTAAAAAAAAGAGCATGTAGCCAAAACCGGTTTGGCTCAGTGGATAGAGCGTCAGCCTGCGGACTCAAGGGTCCCAGGTTCGATTCCGGTCAAGGGCATGTACCTTGGTTGCGGGCACATCCCCAGTGGGAGATGTGCAGGAGGCGGCTGATTGATGTTTCTCTCTCATCGATGTTTCCAATTCTCTATCTCTCTCCCTTCCTCTCTGTAAAAAATCAATAAAATATATTTAAAAAAAAAAAAAAAAGAGCATGTAGCTAGGTTGCGGGCTCAATCTCAGACCCAGTTGGGGGCATGCAGGAAGCAACCGGCCAATGTGTCTCCCTACATCGGTGTGTGTCTCTCCCCCTCCCTTCCACTCTCTCTAAAAATCAATGGAAAACATCCTCAGTGAGGATGAACAACAACAAAAACAACATATAGAATAAGAATATAACATTTTTTTCTAAAAGCAGAAAACATATTTTTGTACAGTTGTACCATGTGTTTGTGTGTTAAGCTACGTGTTATTACACAAGAGCAGCCCACACCGCTGGGAATCTTGCACCCTGAGGGCCACCCCCGGCCGGCCCAGTGCCAAAGAGAGCGAGGCAAGGGTCTGATCACTGGACAGGCACGTGTTGTTCCAATGACTAAAATAATGTAAACTATCAAAGAGAAGATGATTTTTAAATGATCACAGCTACTGCGCGCCAATTAAATATACACATGCTGCTCACACAGTCTGGGAATGAAAAGGGGGCAGCCCTGACCAGTTTGGCTCAGTGGACAGAGCATCAACCCGGGGACCGAGGGTTCGGTTCCTGGTCAAGGGCACGTACCTGATTGTAGGCTCGATCCCTGGCACTGGAAGGCAATCAATCAATGTGTCTCTCTCACATAAATATCTCTCTCTCTATCTCTCCCCCTCCCTTCCACTCTCTCTTAAAAAAATAAATGCAAAAATATTCTCGGAAGAGGATTAACAACAACAAAAAAAGGAGGAGGTGCTGCTCATTGGTGTCTGGGAGAAGTCCAGGGAGGGGCCCTTTAAAGGCTGAGAGACGCAGTTACAGATGAAACGCATGAAGCGCTTCTGCGCTGGAAGTGGAGGGCACCTACCTGAGCGACTGGCCCACGATGCTCTCACAGATGGTCAGACAATGGTTCACGCGGTCCTTCTTGGTGGCTGAGAGCTCCTTCTTTCTGAAAGAAAAGGAAGGGAAGGAGTGAGCCGTGCTGAACCGGCGCCCACCTCTTGCTGCCCGTCCCTGCCGCCCCCCTCCCCCCCCGCCCCTGCCGCCCCCCAGCCCCTGCTGCCCCGGTCCCTGCCGCCCCCGCCCCTGATGCTCCCGTCCCTGACGGCACTCATGGTGCCTCGGAAGGAACCACACATTCCGCGGGCGGGGGGGGGCAGAGTGCGGTCAGGGCCGGGAGGCGCGGAGGGCTCAGCCCGGGCTTCCTCATCCACATGCTCCGGAGCAACGCCAGGGGATGCTCCTGATGCACCTGGCTTTCCCCGGCTCACGGAGACACTTGGTCCCGGTTATATATTACAGACACGGGCTCATCGTTTCTATCTCCCCAACCGCGAGATAGAAATGGGCCTCCTCCTCAGACTCCCCAGCCCACGAGAGGGGGTGCAAAGCCAGGCCCAGAAGCCCAGGCTTGAGGTGCCTGCCCCACGGCTCCAGGGGGCTTCACGGAGGCCCATGGAGACGGGGAGGGGGGGGAGGAGTGCGCACACAGAGGAAGCAGAAGAAGCCACTCCCGGAGCACGGCCAGACACGAATGTGAGTGCAGTCACCAATGCGTGGCACTAACTAGAAACGACTAAACCAGGAAACTACTGGGTGTGAGGAGATGCTGTTACTTCATGGGGGAGGGCGGCTAACCTACAAACACTGTGACCAACGCAGCCCTCAGGCTCCAAACAGTGAGGCTGGAGGAGCAGGCTGCCCCGCTGTGCGACCCCGTGCAGGTGCAGGCCCGTGCAGGTGCGGCCCCGCGCAGGTGCGGCCGTGCAGGTGCAGGCCCGTGCAGGTGCAGGCCCGTGCAGGTGCGGCCGTGCAGGTGCGGCCCCGCGCAGGTGCGGCCCCGCGCAGGTGCGGCCCGTGCAGGTGCGGCCCCGCGCAGGTGCGGCCGTGCAGGTGCAGGCCCGTGCAGGTGCGGCCGTGCAGGTGCGGCCCGTGCAGGTGCGGCCCGTGCAGGTGCGGCCCGTGCAGGTGCGGCCCGTGCAGGTGTGGCCCCCGTGCAGGTGCGGCCGTGCAGGTGCAGCCGTACAGGTGCAGGTGCTGCAGGCATGGCCTCCGAAGGCGCAGTGCTGTGGCAGGGAAGCAGGTGGGCAGACCCTCCCGAAGGCGCGGCGCTGTGGCAGGGAAGCAGGTGGGCAGACCCTCCCGAGGGGAAGTCAGGGACCACCAAGGGCAGACAGGGTTCCAGGCGAGAAGAGCCAGGGCCTGAATGAGAAGCCAGGCCCAGGGCGCAGGGATTGGAGAGTGCGTGTCGCGTGTCCCGTTCCCCTCCCACCCCCCACCCACCCATCTCATGCCAGAACGGGACTGACACCAATAAGCTACAGTGCAGAGGCTAGTCATCCGAGAGGACACCATTTTCCCCTGCGTGGACGCATGAATCCCTGCGGCTAGAGACAGACCCCGGACCCGGCTCCCCCGGATGAAGGAGGGAAGGAGGTGGTATGCGGGGTGCTGTCTAGCCCTGAGCCTCTCCCCTTTTGGCTCCTCCCAGCTGCTGCTTACACAGATAAAGCTTCAAGCGGCTGCAGAGCAACAGGAGGAAAAGAGGCCGGTCCCTAAGTGAGCACGAGAAGCTGAGGCCCCCCCAACCCCCGTCCTCACAAACCACCCACTTCAAAAGCCCTATGACAGGCCCGGCCAGCGTGGCTCAGAGGTTGGGCATCAACCTATGAACCAGGAGGTCATCAGTTCGATTCCCGGTCAGGGCACATGCCTGGGTTGCAGGCTCAATCCTCAGTGTGGGGCATGCAGGAGGCAGCTGATCGATGATTCTCTCATCACTGATGTTTCTTTCTCCCTCTCTCTCCCCCTCTCTCTTCCTTACTCTCTATAAAATCCATAAAAATATATTTTTAAAAACAAAAAAAAGCTCTATGATAGAAGCAACCCAAATGTCCTTCACTTGGCGGATAGAAAAACAAACTCTCTGGCCAGACGGCGGAACACTGTACTGCTTGGCAGTGAGAAGGGCACACCGGTCACACACACAGGGTGGATCTCGATGTGCCGGGTTCAAGGCTACACTGGGTAAGTCATTTACATGATGGTTTGGAAGAGACAAAACTACAGGAACAAAAGTGATCGGTAGTTTCCAGGCCCCAAGCAGCAGGTGACAGCCAAAAGGCATGGGGCCTGGGCATGGGGATGCCCGTGGTGACAGGACTGTTCCAGTTCTCAACTGCAGGCATAGTTAATGGCTCATCCATTAGTCAAACTGCACAGAGCTATACACTAAAAAGGGTAAGTTTTACCACATGTAAATTATACCAGTTTTTAAAAGAAAGAAGAAAGCGCTGTGAGAATTAAAGTGCTCTCTCCTTTAAACCACCAATTCGGTCTCTCTTACAACAGCTTAGTGTCAGAGTAAGTTTCCCTTGGCCCTGCTGGCTGCACTAATTGTGGGAGCACTCACTCCTTCGTCCTACTCCCCTTTGCTAGCAGTTGGGTCTGAGTCCCTGTGCCAGGGCCTGGACGCTGGGTATCGGACAGAGAAGACATAAGAAATTGTAGGCGTACAAGGGAGTCTTTATTGCAGCCCAAGCAGCCATTGCTACGAAGGAGCCATTAGACAAAGCAGTTCTTGCTAACACAGTAGCAAACACAAAGAAGTCCTTGCTAATACAGTAGCAAACACAGGAGCCATCCTAGCAAAACAGCCTCGCCTCAGCTGGTTAGTAATACGTCCTCCCACAAAGCAGCCGCCAACATAGGAGCCATAGAAAGCAGCCGCACACCAGCCGGTCAGTAACACGCCGTCGGCTAACTCAGACAAAAGAGGCCTCCTGCGAACAGTGGCCTGTCTTCTGGGTTACAGGAGAGCAGCCGCACCGTGCACAGACTGCCGCGTCCTTGCTTTTGCACCTGCGTACAGGAAATGAGCCCTGAACACCCTGACTAGGATTCCCACACTCAGAGTGGCCTTGGGCATCCGGCGTACACGGGATGATTAGGGTTCCTAACACTAGGTTTTCCTAGTTTAAGGCAGCCATCAAGAAAGTAAAAGAACACTGATGAATTTAAGCATTTTAGAAAGCAAACGAACTCCTCCATTACTCTGTGATTTCCAAAGTGAAAATCTGCCCCTGGCCTTAAGTGAACTGAGTTCACACACCCAGACTCCAGGCTGTCTGGGGCGTAGCCCCTCAACGCGGCAGTCGCCTACACGGAGTCTGAAACGATTCCTTAAGGGCTGGTAACGAGAACAAGGCTGGCAAACACTGGACTAAGTGGATCTCACAATCAAACGATGGTCAGAATAGAAATGCATGACCCGGGGATTCAGCCAAGTCAGAATCTAACAGAACCTCATCCTGTGGTTCCAGCCTCCGCCTCCAAGCTCGAAAGGTAGGCAGTGGGGACGCATGGTAAGTCCCTCCGCTCACTGAGCCGGCTTCCGCAGCGGGAACGGAACAGGCTCAGCAACGTGAGGTGGGAGCCAGGTGTCCTGGATGGCTGACCCTGACCAGCTGGCATGCTGCCAGAGCGCAGCCTAGGGACACACTGAGCTCACCTGGTTCAGGAAGAGCCCGCCCTGCTGAAGGCTGAGTCCGCCGTAGGCGAGGGAAGGAGTGTCCCCACAGGTTGCAAAATTAAAGTGTTTATGGCGCACACAACGCTCCCTGCACTTATCGTGACAGCGCTCACAGCAGCAGCACATGTCGTTCATGACATGTAGGGTGCCCACGGGCACAACTCAGCAGTCAGCAGAGGCCCGAAAGGAGGGAAAGCCCAGGCTTCGCCCTGTCGCCAGCCTGATGGACAGCAGGCCGGGCCGTGGGCATTTCTCCATCTTCTTAGAAGTGACAGACACAAATCTGAGTTTTCACAAGAACTCTGTCTCTCTCCTCACATGTGTGGTAAACCAAGAAAATATAGTTAGCAATAAGCAATACCGCACGGCTCGCAAGGCCCGCCCTGTTCCATTAGGACCTGCGTGCCCTGGTCCACGTGCCAGAACTTGAGCCGGTGAAGCAAACTGACCACCAAAGACAGGACGTGGTGAGACCTTCCGCCGCCGGGAACAAGGCCCCTTCCAACTTGGCCTCAGCCACTTTCCAACCTCCATTCTGAGTCAACATTCCCAAAGCTCCAGGGACTGGCCCCTGGAAGTAATTCCTGTTTTGATCATGCATCAAGCTCAGCGCTTGTACATTCTATGGTCCCTGCTCAAAAGAACTCTTCCCTCCCTAATTTTGTCCAATAAATAAACCTGAAGTTCAAAACACTGTAACGACTTTGTTCCCCCATGAAACTAATTAGGTTGATGAAATGATACCTCAAACTGACTCATTCCACACATTCCGCAAGCACGGAAACTGAGGTGGAAATGGCGGCGACTTGCTCTGGGCAGGACCTGGCTGCACAGGGGAGTGCTGGATGAACAGGCCGGAGCAGTCCTGACTGCAACCATTTCAGGCGAAGCAGTCATTTTAACGTCACCTTCAACATACACACAGCCCTCCCCAGCCCCTCCCACTGTACAGTGAGCAGCTGCGAGAAGCACACACCTGGAGGAGGCCGCCACAAGCCCTTGCTGCAGCAGGACAGTCAGGCTGAAACCGCCAGCCAAGTGCAATGCCACGAGGGGAGCCCGCCCTCCCACCAAACTCTGAGTGTCAGACTGTGTGACGGGGAAGCATGAAAACTTCGGCCCAGGGGAGAGGGGGCGGGGGAGGCCTGGGTCCCCGGGGAATGGAAGTCGCGCCTGGCGACCGGGCGCAGCACTCCCATGTGTTCCCACCCCGCGCACAGCAGAGCTGGGGTCCAGAGGCCGCAGCGGCCGCAAGCAGGGCTCCAGGGCTCCCGATTTCCCACACAAGCCTCCAACAGTGGGAGAGCGTCCCCAGAAAATCAGAGGGCGTCAGGAAAGTTTTCACACCAGGGATGGACACCCAGGCCATTTGGGAATTGTGTTTCATGCGCAACTTCAAAGTAACAGTAGTGCCACGT